CCCTCCCCCATCGCTACGCCTCTGCTATTTATAACGTGTATGCAATTTATAATAATAAATAAATACGTCACTTTTAATTAATTATTATTTATACATATGTTTTAGTAATTAATTTGTGTGAAAGGGGGCGTTTTAATAAGATTTTTGCCTAGGGCGCTAAATAACCTGGCACCGGCACTGATTCAAATAACCAAGTCACTTATTTTCATGAGAATTAAATTGGCCGTATCTAAACTGAACTTTTCCTGATCATTATCTTTCAGACAATTCTCTACCTTGGGAAGCATGTAATGTGTGTGTATTTGTATGTGTATGTATGCAGTGTTTCTGCCAGACTTTTATCTCCAAGGAGGGGGGGGGGGGTGGTGGTATGTCACTTCAAACTCCAACTGACTTAAACATAAATATGTTTATTTTTCGATATAAATGACATATTCTTCCTATCTCTTCCGGCAAAGGGGACTGGTGGAATTGATACCCTCCTGGTTGGACGCCTGAAAGAAATACTGATTAAGTATTTGTTGATTTTTCCGAAGGCCTCGGGCTTGATACGTTATTTTTTGCAATGTAGAGAAATCTAATAAGACCAAACACACAGAGACACACAGACGGACACACATAGACACAGACAGACACATAGAAGCAGAGATTGGCAAACAACGACAAATACACACACTAACATTATGAATAATACACGCGTTTTATGTAGTCTACTTCCAAGGTCCAACAACCCATACACACATATAGGTGTAGATGCTTACCTCTTTATGTATACACACACATCAGTGGCGTAGGCAGGGGGGGTCATAACCCCCCCCCCCCCCCCCATAGATCCCTTGGTATATAGAAATAGTATGAGGGGGGGTGCAAATCGAAAGTTTGAGGGTGGGGGTGCAAATCGAAAGTTTGTCACCGGGTAAAAATTGGAACCCCCCCCCCCCCCCCCTTGAGACAATCCTGGCTACGCCACTGACACACAAACACACCCTACCAGCAAAAAAATAATAATTAATATTCAAAAATGATCTTTTAAAAAAGGATAAAAGCTAGCAAACCTGCGTATCATAGGGTGTGAGTGCGATCTCAGGGTCCATGCGATATCGGTTTCACAGAAACTAAATTCAGCTCTGGCATCAATTCTGTTCACCTGGACCCACGATACGTCATAACTAGCTTCCATCTTGGCTGATTTATTTAACAACAGGCCAACACAGTATTCAGGTAGGATTCTTGTATTACTCAGTAAACTTGACTTAGTTTGACTTTTGTCTAAAAACCCCGCCCGTGGTGATTGTTTCTCGTTTTCACATAACCCAAGATGAAGAAAAGTTGAGTTTAAATTTCCAAAATGTGTTGACAAAATTCTGGACAGCTTGTTTGTTAACATATCGTTTTCGTGCTTGCTTTCAATTTGAACCAGACTTGATTGGATTTCCTCGCATTTACTAAAAGCCTGACCGTGGTCTATGAAAGAATTCATCATTTCCAGTTTGTAACACGAAACAAGGTTGTCTCCCATAATCATAAACCAACCCTTCATGCACCGACCACATAAACCGAATGATATATGGTTATTCATAGAAAAATCGTCACTTTTCAAACATTCTTTAAATTTATCGTAAGACTCGCGAACTTTAGGTAACAAGAATATTTTGTATATCATAAAACCATCGTATTCTGCGTCGTTGAACAGATCCAATTGTCGTAAAAATACTAGAACAACTGAACTACTTTCCAAACTCTGGAACCGTTGAAAATATTGTTTAGAAACACCAGCGACGTTTGTTAAACTCTTTATTCTTGTATAATTTCGAAGTTTTATTTCGTCAATTTTCGTAAACAATTCCTCTGCATTGTTGTATTCATCGAATCCAACCACGTTAATCATTGATCCGTTAATTTCAGGAACGAAAATTGCAAATCTAGTTTTTAGTGGATCGTACTTTGATGACGTTATAAATAGACTGATAATATTCTTAATGCGGGACTTATCATTGACGTCACGAAAATCTGCATGAAACAACACATCATACTTCTCATTCTGGCAATCTAGTAGTGGAGATATTTCTGGACTCACGAAGGCTAAAATTATATATATATATATATATATATATATATATATATATATATATATATATATATATATATATATATATACATCTACAAACATTACATTTTTTTTTATATTATTTATATAAGTCGTCAAAAATGTTTTTTAAATTTTACCCTACCCCCATTCATATCGACCATTATCGTCAAGAAAAGTTAAATCTCAATTTTAAGTAACGTCACTAAATTTTTAAGGCATTGGTCTAAAATAAGATACTGAAATTTTCATTACGTAGTTTCTCATTTATTGCTGTTTTGTAAGCTAGGTTTATTTGGTCGTTAACATGGCTAAGTTAAATAGGAAACAACTGTTAACATTTTGTTTTAAAACGAGATTGTTTTGTTTAAAAGTTAAATTTTTGAAGCCACAATTTATTCCCCCCCCCCCCCCTCCTTCACTTTATAGCACAGCGTCACAATCATCCAACCCATATCCCTGAAGAGTCACGTCACAAGCATATCCTTGCTCACTAACGTATGATTTATTTGTACTTACTTAAAAGAACACAATACAATGTAGCAAACAGATTGAGAAAATAGAAACGTCTTGGAACGACCATCTTTTGTTTACATCACGTGATCGCTAACAGATGATTTCCTAAATAAATGAAATAGAAGAAAGCATACATAATAAAATGTGTACAATTTCAGTTTAGAGATATGTAAATGATAAGGGTATTTCATATAAGCAATATCTTTATAGATATTATCTTACAAAAATTGTCATTTAGATTTTGTTATGAAATAGAACACACTTACCTTGTAAATGGTGCACCTTTCACATCAGTTAAATCTCGCTTCAGTGATGCAAAATACGATAATCTCAACCCAAAGTAGTGTAATTTTTTTTTCCATTTACTTTTCAATTCTACAGTAATAAGAATTCCCAAGTATAATCTCTATTTTAGTTATGTAAACACTAAAATAATGATAGTGCATGTCCTCGCAAGCTAAAGACAATTACAAATTACAGATACATGGGGCGTCTTCGCCATTAATTTGTTTCTATAAATATATCTTGAAGTTTAATCAACACGATATACATCGATGTGGTCAAATGGTTGAGTGTTCGACTGCTAACCTGAAAGTCACGAGTTCGGATCCCCGAACTTGAGCCAGTACGACGTCTCTGAGACCACCTATCTCTGATGGGTACCTAACTCACGTTTGGGCTAGTAAACGCAACTTGACATAGTGCTGACTACACTATCCATTTACTTTCCGAGGTTACTGAATCAAATTAATTCTACTTCACCTGCTCGCATGTAACGTTAGTTTCTTTCGGGTAGTGTATTTAATACAACGATAAATGCAAAACCAATCTTTGAAAAAACCGGTTAGGGTTGAAAAACCCAGCTATCATTGAAATATAAAATCATGTAGATATAAATTAGATCATTCATTGTTGCATTTTAAAATAAACCGGGAGTGATTTCCCCTAAACTTTCTCGAATATTCTTATATAACACTAAGATGGATGTCAACTCAGGATAAAGAAACTATTTTTAATCCATTTTTAATTACTTAAACTTTTTATAATAGAAAGAATCTCGTAGATAAAGAATTGCCCACCAATTGAACGCCAAATGATATACGTATAATAGTGCGGAAAACTAGTACTTTATAAATTCATATTGATATTTGTACACGATTACAATATCTCCTCTATACCCTGTATGCGAGAAAGTAAAAATGACATAATTTTAAATGTTCTTAACTAAGTGGATTTGTTTTTATAATAATCAGCCATTATAGCCGTAATACATATATAAAGTTTACTCTACAATTGTTTAACTTACAGTGTCTAAATTCAGCACACACAGGTTATTTAGATGTGAACAATGGCAGAAAGTTGTGAAAGTATTCCATTCGGCTGCAGATATTTTGATTTCATCGGTCTGAAAACCCTACTTGAAAGAAATAATGTTTGCTTAACCATCACTTAGAAACAAATTGATGGAATAGATCACGTGAGGTGATGACGTTACATTTGGCCACGCCTCCTCTACGCCACGCTGTAACGTGGTGTGTCAAGAATAAACCTTTGTATGCTGAAAAATAATCATACTCGAAGCAATGTCAACATAGATTCTTCCCGGCACCTCTTTGCGAGGAAAAAAGTCTGGAAGAAACACTAAATGTCAACAAAAATACCGTAGCTAGGAGACAGCAGATGAAGCTGCTGCCCTGAGAGGGGGAGGGGGTGGGGTGGGAAGGGGGTGCAAACAGTGGGAAAAGTAATAAGAAGCACATTGTCAGCTGCATTACTAAATAATAGGACAATGGATTTTGATTCCTGACAGGTTGAGCTAATTTTTTTTTTTTCACATCAATTATTATTTACAACACATCAATATGTTAAGGGATAGTTACTGGTAAAAGGCGCTACACATTTTTTTTTCCGAAAGGGGGGGGAGGCTTTGAATAACTATATAAAGGCGGGGAGCGGGGGGTGTGGGGGGGGGGGGGGGGCGGGGGATGCTGCGTAAAATGTACAGTTTGCCCCGTGCGCTACGCTGGTGGTCAACAATAATTTTATTCAACACGACTTCTTTTTTGAAATCCGTCATATGATTTCTACTTCATCATTGACTGTTTTTGAGCTACGTCAATTTGTAAATGTTTCTTTTTTAATTAAAATTATTACTGAATATAAAATATTGTATATGTTAGTCTATTTATTGGACGCATACGTAGGCCTACTCATTAGCGAAATCTTTTTCTAAAATGTATACACCCGCAATACTACTAGTCATGCTTGGTAATCAAAGGCGTGTTCATTATTGCTTATCCCCACCCTCTGCTACATACACCATTGCCCCCATGTTTCTAAACTATTGCTGACAAATAAAGACAAAATAAAACACATGCGTTTTTTATTTTTATTTTATTTTGAATACTACTTAATTAAATTATACAACAGAAGTAAACAATGATTACGAGAGATACGATAAAGAAAACAAAAGAACAAAAATGTTATAAATACTAATTTTATAACTTTAATGGTCTTCCTTTAATGACTTTGATAATTGTACCAGATTTCTCATTTTATCATCCTCCTTAACCACTTCTTTTAAAAACATCTGAACCCCCGCCGACTTCGGATAGAATGTCGTCCCACTTGTGCAACCCCTCCCCCCTCCTCCTGAAAACCTAACTATTCAAAATTACCCTGCATTTAAAAAAAAAAAAACGAAACATTAACTAAAATTTCAAAACATTACTTATTAAAATAGAGGAGTGTGACGTCACCTACTTAAAATTCGCTCCCTTCCTATAGCAATACATCCTCAGCCATCAGTGTTTCTTTCAGGAATCTCTTCATTCAGCCCCCCCCCCCACCACCCCGGAAATTTTAGTCCGCTCCTCCGACAATTTAAAAGAAACACTTATAATCATTCCGTGTGAAGTGTCACGTTATTTTATGACGACATTTACTACAGGGTGGATATAATTTTGAAATGGTAGAGCAAACACTAACTAATGCATTTACAAATATTTGAGATGAACAGATAACACATTAGGTTAAACTAAAGCCACATTATTTCCCTTATCCAATTATGGGGTCACCATGACCTGGTGTAGGTGTAGGGTCAGGCACAGGGGTTTTGATCTGATCAAACTCGACCTCCGACTTGAAACTGTGGTCTGTGACTTGCCCTGGAACACCTGCTGCAGCATTGGGGTCAAGGGGAGAGTAGAGTGGACCCAGGTCAGACCCCACACAGTTGTGGCACCAGAGGTAATTATCCGGGTCGTACCGTTTCTTGATCTCCAACAGTCTGGTAAGAAAGGGAAGATTAGGTACATTTTGGTCATAGGAAAAAACGTCTGGTTAATTCTCGATCTATAGGGAATCTCCAGACCTGTTGGCGATACAAACACATTAGAGTCATTCTCGCATTAGAAAAACAATTGGCTAGGTGAAAAGATGCGATCTTTAGGTATACAGTTTGTTAATAGGAAACACGACTGGTTATTTTGGATTTCCTGTTAGAAAACAATAGGTGCTTGTTGGTAAAGGTAAATGACTGGTTAATTTTCGGAGTGATGACATCTCTAGGATTCTGGTGGGAAAGAGAAAAATAAGTACAGTTTGGTAATAGGAATAATGAATGGTTAATTCTTGAAGTATAAGGGGTCTCCACAAATTTCGTTAAACAGAAGATAGTAGGTGCTGTTTATTTAAATAGAAAAACAGCTGTCTAAGTCTGGGAGTAGATTGGATCTTCAAAAGTTTGGTGATACAAAACATATTTGGGTCAAGGGGGGAGTAGAGTGGACCCAGGTCAGATCCCACACAGTTGTGGCACCAGAAGTAAATGTCCGGGTCGTACCGTTTCTTGATCTCCAGAAGTCTGGCGGGGAAGAGAAGATTATGTACATTTTGGTAATGGAAGTATAGACTTAAATATATCCCAAAAGATCGCATCCCACACAACCGATCTATTTTCCATTGCGAGAATGACTCTACTGAATTTGTATCGGCGGGGTCGAGTCGGTAAAGCTTATGGCTGCTAAACCGATAAGTCTCGAGTTCAAACCCTCGTACAGATGTGGTTTGTTAGCTTGTGACAGCCACTCTTCTAGGAGAAACAACTCCAAAATCAAACAACTGCTGCCTTGTAGTTTGTTCTTGCTTGGACAAAGGCGTTGGGAGCACATGAAGAAAAAAAAGAAGACTGGGTAATGGAATCATCGGACCATATGGCGAATAACATGTTGACTGGTAATACATAATTATGTTCGAGAAAACCCCACATAAATTACAATAAAGAACGAAGAAGAAGAAGATGACATACTTTTTAAAATCATTTATATTTACCAAACTATCTATGTTCTATATTGTTAGCTGAAAATTGCGAAAAAAATTTCGGATACAGACCACATAAAAAACTACTTACTACTCTCCACTCACCCCTGTAACAAAATTTACCTACCTGTCGTAGGTGCTGATGTTTCCCCAGAACCTGTTCTTCCAATCCGGCATATCCTCCGCGGGTTCATTCAAGTATGACCCGGTGCCAAATGCATACAGCCTCTCAGCTACAGATATCGTAGCCTCGATCCCGTCCTCATCTGCATAACCCGACTCCATTGGCCAGTTTTTGCCACAGGTCATGGCCATGATACCAGTTCTGAAAGCTGGGTGGATAGGAGTGCTTCCCCCTGACGACGCGGCCATATTGCCTGTTAAACACAAATACATGTACTCTGCTAACAGTGTTTAACATTAAAAACATGACATAAATCCTATACTTCACGTTTTATCAACCCCATACTTCTTGCTGTATGAACCCCATACTTCTCATTATATTGATCCTACACTTCCCATTGTATGAAATCCATACTTCTCATTATATTATTCCCACAATTCTCATTGTATGAACTCCATACTTCTCATTGTATGAACTGCATCCTTCTCATTGTATCAACCCATACTTCTCATTGTATGAACTACATCCTTCTCATTATATCAACCCATACTTCTCATTGTATGAACTACATCCTTCTCATTGTATCAAACGATACTTTATTTTATGTTCACTTAATTCTTAATACCTAAACACGATAGTAATTTAATTCAAAGAAGAAAATTATATTTTATTTCAAAATATCTATTTTTAGATAAATTGTCGGTGCATTTGAATGCCATGTTTAATTAAAATAATGCACTTAGATCTATGTTTACATTATGCAACCTAGTATTGAGATATGGATCTCCAGCATTTTAAAAATACTTTCATTAGTATCACAGTTAACTCAAAGTACCATGATGCATCCTCAGTTTCCCTACACATACATCTAATGCCGAATGTATAGGGCCTACTTATATTTTCAATAAACATATTAGATGTCCAATCATAAATCAAGTGTCCTGAAACGTGTCCAAATATGCAGTGGCGTAGCGAGGTCGGGTGTCACCCGGTGCGGCACTTAATAGTGTCACCCCCCCAGATGCGTAGCGACCTTCCCGGGGACAAACTTTCAAGTTTTCGATTTGCACCCCCCCCCCCTCTCAAACTTTCGATTTGCACCCCCCCCCTCAAGTTTTTCTCTATATATTTTGCTATTTTTTGCCTTGGTGTCACCCCCCTAAATGGTGTCACCCGGTGCGGTCCGCCCCCCGACCCCCCCTCGCTACGCCCCTGCAAATATGTATAATTTGTCGAGAATTATATCGTCTTCAAGCATATATAATGTATCCAGAATTAGATTAGTTTCGTGACACATAATAAGTCCTCAGACATATATCATATGTCCAGATACATATCAAGAGTTCAGAATCATATACAGTGTCAAGACACATATCACATGTCCTGGCATATATCACGTGTTCTGACACATATCCATTGTATACATTTAACGAGTCAAGACACATATCCATTGTACTTATAAGTTTAAAGTGTCAAGACACATATCACATGTAGTGATAAAGTGTTAAGACACATATCACATGTACTGATAAAGTGTCAAGACACATATCACATGTACTGATAAAGTGTCAAGACACATATCCATTGTACTTATAAGTTTAAAGTGTCAAGACACATATCCATTGTACTTATAAGTTTAAAGTGTCAAGACACATATCCATTGTACTTATAAGTTTAAAGTGTCAAGACACATATCCATTGTACTTATAAGTTTAAAGTGTCAAGACACATCCATTGTACTTATAAGTTTAAAGTGTCAAGACACATATCCATTGTAGTTATAAGTTTAAAGTGTCAAGACACATCCATTGTACTTATAAGTTTAAAGTGTCAAGACACATATCCATTGTACTTATAAGTTTAAAGTGTCAAGACACATATCCATTGTACTTATAAGTTTAAAGTGTCAAGACACATATCCATTGTAGTTATAAGTTTAAAGTGTCAAGACACATCCATTGTACTTATAAGTTTAAAGTGTCAAGACACATATCCATTGTACTTATAAGTTTAAAGTGTCAAGACACATATCCATTGTAGTTATAAGTTTAAAGTGTCAAGACACATATCCATTGTAGTTATAAGTTTAAAGTGTCAAGACACATATCCATTGTACTTATAAGTTTAAAGTGTCAAGACACATATCCATTGTACTTATAAGTTTAAAGTGTCAAGACACATATCCATTGTAGTTATAAGTTTAAAGTGTCAAGACACATATCCATTGTAGTTATAAGTTTAAAGTGTCAAGACACATATCCATTGTAGTTATAAGTTTAAAGTGTCAAGACACATATCCATTGTACTTATAAGTTTAAAGTGTCAAGACACATATCCATTGTACTTATAAGTTTAAAGTGTCAAGACACATATCCATTGTACTTATAAGTTTAAAGTGTCAAGACACATATCCATTGTACTTATAAGTTTAAAGTGTCAAGACACATATCCATTGTACTTATAAGTTTAAAGTGTCAAGACACATATCCATTGTACTTATAAGTTTAAAGTGTCAAGACACATATCCATTGTACTTATAAGTTTAAAGTGTCAAGACACATATCCATTGTACTTATAAGTTTAAAGTGTCAAGACACATATCCATTGTACTTATAAGTTTAAAGTGTCAAGACAGATATCACACGTCCTGATACCTGTAAATTGTCAAGACACATTTCACACGTCCTGACACATATAAAGTGTCAATACACATATCATATTTCCTGAAACAGATCAAGTGTCCAGACACACATATGTCATGTCACATACCTCCAATGAGAGTCCCTGCACATCCCATCTCGACGTCCAACATAAAATGCAACAAGTCAACAAATTTGGTCAGTGTTGTGTTATTGACCAGTGTCTCAGGTTGGATGAAGCTGTTGAAGACATACTGCACGCCATATGGATCGGTCACAGCATGCACCTGTCAACGACATTAACTTTATTAGTATAGTTAATTCTAAACATACAACATATCAGACACAATTAACTTTATTAGTCTAGTTAACTCTCATCATACAATATATCAGACACAATTCACTTTATTAGTCTAGTTAACTCTCATCATACAATATATCAGACACACTTAACTTTATTAGTCTACTTAACTCTCATCATACAATATATCAGACATAATTCACTTTATTAGTCTAGTTAACTTTCATCATACAATATATCAGACACAATTCACTTTAAAAAAATAACTGAGAAAATATCTCAGGGGAGATCAGCTCCAAAAATTATACAGACACAATATCAGAATTATAAAGAGAAAATAGTACAGTTACGTAATCATATTCTCTCTCATTCCCCCCCCCCCCCCCCACCTTTACTCTGAATTTATTTCTAAGGGTATGTTTTATGTTAGTTTTCGGCAAATACATTCGTCTTGAGCGACATTAAAAACTGTTTACAGGATTTAGCAAAACATGCGATATAAAACACACATTGATGTTCATCAAAACCATTCCCCACGCCTGCCGCTGCTTTGCGAAGTTTGATTTGAGAGGAGTCTAATTTAAGAAGAGTCTGATTTGAGGAGAGTCATGATAATATTATCTACTGCAGTCACCTCGTATTCCAGGAAGGTCTTGTACCAGTGGTCTTCAGAATAGATCACCGCTGGATGCTTTAACAGAGGATCAATCTGTGGAACAAGATCGAACATATTGCAGACTTTCACGTTCACTAAGGAATCAACACTCTTTTGAAATATATATAGGCACTAACCCTAAACAGCAAATAAATATTGCCTCAGAGAAATCAAGGAACAAATAACTGTAAAGATTTATCAAACCCGGCTGTCGTGAATTAGCTGACTTAATGGCATGATTTATCTAACCTAGCTGTCGTGATTTATCTAACCTAGCTGTCATGATTTATCTAACAGCTGTCATGAAGTATCTAAATTAGCTGTTATGATTCATCTAACATAGCTGTCATGATTTAATTCACCTAACTTTCATTAATTAACTGACTTACTGTCATGATTTAACTAACCTAGATGTCATGATTTAACTGACCTGTAAGTCATGATTAAACTTACCTAGCTGTCATGATTAAAATAAACTGACTTAGCTGTTATGATTTAATTGACCTAGCTGTCAAGTTTAATTGACCAAACTGTCATGATATACCTGACCTAGCTGTCATGATTTCACTAACTTACTCCCACGACTTATCTAACCTGACTGTTGGAAGCAGACGAGTTGGAACCGAAATGGTTGAAGAACACGAAGAGACTCCCCGTATAGGTCGTGAACTGGACGGGGTCAGGGCTGGTGATGACGTAACCGCCCCAGTCTGGGGACAGGCCGTTGACGATCTTCAAGGCGTCAGCCACGGCTTTCTTGTTGAATGCAAAACCTGGATCGGAAGGAGCAGAGACTATTATTTTAACGTGCCTTAAAGTGGTGATAATACTTTTCAACTGGTGTTAAAACACTTCTTTTAAAGGAAATTTAAACAGTGTTTCTTTCAGACTTTTTTCTCCGGGGAAGGAGGGGGGGGGAGGTGGACTCAATTTCCTGCGGTGGAGGGAAGGAGAGGACGTTGTTAAAAGTATATATTTTCTATATACATGTTTTTTTCTTCAGGGGGGGGGGGGGGGAGGTGGTAGACGTTCGGGTGGGGGGGGGGCAGATTAACCCCCCCCCCCCCCCCCCCCGAAGAGGTGCTTGGAAGAAACTGAATTTAAATACTCTTTAACACTTCCATTTGAGAAGAAAACAAAAAAAAATAATTTTCTCTCTATTCTCTATCTCTATTAGACATGCGACCGCACACACATTCTCTATTCTGCTTTTTAAAGTAACTCTTTTCTACTCTCTCTCACACAAATAAACACACAACACCCATATATTTTCTCCCTCTCTACTATCTCTCACACCGGTTATATTTCTCTTTTCAGGAAAATTATAACGAGCTCAATAAATTCTTGCAAGTCAGTAAGAAAACATCAGGCTAAAGAATCGATCATTTCTCTTACTAATATTACTAGCCTTTTGACCTGTGGTTTTCTACTAGAATTCTATGTTTTGCCCAACCTGACTTGGATACAATGGGATATTCAAAAGATGGAAGATATACGGTATACAGACCAGGTAAGTACACAACGGTTCATAGGGTAGATGAAGTGAAGATCATTTGTTTTAGTGACCTCTATAAATAAAGGGGCAGTGTGGTCACCACTATGCCCAGTCACCTTTACTTTCCCTAAAGTGATTAAGGTGCCCGTAACAGCTAGTTGGACTCAGGGAAGACTTAGGACTTTAGCCTGGGATCGGAACTCGAGCCGTTTGGTTTAGCCGTATAACTCTCTACCGTCCGACCACGCCGTCCCATTTTATTATTCAGTCGATACGAACTCTAATTTACTAAATCCTCCCCAAACCATGCCCCATTTTTACAATAAAACACACACACAGACACACACACAGACACACACACACACAAACAAACAAATCAAGGGAAAAAACTCACCCGTGTCATCAAAAAGGGGGATAACTGCAAGTATATTTCTAAACCTCTCAGGTGCGTAGTGCAGCTTAAACGTGAAGTCCACGACAACGCCCCAGGTGCCACCCCCACCCCCGCGGATGGCCCAGAACAGGTCCGTGTTGTCGGTGATTGTGTGGGTGCCGTTGAACTCGTAGGTCAAGGTCATCGAGGCGTTGACGACCCGGATTTTCCCCTGAAATTAAAAATGCTTGTACGATCAAATGGTGACAGAAAAGACTTGTTATTACTTTAAGCAGTTCAACTATGAGATACGTGATGGAGGAATAGGGGTGGGGTGGAGGAGTGGGGGGGGGGGGGGTGGAGGAGTGGGGGGGAGGTTGGAGGAGTGGGGGGTGGAGGAGTGGGGTGGGGGGGGGTGGCAGGGCGGTGTCGAATTCACAAATTATGAATTGTTGATAAGTGGAAAATAAAACAACTAGGTAGCGGCTTATGCTACGTCGAGGGTCAGCTCTTAAAAATTAATCTAAGTAAGAAATAAAGAGCAAGGATGTGTAGAATATAATGAATGAAAAAAAAAACAACAGAAAAGGCTTTTCACTGATAAGCATGACAATATTATCCTTACACTGATCTTACATAATGGGGCAACTCTCTTTAGATCGTTTTTTACTTCTATTTGTCAAAGCATTTCATTTCTACATCGACTGTTGGTGGTCATTTGGGTGTTATCATCTTTGTGTAAGTAATATCAGTTAATTTCTATACTAATGGGTTTTTTCTAGATCTCCTGCACATGCAGAAGTAACGTACTGGGGCGGAGTGTGCATTTTTATAATCTTTTCATCATGCCATGTTTACGATTGCAAATCTTATTCTTATTGAGTGTTTTATTTTGAAATTATAGTAAACACAGCATTAAAAATAACGGTTCACTTATTGTGACACAATGAATTTGGTTCCACGGTGTAAACACTAATCTAATGCTAGCCTTATTTGATTTGTTGGGGGGGGGGATTTTACAAATAGTGCTGATTTTTATTTTAATATGTGTTTTTGTTTTTTCCTAAGCAACTTTAATACTCCAATGAAGTTCTAATGCACACCCAGCCACCCCCACCGCATGGCATAATGGCATAAACAGCTAGAGCCCTCGTTCCGTTAAGACTGTAGATAAAAACACAAACATTTCCCACAGCGCTTGGTGCTTACATCAGCGGTGACGATCGTTGCTTCCAGAAGGTTGTCCGCAGCTAGTCCAAACTGGCGCCCTATGGGGCTGTGCCCCCCGCCCTGCGTGTAACCGCCCATGGCCACAGTGTGGGCGCTGCCGCCCACGACCACACGGCCCACGGTGGTCCCTGACTCGTCTGGACCTCGAACTTTATCAACCTGTGAATACAACTTTATCATCATGGTAGCAGAACTTTATCAACCTAGAAATATAAGTGTACCAACATGGTAGCTAAACTGTATCAAAACGTGGTATATCTATATTAACATGAAAATCTAAAAAAAAAATAATAAAAAACGTTTTAATAACAAGCTTTTATTGTAATAATTCACTAAAAAGTAGAAAATAAATTATAGACTACTATTTAAATTACTATAAAGAAAAGCGTGGGTCACTTTAGTATCTATTGGATACCTTTACTAATGTTAAGGAAGACACCCACGCTTTTCTTTATAGTAATTTAAATAGTAGTCTATAATTTATTTTCTACTTTTTAGTGAATTATTACAATAAAAGCTTTTTATTAAAACGTTTTTTATGATTTTTTTTCAGTACTTTACATGTTTTATTTACAATAGAGTTACATGACTAAAAACCATTGCGCGCCTACTGAACATCACGTTCAGTAGGCGCGCAATGGTTTTTGAACGCAGCCATTACGCGATGGCGCAGCTATTGAAGGTGATGACGCGTGTGGTGTGGTTGGCTAGACATGCCTACTAATTCGGTCCAAATTTTAATTAATTCATTAAAAATCAATTAGGCATCCAATTAAGTCAAATTTAGTTTCAGATTGCATTGTCTTCATGTCTTGACCCACGTGCCAAATGTGAATCGTATCGGTTAAGTAGAAGTTTCCGAATTTTCACTCCTGCGTTTCCGTCTAGACTGACGACAGAGGAAGTGAGTTAAATAAAAGCTTGTAAAAAGCATTAATCATGTGACTACATCCTTACAACGTCGAGAGGTCATTCAATTCATTTAAAGGGTTAATCTGCTAAAATGAAGAAACAAAAAAGAATGTCAACTTTATCTTAAGAAACCGCGTCTAACCCCAATGTGTAATTTTATCTTAAAAAATAATTATAAATAAATAAATAACCATTTGTGTCAGTTTACTTTTAAGATAGTTCGTAACAACTAATATTTTTTAGTGATCTCTTCTTATAAAATAACGAAAACTATTTTCAACCAACAGCCACTAAGTCATTTTCACTTAGAACTAAAAAAAAAACACTCAGTATAGGCACATTTATTTCAACCTTTAAAGCGATAAGCTGATTTTGAAGCATGTGCTTTAAAAATGGGATAACATTAATTGCAATGTTTACAAATTTGTGTTTACTTCCAAACAATTATTTTTAGAAACGTAAATCCACTTCAGGGCAAATTTCTGTTGACTGAACGAAACCCCACTAAAGTTAGTATCTGCTATCAAAGATAAAACCGTTGCAGAACAAAAGCCCACTTACCTCTGTGTAGACCTCCAGCCAAGAAGCCCCTGTCTGAACTTTAACCTCCCCAGCCTTGTTCCTCACCGAGTCCAATTTGACCTCAATTCTATTCATAGATATTAAAAACAGGTTCAAACTTCCGTCATGCGTAGACCGGCCGATGTAGTCGTGACCGGAAGAGCGTACGGTGAGATGGAGGTTGTGACGTCTAGCGTACAAGATGGCTCGCTGAACGTCTTGGATGGTGGACGGCACGACGATAAACCCTGGCAGTTTGGTTTTTCTGATGTTGTGGATGTAGGACGCGTTCACTGAAACGGGATTTATGCTAGTATTTTAGGAATAATCGTATAGTTAGTGCAGGTAAATGGAACGGGTTTTTTTTTTGCATTGGTATTTTAAGGTATATCGAAGTGTAATAACTGTATAGTTAAAGAAGATAAAATGAAGATAAAATGGGATCTTTGCTAGAATATTAGGTTAATCGCATTATAATAAACGTATACTTAGTACAGGTAAAAATAGAACGGGTAAAAATAAATGTATAGTTAAAGAAGGTAAAATGAAACTGACTCTTTGCTGGTATTATAGGCAAGTCGCAATAGAATAATGTTACACTTAGTACAGGTAAAAATAGAACGGGTAATTTGCAATGGTATTTAAGGTTCATCGAACTTTTCCTTCTTATTCCCCAACACACTTAAGTATACATGCCAACTTATTTTGCGCCATATAGGCCGTTGACTCCAATTTCAGCCTGTTTTTCTTTTTGGATTGGCTTCCCTAGCCTTTGTCCAACCAAGGACAAACTACAAGGCAGCAGTTGTTAGATTTTGGTGTTGTCTCTCTTAGAAATATACTGTCCCTAGCTATCGTACCTCTTCTGTCCGAACTCGAGACTCTTTGGTTTGACAACCATAAGCTATACCGACTCGCCCTCGCCGACACCCTGTTGAACTATAATAATCAATTTTCTTTCCCGTTCATGCCCGAAGCACAGGGGCAGATGAAGTAGAGTTCATCTGTTTCAGTGCCCAGCCACCTTCATTTTCCGTTACGTAAGTAAGGTACCCATTAGTGCTGGGTGGACACAGATTCGTTTTACTGACTATCCCGTAATAGACGAACTATTAGCAGTTTTGAATGTGCTTACTATAGCCAGCACAAAATGGAGACATCACGGTGGCCTTTGACTTTTTGTTGAGGAAATAATAGACGAATTAGCAGTATGTATTCAACTTACTATAGCGATCATCAAAGGGAGATATCAGATCACCGTCCAGCTGCTGACCAATGTAGGCAAAATCTACGTGGTCTGGGAACCCCAGTTGACCTGGGTAGACTCTAGACGGCCATGTTTGGTTCTGTCTCCATGACAACACGGAGGTGACGCCCAGTAGAGTGACAGCACACAACGCCGTCCAGTACCTGGGGAGGGTTAGTAGTGTGTAGTAGGTGAGTACAGGTGAGCTGTTCAGGTAAATAGGTGATAAACACGTGACAAAAGTAGAGCTGCCTAATTATTCCATTTCTTAATACACTAAGGATAAAACAGGATACTTTTAGATAAATTAGCGGAGCGTCTATTTTGTTCTAAAAAACGAACCATTGTTTAAAATTTCACAGAAATTTAGTACTTTTTTAAAGTTTGTTGTGGGGAGGGGCGTAGGTATGTTATGAGTAAAACGGTGACTTATTTATAGTGTTATATATATATATATATATAAAGGGGATAAGGTGTGTCTGGTTTTATTAGACGACAAGGCGACAATATCTAAGAAAACGTGACGTATTTTTTTTATCAATCATCCCTGAAAAAAAAAAATGAAATGTCTAAAACGCATAGATGGTCAGATTAACGGCAAGTCTTTTTAAACAGACATAGAAAACAGATACCCCACCCCTGTGTATTTCATATGGGTTATTTAGTATAAAATGTATGCATTGACTAATGAATCTTTCCTAATTCCTAAAACTGATGTTAGGTTTAGCCTAATACCGAGTTTAAAGCAGTAGTTTTTAAATCATTATCATCCTCCACATAATTATAGAACGAAAAGCATGTAAACTTGGAATCTGCGAAATTCTATACATAAATCTTCGTCGTGCTGAAGTTTTTGGCTGTTTGTTAAATCACAGAGTACACGCAAAGAGCCCCCCTTTTTTTAAATCGCAAAATACACTTAATGACCCTATTTTTAGTAATCACAGGATAATAGTAATGATCCTTTTTTTTCAGACCTTCATTTCGATAACGCAGGAGAATAATAATTTTTTTTTTTTTTTTTTGCCTCAGACACGTAATTTATAGCGTCAGTTGTGTGTTCGCGAACACACAAGAAGAATAATTAATGTTTCTTTGACACTATTAGGTCATAAAGCGATGGGTTTATTTCCTGTATCTGGATCCAACATAAGAAATCAAAATGTGTAGACTAATGGAACGTTAGAGTACATTATAACATTAATAGTAAAATGTTAAATTTTAAATTACAAAACTAACTTGGATACTTAAAAAAAAAACTTACATTTTTATTTCACACGAATTATTTCCTTACTTGATTCTGTACAGATAAGAGAAAGGTTAGACAACTCGGCCTATGTCTTGCACTACAAACCTCGGTAATCCTCCTTTATAATCGCTCCTATTTTCACCCAGCTTACCGTAAATCACATGTTAATCGCCCTTCAATTATCCACTTTTGATATTTTTGTAGGATAGTTCTACCATTCATGTTTTCGTCATGTAAAAATAGAAGAGTTCGTATTCAAGAAAATAATTACTACGTCCGTAAAGTAAAGACCGGAATAAAAACAGACATCATTAACGAAAAGAGTAGGCCGACAGGGGCAAATACCCCCCCCACCACTTACCCATAATTTTAAAACAATTATTTTAGAATAGGTATAACAAAACTCCAGATCTACCCCAAGCCCCGTCAGTAATTTTAAAATATGTCATATTGGACTAGTAGAATGGTCGAATTGTAGAGCTTATGACTGCAAACCGGAAAGTTTCCAGTTCGGATCCCGGGCTCGAGTCTGTGGACGTTTCGGAGTCCACCCAGCTAATGAGATCCTGACTCACTTTAGGGAAAAGGTGACCATATTCTCCTCTCATATGCCATGGTCATTAAACAGATGAACTCTACTCCACTTGTCTTGTGCAAGAATGGGAATGATGATCACACGTATAGGCGTTGTAATTATTTTCTTTTCAGAAACAAATATGTGTAATACGATTATAAATTCACTGACAAATCCGATATTTAAATTGTTAAAATATAATAACATATTTTATACGCCCCAGGTTTTTAAGAATGTACAGTAAGACAAACTGAACAAATATGTACCGTGACATTAAAAATATATTTTTTGACAATATTTGTATAAGACCATGCCCGCTTACAGTGTCTGGGCCGTCTGTATTCTTTAACCGCTGTCTTTATACTGATAAGACAACCGTAAGCAAGGGTTAAATAAAACCACGTGAACGGTGACGTCAGAGAGAGGTGTGTATTTAAAAAAAAAATTAACCTGATTGTACTTAGTTCCAAAAGTGTTATTTTTACCTAAGTCAGGAATCATGGGCGTATCATTGTGTTCATGGTACGAGAGCGCCACTCACCCTGCTCCCCCCCCCCTTTCTTTTTACGCTTCTCTCTACGATATAAGCTATTATAAACCAACTATCTGTGTGTGCTCAGAGATTTATTTTAAATTCATTCAAAAAAAATTCTGTGTATTTTATGATTAGCATCAACGTTTAGGAAATGATTTAACATTCTGACAGTTACTTTATTTATTATGGTTTACCAAACTTATATATTTTTATCCATCCATCGATCTATCTGTCCATCCATCTATCCATCCTTCCATTTGTCATTCCGTCTATCCATCCTTCCGTTCATTTTCTATTAGCCCAACTGTTCATCCATCCATCCATCCGCCCATACGTCTATGCATCCGTCCATCTGCCCATACGTCTATCCATCCGTCCGTTGGAGCCGGACGTTTTCCCGAAAGACACTTGCCCGAATGCCGTTTGCCCGAAGGCCTATTTCCCGAATGGACACTTGCCCGAATGCGACAAATGCCCGAATGGACTTGACCGAATGCGACAAATGCCCGAATGGACACTTGCCCGAATCCTTCCATTCATCTTCTATTAGCCCAACTGTTCATCCGTCTTCTATCCATCCGTCCATCTGCCCATCCGTCCATCCGCCTATCCATCATCCCGTTCATCTTTCTATTAGTACAAAAGTTCATCCGTCTAACCATCCATCCTTCCACTAATTTGTCCATCCATTAATCCTTCCTACACTCTATCCATTTATCTATCCAAGGATTGCAAACATTATCACAACGACATTACGCTGTTTTTGGCTAACGAGGCCTAGTATTGTGTTGATGTGAATTTTTCACTGATAATAATTTGAAACTGTGGTTATCTAACCAATAACATCGTTCAGGATATTAAATACAATTCAAAATAGTTGATAAGCGATTAAATTATCTAATTTAAGATAATAATTTTGTTTTCAATTTTTATCTTTGTACCGGATGTGTAGTGTGTAACACGACTCGGTGATAAATGTGTTTTTAGTGTGTTGTACATCGTTAGACCGTCAACACAAATACACAACAACACAGCATCATGTTTGTTGTATTAGTGTTGTCGTTAGTTTTTCTCGCTGGGCCTGAGAAAGCCGCATCGACGTGTAAGTAAAACTAAACAATCATTTTTTCTAACCGTACTAAGTCTTTTGGGGCATTTTATTCTCATAATTTAAAAGATTATTGCGTTATTCGCGCTGTGTTTACAATAGATATCATTCGGGGTACCGCCTAACCAGATTACGTCTACCCCGAGTACGTCCACCGCACCCCCTCCCTCCCAGAGTATGTACGTCAAAAGCCCCACCCTCAGGGTACATTCACCACACTTCGCCCTCAGAGGCGTAGCAAAGGGAGGTCACTAATATCAAAACACAGACTGAGATTGTCTGTAAATGTGTACATACATAGCTTGTCGTACCTCCCCCCCCCACCATTAAATGGCGTCACATCTGGCAATTTTTATGATTTTAAAATATCATTTTATTTTTCTAAAATATCAACTGACCTCGTTCAAAATTTTGTATATTTGATTAATTTTTAGTGCACTTCACATACACAAGAAACATAATAGAACATTTAAAATAGCCGATAGAAAATTTGAGTTTCTTGCAGTACGTTTTAAAATACAAATGCTTATCGAGCATCTCCTACCTACTGTATCACATACGTTTACTAAAGTTCAAACACCTCTTATTGGGTAATGTGGTACGTCGTTTGTAGATAATCATTCAGCTGGAGATCGTTCGCCTCTGGAAATTTGATTAAAAACTGGTCTGTTCCAGCCATAGCCGTACACCATATCCCAGTAACTTTGGTATGAAAGTTGCTATTTTAAATATATGACATAAGGAGTATTGCTAATTTGATAATGGTTTATATCACACCATTTTCATTTATCTTTACAAAGTACTTTGTTAATATTATATATATATATATATATATATATATATATATATATATATATATATATATATATATATATACTAGCCGTCCCGGCCAGGCCCTGCTCTGGCTTCTGTGAAAAACCTTTCTGTTAAAGACCATTACCTGTGTGTTTAGTAATCATCATAAACCCGGCATTGCCCACCCAAACCACAACCAACCAAAACAACAAAACGCAAACATAACGCTAACACAATTACAAATACAAACGAAAACAAAAACCTAACAACAAACCCAACCACAACCACAAACACCAATACAAACACAAAGAAAAAACAAACAAAAAAGCAAACGAAAACAAAAACCTAACAACAAACCCAACCACAAACACTAATACCAACAAAAAAAAAAAAAACGAAAAAGCAAACGAAAACAAACCAAATCCAAACGCAAAACCAACCAAAAACACAAATACAAACCCAAACAAAAAAAACACAAACAAAAACGAAAAAAGAAAGAACGAAAACAAACCAAATCCAAACGCAAAACCAACCAAAAACACAAATACAAACCCAAACAAAAAAAACACAAACAAAAACGAAAAAAGAAAGAACAAAAACGAACCAAATCAAAACGCAACCACTAACGCAAACCCACCTAAACACAAAGAAAACACTAACGCGAACATAAACGCCCGGGGCAGAATCGCCTGTTTTAGCTTAATGAACGACTATAGTACCCCAACTTATTCATAGTTTTTGCACTCACTTAAACGAACGCGCCTGTTTCAATTTAATGAACAATTATAATACTCCAAGCTTATCCGTAAAATACCTACAACATTTGCACTTGATCAATCCCCGCTAATTATGTAATTATTTTTTTCCCAACACCAAAACAAAGTAATTAAAAAGTAAATGCTTTTCAACTAATGCAATGGTTTTATAAAGGGAAGTAATTGTGTTTTGCCTAATTTATCAAAGGGAAGTAAGCGATATAGGACTAAATAAAGACATAATTAGAATTTTTGTAAAAGATGATATTTTTTTAAAACTTGTGTTTAATGAACATGCCGACAATTATTATTGTAATTTGAAAAAATGAAAATGATTTCCCAACACTTTTAATAGTAATTTTTTAACTCATAAATTTAGACAAATGCGCACGATAATTTTCTAACACTTAAATCCATCGATAACCAGCGACAAACAAACATATGCGTTACAGAATTGAGCTTTATATATTAGACTAGCCGTCCCGGCCAGGCCCTGCTCTGGCTTCTGTGAAAAACCTTTCTGTTAAAGACCATTACCTGTGTGTTTAGTAATCATCATAAACCCGGCATTGCCCACCCAAACCACAACCAACCAAAACAAAAACAACAAAACGCAAACATAACGCTAACACAATTACAAATACAAACGAAAACAAAAACTTAACAACAAACACAACCACAAACACCAATACAAACACAAAGAAAAAACAAACAAAAAAGCAAACGAAAACAAAAACCTAACAACAAACCCAACCACAAACACCAATACCAACAAAAAAAAAATCAACGAAAAAAGCAAACGAAAACAAACCAAATCCAAACGCAAAACCAACCAAAAACACAAATACAAACCCAAACAAAAAAAAACACAAACAAAAACGAAAAAAGAAAGAACAAAAACGAACCAAATTAAAACGCAACCACTAACGCAAACCCACCTAAACACAAAGAAAACACTAACGCGAACATAAACGCCCGGGGCGGAATCACCTGTTTTAGCTTAATGAACGACTATAGTACCCCAACTTATTCACAGTCTTTTGCACTCACTTAAACGAACGCGCCTGTTTCAATTTAATAAACAATTTTAATACTCCAAGCTTATCCGTAAAATACCTACAACATTTGCACTTGATCAATCCCCGCTAATTATGTAATTATTTTTTTCCCAACACCAAAACAAAGTAATTAAAAAGTAAATTATTTTCACTGGTTTTATAAAGGGAAGTAATTGTGTTTTTCCTAATTTGTCAAAGGGAAGTAAGTGCTATAGGACTAAATAAAGACATAATTAGAATTTTTGTAAAAGATGATATTTTTTTTAAAACTTGTGTTTAATGAACATGTCGACAATTATTACTATAATTTGAAAAATGAAAATTATTTCCCAACACTTTCAATGGTAATTTTTTAGCTCATAAATTTAGACAAATGCGCACGATAATTTTTCTAACACTTAAAATCGTACAATTCCAACGACATACAAATGCATTACATACAGAACTGAGCTTTATATATTAGATATATATATATATATATATATATATATATATATATATATATATATATATATATATATATATATATAAAGATATATACAGGATATATATATATATATATATATATATATATATATATATATATATATATATATGTATGTATATATATATATGTATATGTGTCATATACATGTGTGTGTAAAACTTTATATATAGTGCCATATCACATTGATATCCCAACAGGTACTCTACAGATAGGGGACAATGGCAGTTACAACTTGTCCGCTACTGATGGTACCATCTGGCTAACCAGTGGTCCCTACGCTTTCAACTCTAATGGCAAGTGGCGGTCTACAGCAGACGGCTCTTTGACCGTCAGCAACAAGACGGATTCTGTGACAGGTAGGTTGTCTGAACCTGTGACAGGTAGGTGGTCTGATCCTGTCGCAGGTAGGTGACCTGAACCTGTGACAGGTAAGTGTCTGATCCTGTGAAAGGTAGGTGGTGTGAACATGTGACAGGTATGTGGTCTGAACCTGTGACAGGTAGGTGGTCTGAACCTGTGACAGGTAGGTGGTCTAATCCTGTGGCAGGTAGGTGGTCTGAACCTGTGACAGGTAGGTGGTCTGATCCTGTGAGAGGTAGGTGGTGTGAATCTGTTGCAGGTAGGTGACCTGAACTTGTGACAGGAAGGTGGTCTGAACCTGTGAGAGGTAGGTGGTCTGATCCTGTGACAGGTAGGTGGTCTGAACCTGTGACAGATAAGTGGTCTGAACCTGTGACAGGTAAGTGGTCTGCACCTGTGACAGGTAGGGGTCTTATCCCGTGGGAGGTAGATGGTCGGTTATTGCGACTAGTAGTTAGCTATTGTTTGTGTGTCGATGTCTGTCTACCTGTTACACGTATTAAGTGCACATAGACCTGTTACAGATAGCTGTTTGATATCTACTTCTTACATGTAGTTTATTGTCAATCAGCTATAGATTACAGTAGTATGTTTACCTGTTACATGTAATATTAATCAGCCTACCTCGTTAAGGTAGTTGTTGTTAGTCTTTTTATTAAAAGTAATCGCAACATGTTATTAGCCTACGATTTTCTTGTGATACTAGTTATCCTACCTGTAGTAAATAATAGTAATACCTTTGTCTAAATGTAATATTAACGTTTCTACCAGCTTACTTGTTGCATGCAGTAGATGGTTAACAATCATTAACGACAAATAATAACTGATGTTGCCTTTGTGAAAATAGCAATATATTTTGTATTGTTGTAAAAAAACGCTTAACATAGTCTATATATATAATTCTCTTCTTGGATACGATAGAAAACATCAAGCTGTAAGCGCGCCTAGCAGCCCCCTCTCTTCCTCGTATGCTACGATTTTAAACTTAGGGGAGGTAACTAAGAGGAGGCTGCTTTCACGGGTGGGGGTGGGGGGGGGGGGGGGGTGGGGGTGGGGGGGGGTGTAGGGTAGGGGTTGTGGGAAAGGAGGGTGGGGGGGAGGTTATCGTCCTTAACAACCTACTGATAGTGTTTTAAAGCACATTTTTTCAGTGGCAGCATTGGTACTGTCGAATTCACAAATTATGAATTGCTGAAAAGTAGAAAATAAAACAACAACAAAATAGCGGCATTTGGTACGCCGCGGGTCGGCTCGTATGTTTTATTTTCTTATAAGTAAATTTGTCAAACTCTAGATTTAAATATGGGTTTAGTCTAATAAAGGCTAACGTATGCAGTTAGGGTGATAGTTCTGGATAACATTTGGTCGTGTTAAGAAAGTTATATTTACAAATCGAATTTTGATACGCTGTATTGAGTTTTCACATGAACGTTTTTGACATTTATAGGGTCGTTCATAAATGACGTCGCACTTGAAGGGGGTAGGGGGGTCCGTAATTTTGTGACGGTGCGTGATGAGGGGGGGGGGGGGTCAGATGGTGCGACGTCACAATTTTGCATTATAAAAAAGCAATGTTAAAAACTAATTTAAGACGTTATTTCGCGTTTTAGAAAACTGTTATTAATAAATTGCGATCGGAATTTAAAAAATACTCTTTATTGACAGAGTACAGACAAGATTTTTCAAAAAAATTTCAACTGCATTTTGAGGGGGGGTGTAGGCTGAGGTGTGACGTCATTTTAGGGGTGGGGGTCTGGCTCTTTGTGAAGATGTGTGACGGAGGGGAGGGGGAGGTAAAAATCGTCAAAAAAAGTGTGATTTCATTTATGGATGACCCCTATGCTTTTTAAAGTTTTCCCTAGACATTCAGCAACCGTGAAATAATGTTATATAACGTTTTACATGTTGTTTTATCTTTGTCAAGGAATTGATGAGGTGGGCAACTATGAAGAAAACGTCTGGAACCTGACGTCATCGGAGGGTGTGACGATGCAGGTGGTGCTGAGAGATTACCTGGATGCTGAGGTACCAGGTGTCATGTTCATACAGGTAGGTGCTAGTCTTGTGCTATAGTTTGCCTACAGGTAGGTGCTAGTCTTGCTGAAGTATACTTACAGATAGGTGCTAGTCTTGTGTGGTAGTGTGCCTATATATAAGTGCTAGTCTTGTGTGGTAGTGTGCCTATATATAGGTGCTAGTCTTGTGTGGTAGTGTGCCTATATATAGGTGCTAGTCTTGTGTGGTAGTGTGCCTATATATAGGTGCTAGTCTTGTGTGGTAGTGTGCCTATATATAGGTGCTAGTCTTGTGTGGTAGTGTGCCTATATATAGGTGCTAGTCTTGTGTGGTAGTGTGCCTATATATAGGTGCTAGTCTTGTGTGGTAGTGTGCCTACAGGTAGGTGCTAGTCTTGTACTGTAGTGTGCATACAGGTAAGTGCTAATCTTGTACTGTAGTATACTTACAGATATGTCTTATTCCTGTACTGAAGTATACTTACAAATAGGTGCTAGTCTTGTGTGGTAGTTAGGCTTACAGGTAGTTACTAGTCTTGTACTGCAGTGTGCCTGCAGGTACGTGCTAGTCTTGTATCACAGTGTAAATTTAAGCAGGCGTAGGTTTTGTATTAGAGATGTCATTCAGGTAGGTGCTAGTCTTGAACTATGATGGGCCTACAGGTAGGCGCTATCTAAGACAATACAGGTAGGTGCTTGTCTTTCACAACAATGTGTGCATGCAAATAGGTGCTAGTCTTGAATTAGAGCTATGATCAAACAGGTAGGTGCTTTTTTTCATCAAGTTATGTTAATACAGTTAGGTGCTGGTCTTGTACACGAGTTTTAACCATACAGTTAATTGATAGTCATGTTGAAAAGTTTACATTTAGTTAGTAGGTGCTAGTCTGTCACTAGATACGTGACATATAGGGAGTCACCAGTCTTGCGTTAGAATATAGAAACATGTGCTAGTTTAGTTATAGAGAAATGCTGTCACAAGTAGATGCAAGTCTGGCTCTTGAGATATGTTTATATAAATATAAATTAATTAATATATTAATTAATTAGTGATCCCATATTTCTGCACAACTATTGATGTTTATCATGAAATTTGAACAAATCTATTTATAACTATTTGCTTGTCTCGACAGAGATTCCCACAAGGTCTAGCGGGGTCAAGGACAGAGGTGAACCGAACCGTCTCTGGTTTCCCGTCGTTCCACATGACCCAGCCTGACAGTCCAGTGGGATACTTGTCGTTTGGTAGTCAGATGTTTGGTGACCAGAGGAAGAAGTTCGGAAAGTGAGTCAACTTGTTTTCTGGGTAGGGGTCGTTAAGTTCGGAAAGTGAGACACCGTGCTTTTTGTTAGGGCTCACAAAGTTCGGAAACTGAGTCAGCGTGTTTTTTGGTAGGGGTCATAGAGTTCGGAAAGTGAATCGGTATGTTTTTCGGTAGGGGTCATAAAGTTCGGAAAGTGAAACAACGTGTTTTTTTGGTAGGGATCATAGAGTTCGGAGAGTGAGTCACAATGTTTTTTGGTAGGGGTAGTAAAATTCGGATAGTGAGTCAACCAGTTTTTGGTAGGATTCAAAACGTTCGGAAAGTGAGTACAAATGTTTTTGTTGACGACTTTAGAAGTTCTTCGGTGTCGTTATAAAAAAAAACCGGCTCAAATTGTGAAGTGAAATAGTAAAATGAGTCAAAGTGCTTAAAACTTTGGTATATTCAATTTAGAAAAACAATAAAGATAAGTCATAACATAGTTAAAATGTAGGCCCCCGTACAGTTAATCAGAAAGTTTAAAAATTAGGTGATTTTTTTTTCAAATTATTTAAAACGCAGTTCGGAATTTATTTATTAAAGTCAATGTAAATAGTACACGAATTGTGTGTACATTTTTTTTAAAATTAGATGAAATTTAGAATGAAGTTAATTAAACAAATGGTTAAATTGTCAAAATACGCACAGGAAATAATTTAAAAACGAATCTGTTGATTTTGAGCGAAGGGTTTATAAACTCTAATTTAAATTTTGAAAGTTACGTGCACATAATCTGATAAAACATGATTCTATTCTTCTATCAGATGGGGGCCACAGGCAGAAGTCAACGATGGCCTAGACGGGTCAGGGCCATTGGCCCTGTTCGACAAAACTGGCCACGCGCTGGTCATCTCGACCTACAACAATTTCATGGCGGCCTCCCTGTGGCAGGATAAGGGCGCTGGGCTCCTGAACTGGGGCGTCATGGGGGGCGTGGACTCGATCCCCGCTGGGTTTGAACTCAAGACCTTTGCCTTTTGCTCGCAGGATGGTGTTGGTGCGGTGAGTTGAGTTAGGACTTAGGTTAAAAAAATTATACATGGTCATCTCATCGTCACAACAGTATAGCTTAATGGGTCGTTGTAACAAAAAAAAAATAATTCTACTTCTTAGAGGCGTAGCGACCCTTCCCTGCGTCCGGGGATAAACTTTAAATTTGGCGCCCCCCCCCCCTCGGGAACAACCTTTCAATTTTCAATTTGCACCCCCCCCCACGTCAAACTTTCTATTTGTTTTTCCAACCCATTTTTGCACCCCCTAAGGTCGGCGACTTGGGACATATGTAACCCCCTCGCTACGCCTCTGCTACTTCTAGCCTTAATCTTGATGTATGTTCAAAATTCAGAGCCCTCCCTTCTGTGAAATGATATAAATAAAATTAATTTACATTTTTAAAACATTATTTTTTTAATTTCACACAAAACCTGTGCTTAGATTTGTAAATAACTTCTTTCATGCATCGCACGGCGTCACTAAATTTTTAACCCTTCTCTTTTATTTTTTGACATCACTTATAGACGACCCCTTAACCTCACAGCTCCCCTCCCACACTCCGATAAGAAACGTTTATCAGAGGTATTTGTTGACTTACACAATACATTTGATCGCAGTTTTGCTGTACCTAATGTCCTTTTTGATAACAAAAAAAATTGGTTGGTTTTTTGGTCTAGTTTATTGTTTGCTTGTTTTTTCGCAGCTTAGTAATATCCTATTTTTTCTACTTTAATACAGATACACATGACAGATTACAATTTAGTACAGATGCGCATTTCATAACACAGTTTGATTGAACAAGAGTCGTAGAGTTGTTTGCTATCAAAATAAATGTTAATTAACCATAACAAACACGTTAAGGGGCACTGATCTCAAACAACGTTCTAAATCGTTTTTGTAAATATATAAACGCTGTATTGCTAGTAATCGCGAATTACATCGTAACAAAAGGCCGTGGTCATACCTCAGTACGTTAATTCATATAAACAACGATTCCATTACACCGACTTCTTTATGTACACATTTTAAGGACCTGTTTTGCATTTTAAAAATGGATTAGAAATAGATTCGTTCTTAGCAGCATAACAAAATCTGTAAGATAAACGTTACCTTTTTTTTAAAGGCGTTCTCCGGGTGGGGTGACGTCATGAAGCGTGTGTACAACAAAACCAAAGACGTCACAGACTACTACCAGAGCAACGACCTGTCACTGACACACCTCGGCTACTGGACTGACAACGGTAACCTTTGACCTATTTATTTAAATCTTTACTCTCGCTATTAAAGGTGAGACTACAACATTTATTTTTTCCGTTTGCTGAAGTGTGTGTACCATGCGCTCTATCTAACGTAGAACCAAGGCTGTTTCTATAGGGCTGGTAAGTAGGTCACCAACCAGTTCTGCGGCTCAATAAAACCTGCATGAGCCTTAGAACTGTTTATTGACCTACTTACTAGCCCTTTACCAGTAGCAGACAAACAGAGTTGCCTAAGTTCTGCTTGCTTTATTCTCAGTGTTTTGAATGAAGCACAAGGGGAACGAACTCCGTTTGTCTTACGCACACATATTATTAGAGTAATTTCCCTTGAACTCATTGTAAGGAACTGACTGTTAGAAATGTTAAATATGCAACTACTGTTATCATTTATCACCCAAGAAACAAAAAAGAAGGTTCTAACTTATCACCCAGCGCCTGCTACTAGCCTACGCGTATACCAACCACACATATTTTCTTTTATTGTGTCTCAAGTCGCCTACTACCATCACACATATATTTGATCTATCTTGTCCTCAGGCGCCTACTGCTACTACAAATATTTTCTTCTGTTTTGTCCTCAGACACCTATTAATACTCCCACACATATTGTCTTGTCCCCAGGCGCCTACTACTACTACCACACTGAAGACAGCAAGGACTACGAGACAACCTTATTGGATGTTAAACACTACAGCATTGAAAGCAAGATTCCTTACAGGTCAATAATTTTACAGGGTTTAACACTAACATAGTACATTTTAGTCTGTTTAGGATAGAAACACACTATAGATGTGATGACTAAACCGATTTGTGAAATATATCAACACATTTTTCCGTTCTTGCCCAAGAAATATAGGGCAAATTAAGTAGAGCTCATCTGTTTCAATTACCTCGCCATACATGGCTATAATTTGGTCAGCACTATGCCCAGCCGCATTTGTTTCCCATAGCTGAGTGTGCCCATGTCATTTGGATTGTAATCTTATTAATTATGATAATTAGATTAATATTTAAAGTTTAACGGATGCAACAAAGTTTACATTTGAAACTGGGTATTTAAAATATTGGAAGAGCATAGTCAGACTGCTAACCCGAAAGTCTCGAGATCGGAACCCTGGCTCGGGTCTGTAGAATGTCCCTAAATCCTCCCTGCTCTGGTCGGTACAAGACTCATGAAACAGATTAATCCTGATCACATTATCTCCCTGTTAGCTGAAGCCATTGAAACATAACTGCTCAGCTCCATCTGCCCAGTGTGTCATATGTCCCATGTCTTGTGCAAGAACGATAACCAATGATGATTTTAAAATATAATAACGAAGATATTAGTAAAAAGCTTAACTTTCAAATAATTAAGTTATATGCCACCTAGTTAAACAATATGAGTAAAAAGCTTAACTCATATCGCTAAGTTATATGTAAACAAGGTAAACATTCTCCGTGTACTAGATACATGCAACTGGATTCATGGTTCTACCCTAAAGACAACATCAGCGCCGTCACAACATGGGACGCAACTCCTCAAATCTTCCCGAAAGGAATCAAGTATTCTTTTTTTCTTCCTTTATTTATTTCTTATGTTTGTTTGTTTTGCAAAAAAGCCTACTTCAATCTTTGGCGAATGGGATTTTAGTTATGCGAATTGATTTTTAAAATGGATATCAATGTGTTATGTTGTGTTTATGGTTATGAGAAGGGAATGTAATTGTAACATACAGTGAGATCACTAGGTCGGGCGTCACCTGGTGAGGTCCACACCTTACTCGCCCCCATATGACGTTACTAGTACCATCCACCATCCACCATCATTAAATACATCTTCCAACCCTCATTATTTTGACTCACTGTTAATAGTTACACTAATCGATATTGATATGTGCATTTTTCAACATTGACTGTTGTATAACCCAACATTCAGTATTCCAATATAAAACACATGTTTGACGTAATAATGATCTCATTAAACCAGAGAATTACAGGGTCAGCTCATGTTACCGCTTGTGGCTCACAACAGATACTGGTAAGTCCAGTGTTCATTCTTGATTGTCTTTGCTAAATATGGAATTAGTTTTAAACAAACTTACGAATTATTTTTTTTAGGAAATTGAAATATTAAATCATCTTTAGTTGTCAACCAAAATAAAATTAATTAAAACAAAATACTTTATAAGTTAATTTTTCGGAACTAATTTTTACAAATAAACGGTCTTTTAACTATATAAATTATATGTGATATAATTTTAACAACTTGCAAACTGTGAAATATTGTCCATCAGACTTTAACTTATTATAGAGGTAAACATACATATTATTTGTAAACCAAGCTCGAACTAAACAAGACTTCTTATTTCCCATCTAAAATCAACTATTTTTTTGAGTGACTCTTACTACTATTTTGAAACTGAATTAGAATATTAATAAACTACATTCATTTTTTGATACATATACGGGTAGCTAGAATATAGGAAGTTTCAAGAAACGTTGTAAACGCTTTGACCATATCACGTCACACGAAACAACCCAATGCAAATAACGATAACTCCACAGGTCAGTGAACACAACCTACGCCAAACAACGGGGAGGGGATTTTGACTTCATCGTGGACCCTAAGGCGTCTCTACCGGTCGATGAGGTAATGACTTGTCACTCAGCAAAATTTGAACAATCATCAAAATTTGACTACGTCATCGAAATGTGACTGAGGAGTAAACATAAGACACATTTATCAAAATATGACTTATTTTACATTAGTAATTACATTTTAACTCAGTATATCATCAAAATATTACTCAATAGTCACTCATGTAGTTTTGACACAGCCATCAAAGTTGAAATTTGTCATTAAATTCAGGAAAATTACTCGGTTATCTCTCTATAATATTTGCTAATTAGCTATTTAACGTAGAATACAGCAATCAAAAAATGACTTGTTTCAGAGATTAAAATTTAAATGAAAGGGTGCAGTTACTTAAACGCAGACATGTAGCCTATACAATAATAAATAGAGTTGTTGCTGAAGAAAATTGTGTAGTGCTAGCTCCCTGGTTCTGAATCAGATGGGTCGCGATATGTTTTCTGGGGGTACGCCATCTTGTAGACGAAACCTAACAAAATATACATTTTTAATTGTATGGGGGTCAGGGTCACTTGGATTGTATAAAATGGGGTCACCATCCGAAACGTGGGAACCTGTGTGCCAGATATGTTTTCTGGGGGTACGCCATCTTGTAGACGAAACCTAACAAAATATACATTTTTAATTGTATGGGGGTCAGGGTCACTTGGATTGTATAAAATGGGGTCACCATCCGAAACGTGGGAACCTGTGTGCCAGCAGTACAACATACTAATAGTTCTGATGTCCAGTAGATAGTAAAGCCTTTATGTGTTTATAGTATTAGGTTATTTATTTAAGAACTTGAAAATCTTTCCTATAATACGCCAAAAAAATCACAGCATTTTTTTAACTTTTCGTAGAAATTTTGGGAGTTTCTCTTTGGTCATGGAGCTTTGGAATGGGGACTCTTCGTCTACGAGCAGGTAAATATAATCGGAATTTTCAAAGAGACCTATGAACACCAAAAATCTCTAATACCTTCAAACAACCGCATACACATATTCTTATGAGCTTACACACCTGTGCTGATTACCTGTCTCTCTCTAGGACTGGCTGAATATCCAGGTGTTGTTCACAGACTCGCTCCAGTCCAACCTGACCCTGGGTCGTCTCTGGTTAACCCAGATGGGGTCAGCAGCCGACAGACACGGTCTGAAGATCCAGTACTGCATGGCCATGCCTCGTCATGCTCTACAGAGTCTGGAGATTCCGGCAGTCACACAGGTGAGCTGATGTGTTAAGTCTTGTGTGGGTAATATAGGCCTATCACACAAGTTTTGTGCAGAGGCGTAGCGACCCTTCCGGCGTCCGGGTACAAACTTTCAATTGGGCGCCTCCCTCGGGAACAACCTTTCAATTTTCAATTTGCACTACCCCCTCGAACGTTCCATTAAATTTTGCACCCGCACCTCAAACTTTCAACTTGCAACCCCCCCCCCCCCTTCAAACTTTCCATTTGCACCCCCCCCCCCCCTCACCTCTCAAACGTTCAATTTTGCCTTGTACCCCCTCCATTATATATTTTTTTAATATTTATAATGCAAAACTGACGCTAAAATGAGATTTTAATTTGTTTTTCCAACCCATTTTGGCGCCCCCTAAGGTCGGCGCACGGGGACAGATGTACCACCCCCGCCCCCTCCCCCATCGCTACGCCACTGGTTTAGTGTAGTAATATAGGCCTACTACACATGTGATGTGATATACAGGTGAGCTGACGTGTTAAGTCTTGTGTGGTAATATAGGCCTACAACGCATGTAATGTAATATCTAAATCAGGTGTGGTGATATATCAAACAGATGAGGTAATATACACACTTTTATATGTGACATACCACACAGGTGATATGGTATACAACACAGGTAAAGTGATGTACAAACGCAGGTGTGGTGATATACTATACAGGTGAAGTTATATACAAAGTCATGCGTGATGATATACAACACAAGTGTGATGATGTAAAATCTCATGTTGGTGATATACCACACGGGCAAGGTTATGTAAAAGTTATGTATGTTGATATAAGACAAACATATGGCTATATACACACTCCTACATGGTGATATATCACACGTATGAAGTAATAAAAAAACCTTAAATGTGTTGATATAACATACAGGTGAGCTGATGTATAAACTCATATATGGTGATATAACACAGATGAGGTAATATACAAACTCAATTGTGATGATATACCACACACATGTGGTGATGTACCACCACAAGTCTAGAGTTTTACACGTGAGCTTATCAACTGGAGTCCTGTAGTGTTAATTTCCACCTTGTTACGAGAATACATAATATACGTTAAGTCTTTTCCATGTAAGCCATTCGTTTATATGCCGAGGTGAAGCACCATATAAACTCTACTTCATTTAAACCTAGATATCCATTTTGGTAGATAAATTAGTTTTTTTTTACCAACTGCATATGAAGGGTTAGTATGATCAGCACTATGCTCAACCGTCTTATGGATTGATAGGATAGTCTAAAAGAGTAGCTTTACTCACCGTCTGCTGTTCCACAGGCCCGTGTCTCTAACGACTACCATCTTCAACTTGACCAGTGGAAGATTGGAGTGACCTCACACTTTGCTGACGCTATGGGTGTGGCACCTTCTAAAGACACCTTCTGGACCACCGCTAGTCAGCCGGGGAACACCTACAGTAAGACACCTTTTAAGTTAATACTTACAGTAAGACACCTTTTAAGTATAGACCTACAGTAAGACACCTTTTAAGTTAACACCTACAGTAAGAAAACTTTTAAGTCAACACCTACAGTAAGACACCTTTTAAGTTAATACTTACAGTAAGACACCTTTTAAGTATAGACCTACAGTAAGACACCTTTTAAGTTAACACCTACAGTAAGACACCTTTTAAGTATGCACCTACAGTAAGACACCTTTTAAGTCAACACCTACAGTAAGACACCTTTTAAGTCAACACCTACCGTAAGACACCTTTTAAGTCAACACCTACAGTAGGACACCTTTTAAGTTACCACATACAGTAAGATACCTTTTAATTATACACCTACAGTAAGACACCTTTTAGGTATACACCTACAGTAAGACACCTTTTAAGTCAACACCTACAGTAAGACACCTTTTAAGTCAACACCTACCGTAAGACACCTTTTAAGTCAACACCTACAGTAAGACACCTTTTAAATCAACACCTACAGTTAGACACCTTTTAAGTTAACACCTATAGTAAGACACCGTTGAGTCAACACCTACAGTTAGACACCTTTTAAGTTACCACCTACACTAAGACACCGTTGAGTCAACACCTACATTAAGACACCTTTTAAGTTAACACCTACAGTTAGACACCTTTTAAATCAACACCTACAGTTAGACACCTTTTAAGTTAACACCTATAGTAAGACACCGTTGAGTCAACACCTACAGTTAGACACCTTTTAAATCAACACCTACAGTTAGACACCTATTAAGTAAGCACCTAGAGTACGACACCTTTTTTATACAATATCTAGCGTGAGACATGTTTAACTTTAGCCGGGCAATAATGACAAAGTTAGAATGCGAACCTTCCTTTAAATAACAAATTATTTCATATATTACAATTAATCATAAAAAGTTATCGTTTTTATGTTTATCCAGTTTGAAAAAAAATACTTGAAGTACAAATGTTGTATAGTGTAGTAATTCAAATGACAAAAAATTATTTTCCTATAAGTTTTTCTATAATAAAACATATTTTACGTATTCAACAAACGCCTTTTACATATCCTAATTTAAAATTAGAAATCCATACTGAATTACCTCCCCGTATAGATAAACAAGAGTTGTATCCCACACTCCAGACTGTTGTCTCTGTGTTGAGCAAAGGTCCAGTTGGTCCAGGTGATATGATAGGTGGGACCAACCGTTCTGTCTTGATGGGGTGAGTACTCATTATGTGACGTTTAAATTAAGGGCTTAGACATATTGTAATGGGGACGATTTCTTTTTTTTTTTTAATAAAATCACACTAACTTCGTAACTGGGTAATGTAAATAATCAAGTTGATAAATATATCTGGATTACAAGTTTAACTAATAGATGAGTAAGCCTGAATTATGAGAAACTTAAACCCCTTCATCGACTGCTCCACTATATATCATACACAGTTGCTGTAACGAAGAAGGCCTTATACTGAAACCTACTAGTCCTGCTAAAGCGGTAGATGATGAAATCTTAGAGGCAAGTGGTTTTTTTTTTTTGAGAAATAAAAAAAAACAACAAATAAACATATCATTTTAACAGACAGTGCTTTTAACACCTAATAACTTTAAACGTGTATTTGATAATGTTAAAAAGAAAGATAAGTTTCTCTTTAGACCTAGCGAACTAGCGATTTTAGCAGATGAACTAGACTCTTAGGCTAGCAGCCAAACGCACTGCCATAACGGCATTGAACAATAATTGAGCTGTATAAGAAAGGTTTAAATATTGTTCAAGCTTATGTAGTCTAGTGTCTTAGCCAAGCATTTATGTGTTCTTTTACAAAACCGCCCTCTCCTCAATATATCACAAATATGCTGAACATTTTAATATTTAATCTCGGTTACTTGTTAGCACACATTTTAAAATATGTTTTATTTTTAACATAATTTTGGTTTGACTAATTTAGGTCTGGTACCATTAATTAAGGTCTGACTAATTTAGGTCTGACTTATTAGGGCTGACTAATTTAGGTCTGACTAATTTATGTCTGACTAATTTAGGTCCGGTACCATTAGTTTAGGTCTGACTAATATAGATCTGACTAATTCAAGTCTGACTAATTCAGGTCTGACTATATTAGGTCTGACTAATTAAGGTCTGACTAATTTAGGTCTGGCTAGTTAAGGTCTGACTAGTTAAGGTCTGACTAATTAAGGCCTAGTTTCACTAATTTAGGTCTAGTGCCACTAATTTAGGTCTGGTACCACTAATTTAGGTCTGACGAATTTAGGTCTGCTACCGCTAATTAAGGTCTGGTACCACTAATTTAGGTATGGTACCACTAATTATTCCGTCCACCAACAGATGGCGTTTCAGGACGGACAGGGGGTGCAGGGGGAGGTGTGGACAACCTACTCCACCATCAACGGGTTGCTGTACGGGGTGATTCTCGCTGCCAACCTGACGGCTGACTACGTCATCACACCACAGAAAGCTGGTTTTCTTTTGGACACTTTGCCAACGGTATATGCTAATAGCAGTTATAGGGTGTAGTATTGTTAGTAAGGTTTAATAGTAATTATAAGGTTGAGTAGTGTAAGAAGGGTTAGTAGGGTTTAATAGTAATTGTGGAGTTTAGTAGTGTAAGGAGGGCTTATGAGTAAGTATAGGGTTTATCAGTAATTATGAGTTTTTTTAGTAATTATAGCGTAGAGTAGTGTAGAGTAGTGTAAATAGGTTTTATGAGTAATTATAAGCTTCATAATGTTATTAGAGTTATTTTAGGGTTTAGTAGTGTTAGTAGGATTTAATAGTAATTATATTTTAGTAAGGTTAGTAAGATATAATAGTAATTAAAGGGCTTAGTAGTGTTTGTATAGTCTATCAGTAATAGTATCTAGTAACGTTAAGAAGTAATTAGTATGTTTTAGTAGTTGTAGGGTTTTGTTGTAGTTAGTAGGGTTTATTAGTACTTAGTAGGGTTTAGCAGTAGCAAGGAAAGTTGAATTAGTAGGGTTTAGTGGTAATTAGTAGTTTTTAGTAGTATTAGTTCTAGACTAGTAAGGCGTGGTCGATGGATAGCGAGCACGATTATTAATCAATACTGTTTAAGTTTGAATGTAGAGAGTAATCCAGATTAAGACTCTCTTTCTAGGGCTCTTAATGCTATACTCAATGCTAGAGACAGTTCATATTTCTTTACTGGGAAATGTTCTCTTTAACACGAATTTTTGTTCACGATGTGTGTGGTGGTGGTGGGGGTGGGGGGGCGGGGGGGGGGGGGGGGGGTAGGAGAAATGCAACGAAAATTTACTACACTCCCCTCACCTTAAAAACATTGAATATACAGTACTTGACCATTATAGAGGGTTTTTGCACGTATCTATCCATTGTAAAGTAAATTATCTCTGCGATGTTACCATGGTAACAGCTTGATGCTGCAAGGCACGAACATAAATAATATTTTTTGGATTTTATACATGGTCCTATTAGCTGCATAATTGAAAGGATACGGTTACTTGATCACGTGGCATTGATAGACAATTGTTTTTAACTCAAAGCAATTTTTTTCAATACATGCTTTATGTCTACCTTTTGTTAAAGTTTTAGAATATATTCAGAATGTTGGTAAGACTCTAATATTTACTATTGAAATATGTGTTTTAGTTCCAGACTAGTGTGTTCTACCGGTTGAGCGGAAATGACGTCACAACCGTCCCCTTCAACTCCACCGGTTCCTTTACAATTAAAGTCAGCGACTGTTGGACCAACGGGGAGCCATTTTGTTTGTTTTATACGGCTCCGATTTTAAGTTTTGGGTAAGCTATTTTTTTTTTTTAAATTTTTTTTTTTAAACAAAAAAAAAACTCTAATAGTTTTAATTTTAAATATTTTGATATTTTCATCAACTGCATTTATCCACTTCATTTTCTTAACTGAATTTTTTTGATGACTGGATGTGTTATTTAATCCCCTATATTTTCTTAACTACAGCTGTTTAAATTTATCCATGATGTGTCATGAAATCTCATGATTGCTCCCATTGCCGTATACAATTTATCCAGTTGTTAGCTATACTTCATGTTAATTTTACACATGATTTCCTATAAGCATGTAGGCCTATTTCTGTTAAATATATTCTTCTTTGTTTTTAATTGTAAAGTTCGAAGGGATATCATACAACACAATTAACTATTATCAGTCAACATGTTATGCGCAATAATAAATGGTCCGATTTCAGCCTGCTTTTCTTTCTGGATTTGCTTCCATAGCATTTGTCCATCCAAGAACAATAAAAAAGGCAGCAGTTCTAATTACTGACTAATTTTGAAATCGCGTTAAACTGCCAAGATAGATATTTTAGTTTTCTATAGATGTCGCAGCATCGTGTTGCTAGGCAACCTCACCAAGTTTCTTTTTCTTCCAACATACACATACCTAAAATATCCTTAAAGTTTTGAAATCGCCCTAAACTGACAAAAAAATTCAAAACCTTAATTCTGATTGCTCAAACTATCCGCCATCTTGTTTTCTATAGATCTCGCAGCATCGTGTTGCTAGGCGACCTGACCAAGTACGTGCCCATGTCTGAGCTGAGGGTGGTGGCGGTCAAGCAATCCTTGCTGGACTTCACAGTGGCCTTACGCGGACGGCCAGGGGATATGTTGCACTTTAGCTACATGCTGGACGGCGTCAAGAAGGACATCAACTATACGGCCAACACCTTGGGCTGTGTGGAGTTCAGCATTCTCTCTGACGTAAATATTCCTACTTTCACGATTAGGACAGAAAAAAACCAGAGTTCATGATTTTTTAAATTTGTATTTATTTATTTGGGGGGGGGGGGGGGGGGGGACTAAAGTTTCCAGGTTGGGGGCGGAAACTGTTAAAAGGATATATTTTATATGTACATTGTATTTCGTTCTGGCGTGTGGGGGGGGGGGAGAAGTGATAGACGTGCTTGGGGGGGGGGGGGGGAGAGGCGGGGCGAAGAGATGCCTGAACGACACACATAGAACACCATATCTCGTCAAACACGTTTGCGTCCATTGTTATTATGTATAATCGGTTTAGTCTAGTTAGTTTTTGTTTAACACTGACCCACCATTTTTTCTGAGGCAACGATATTTCCGTTATTTTCCCCCTTTCCAAAGTCAAATGAATTAGAGTTAATATATTTCTGTAACAGTATCGAAAGGGAAACGTATTGAATCAATAGAATGAGTCCTATGTTATTGGACTATTTGCATATCCTGACTCATTACATTACTACGTCATTCAAAAACGCCATGAAAGAGTACCATTTAATTCAGCATTGTTTATGATATACCTATTTTACGTTATGCGACAATTTTTTCCCTACCTTTTCTCCCTACATTTTCACCCTTACATATTATTCCTACATTTTCACCCTACATTTTCACCCTACATTTTCACCCTACATTTTCACCATACATTTTCACCCTTACATTTTAATCCTACATTTTCACCCTACATTTTCACCCTACATTTTCAACCTTACATTTCTATCCTACATTTTCACTCTACATTTTCACCCTTACATTTTTATCCTACATTTTCACCCTACATTTTCACCCTACATTTTCACCTTACATTTTCACCTTACATTTTCACCCTACATGTTCACCCTACATTTTCACCCTTACATTTTCACCCTACATTTTCACCCTACATTTTCGCCCTTACATTTTCACCCTACATTTTCACCCTTACATTTTAATCCTAAATTTTCACCCTACATTTTCACCCAACACTTTAACCCTTACATTTTCACCCTACATTTTCACCCTACATTTTCACCCTACATTTTCACTCTACATTTTCACCCTACATTTTCACTCTACATTTTCACCCTACATTTTCACCTTACATTTTCACCCTTACATTTTCACCCTTACATTTTCACCCTTACATTTTCACCCTTACATGTTCAGCCTTATATTTTCACCCTTACATTTTCACCCTTACATTTTCACCCTTACATTTTCACCCTTACATTTTCACCCTTACATTTTTACCCTTACATTTTCACCCTTACATTTTCACCCTTACATTTTCACCCTTACATTTTCACCCTTACATTTTCACCCCAACATTTTCACCTCACGTTTTCACCCTACATTTTTACCTCACGTTTTCACCCTTACATTTTCACTCTACATTTTACCAACACACAGAACAACGGCACCATACACAGTGACCTTGACTGTCGCTTTCAACCAATGGGCAGCACCACAGCCCCACCTCCAATGTCGTCAACCGTGCAACCGGTTACCATAGTAACCGGCAAGTCCGTCCCGACGCCGGCCACGATGATCACCGGGAGATCCGTCACCACACACAAAGGAAGCGGAAGTAGCAACCAAGTTTCGTTTTTGTGGGGAGTGTGCAGTGTATTGTTTACATTCACGTGTGTTTATTTGGTGGAACAAGTCTAGAGAATACGTTAGCGGTATCTTGTTACAAATACTCATGTGTACAGTAAACAGCTGATAACTTAATTACTAATGAAAGTAGATGTCTTCTATATGTTGAGATATCTTTACTAAGATCAGACGAATAGACTTTGTTTTAAAACATAATTATAATTATCATCTTTCTATACTTGTAATACAGGCTTGAGTAATATTGTTCAGATTTAATTGTAAGTTTGTATTTAAAGAACTGTTTTTGTCATTGACAACAAATCATATGCTAATTATTGTGCTGATAAACAAAATATGCTAATTTATATATGGGAGTGCAAACATAAATTTACATGTTTATTTTTAGAACTTGTGCAATATTAAATAAACAGTACGAAAAACGATAGTGAAAATGTAAATGGCTTGTATATTTTTTTTTATGCACTTTGATATTCATTTTAAAAAAAAACAAATACTTTGTTTTTTACGATCAAAATATGTTTTAATTTTCATGTACTTTTGTAGTTAGCTAAACTTCTGTCGTATTATTTTTAGAAACTCTAATACGTTTTTATTGATGAAACATAGTGTATTAATAACATTAAGTGCTTGCGTTTACATTTTTATACAATCCTTAAAAGTGTACGTTGAGTGCTGTGTAATTTGTTGTAAATAAAATTTTAGTCTCTTTTAATTAGCACGGGTGAAGATTGTTTCACAGACATATTAGTATTGACTAGAAAATATTGTCTGAGGAAGTTTTGCAGATTATCCGAAGGAGTGTAAAGAGGGTGGTTGATTATTCAAGTGAAACGGATTAGTAAATGGAAATCAATGTTTTACACACTGACCAAGAATAATAGTAATTCAGTCTAAAATGTAAAAAGGTTGAATAAAAAGTATCACCAGTAAATTTGACAAACCTCTTTGTGGTAAGATTTAGCCGACTATGACTATATATATATATATATATATATATATATATATATATATATATATATATATATATATATATATATATATATATATATATATATAATTTCTTGAAAATTATAATGTTTATAAAATCTAATTTAAAATGCGTACTTATTTTTTTTTAAACAAATGAATTTGCAATCGTTCTAAAAATGTATTAATTACCATAACTAGACCAAATTAATTATTCCCTAAATTGTACGAAGAAATATCTACAAGAACGGCACGCAGGGCTGCTACCTGCCTTCACATCACGTGAGCTCTACCTAGCCAATCACCACGCTGAATAAGGGCGCTAGAACTTTGGGCGTGGCGGCGACATGATCGAGATAACGCGTTACCATCCAATTTTTCCATCTCCCCATCCCCCGGTTTCCCCTCCCAGTCTCCCGGGTTCCCTCCACCGCCCTCCCCATTTCCCAGGTTGCCCTACCCCAACGCCCCCCACCCCCACTCTCCTCTCCTTAGGATTGTAAAAAGTAAAATAAATTAAAATTGTCATTTGCAACATCCATCTTTTTTTATAATAAAGCGTGAGTGATCTCCCCTAAACTTTCTCGAGTATTTTTATATAATACTGCGAGGGATATGGACATGATTTTTAATCAATTTTTAATCAATTAAACTTTTTGAAATTGAATAGAATCTCGTAGAAAAAAAAAGAATTGCGCACGAAGTGAGCAGCAAATAATGTGTGTATAATAGCGCCGAATTTTAGTACTTTACAAATGTATGTGTGTTTTTGAGAAATCGGAAATAGAGTAAAGTACTATTTCTGGTCAACGGAAATTACACACAATTTGAAAAAAGGCAGAGAATTAGATCATAATAACACAACAGAGACGTCCCTATCAGAATGTTTTCACAGGCCACATCAGCAACGGCCATGTCATAACATTGTCACATACCACAACAGAGACGACACTGTCTAAAGATTGTCACATACCACAACAGAAGCGCCCCTAAATATTGTTAGTATAATGTCGCCTATTAGCGTGTAAATACAAAGATTATATTTTCTGTTGTCAATTTAAACCATGTGCTGAGAACACAAGAAATTCACTAAAGACTTTAAAATCATTTTTAATTGGTATGCATTTATTAAATAAATGAGAAGCCAGAAAAAATCTAAACTTAATAATTAACTTAATATAGAAAACATATTTTTAAAAATTTGGCAAAATAATTTATTTTAACATCCAAAATAGTAAACAGAAATCATCTGCCACCTTTTCAATGTCCTCTTTAAAAAAAATTATTATCGGTGCTTCAGGGCAAATGTGGTGCGGAGGAGGTTGCTAATTGATAGGGCTCTCCGACCCCCCCCCCCCCCTCCTGTTTGTGTGGGTGCGGAGGATTCAGGCTCCCCCTCCAAAGGCAAAGGGAGGTGCGAGTTGTTGGAGCTCTCCCTAAGGGCAAAAACGTGTGAGGGTGGTTGGTGCAGTGAGTGTGTGTGGAAAAAACTCATTACATGTAAGTGAATAGTTAATTTCAAAATAATTTTGTAATAAAATGCAATTTATCAATCACATTTAAGTATATTTATTTCTGAATTCATTGGATATTCGTTTGCATAGGTAATGATCTTTGGAATAGAAAATGTTTTTTTTGTTAAATTTTATATTAACTCAATTTGCTACTAGTAAGTTTTGTTCAACTATTATATTTTATCCTTGTGGGTTTTTTTTTTAGCATAGGGATCCAATTTTATTAAATGTGATGAGTAGAATCGTGCTGTTTTAAGCAGTTTCCATCATGTTTTTCTGTTTGTGTGGGTGTTAGAGTTGTCTGTGTGTAATGGATTCCCCCGTCGTCCGTTGTTTGGTCATTGCTGACCTTGACACTTAGGTCACCGGAAGTGATGTTATCCTGACCGAAGTTGTCATGGAAACGCGGGTTCCTCCTGGCGAAGACGTAGGAGATACACTGGAAGAGGACGGACAGGGTGATAGCGACGGTGATGTAGCCGTGCATCTTGTTGTTAAAGACCTCGTTGTCGTACAGCAGACAGCGCCCCCTGGTGGAACATTTGACGTCCCAGATGACGCAGATGCCATCGATGAAGTAGCCGAAGATGACGGGACCAAGAAGCCAGCCTGGGGGATTGGAGGAGATTAGCCATATATTCAACCACAACCGACGCGTAACTTCCTAATTATAAACACTATAAGGGGTCAGCGTGGTCGAGTCGGTAAAGCTCATGGTTGCTAAACCGAAAAGTCTCGAGTTCGAACCCTAATGCAGATGAGGCTCGTTAGCTGGGGACAGCCACTCTTCTAGGAGAGGCAACTCCAAAATCAAACAACTGCTGCCTTATAGTTTGCTCTTGGTTGGACAAAGGCTATGGAAGCAAATCCAGAAAGAAAAGCAGGCTGAAATCGGAGTCAATGGCCTCAATGGCGCATAACTAGTTGACACGTAATCCTTAATTTTGATAGAAGCATGGTCGAGTCGGCAAAAGCTCATGGTTGATAAATTCGAAAAAAAAGTCTCCATCACAATTGAGGATACGTGTCAACTGGTTACGCGCGAATGAGGCCATTGATTCCTCTTTCAGCCTGCTTTTCTTTTTGGATTTGCTTCCTTAGACTTTGTCCAACCAAGAATAAAGGACAAAACAGCAGTTGTTTGATTTTGGAGTTGTCTCTCCTAGAAGACTGGCTGTCCCCAGCTAACGAGCCTTATCTGCACGTAATCAACGTAATTAAGGTAGTTAGATATGGCAAGCAAGTTAATCCTTACTCTTACAATTACCCAACTGCGATTTTTCTTACACTATTTAAGGGAACGAGCCGGCCCGCGGCATAACATACGCCTCTATTTAGTTGTTGTTTTTTCTACTTTTCAGTAATTCATAATTTGTGAATTCGACAGTACCAACGCTGACACTGAAAATATTTCTTTAAAACACTATAAGTAGCTCGTTAAAGACCATACCCCCCCCCCCTTCCTCCCCCCCCCCCCCCCTTCCCCCAACGTTTAAAATCGTTTCAAACTAAATTATCTGCCCCTAAATGCCGTCACTAAACCCGACTCCACGATGGTAAACATAGCGTGAATCACAGCTCACTAAGACCATGTAGGGGTGGGGATGGTAGGGAGCGCGTTTACAGCTTGTTTTCTAGCGTCTCCCAGAAGAGAATTATATATATAGATATTACAAACAGACTAAGGGAGAGAAACAAAAAAAAAGACAAATAAAAGAATCTTCTATGCACAAGTGAAACTTTTACAGTGGTAACTATGACAACAGTTATATACCGCATATAGCTTTTCTTAATGGTTAATGTCTCCTCGCCTCCGATTACTTGGTTTCCTATAAGAATAGTCGATTACATCTTCAAATTCAAGAGGGGTTAAGTCAAACAAAGCGTAATAGCTCTTACCAAATAAAGACGTCATGAAAGCTTCAAATCCCAAAGCCATGGCCTTGTCACGAGGGTCAACGCTCCTGGATTTAAATCAATTTTTGAGGAAAGTTATTTTTTTTTAAAATCAGTTGGGATGTTAGTTCTTGAAAAAAATTATTTAATTTTCTCACTATATGGATGGGTCGTGCATTTTACTTTCTAATTTCCCCGTACACACTGTCAAACAAAATTTCAACCGTTTGTACTGGACTGAGTTTTCTTAAACATGAAAAACGAAAAGGTGTCTACATTATTATGCACATAAAACACAGACCTGCTGAAAATCTAAGAAGCGACTAGCGCTTTTATAGGGGTACACTACATTATTTTAAAAAATAAACATTTATTTTTCTCATTTTTGGAGAATAGTTTAATATAAGCTTAAAACTGTTCTTACTAATGATTTGAAGAAAAGATTACGGTGGAGCTTGAAAACCAGCAAGGGTAAAATTATAGAAGTTAGATAACGGAGGAGTTACATGATAGATTTTCTGATCGACTGGATCAATACAGCTAACTTCCTGTGTCATACAATTCTCAGCAATTATTTAAAAATTGAAAAAGAAGAGTGCTACGTCTGGGTTTTATTCAATGCAGAAAACGATCCGAGAAAATTTTCACTACTTTATTTGTTCACGTCTTTACACATCACATTGCAGCCCTCGTCAATAGCCGCTACTAACTAAAAAAAGCCCCTTACAATAGGGCTGGTAAGTATGTCACCAACCAGTTCTACGGCTCAATAAAACCTGCATGAACCATATAATTGGTTGGTGACCTACTTACCAGCCCTATTGTTCACTCCAGCTTTTATACCCACACTTGACCTTGGGATAGCAATACCTTAACACCCTGGGGTTAACTTAACTCACACACACCTCTCCTCTACGCTCTAGACTATTCTAGCCTACTCCTGTAACAAAAAGTAATTCGTATTTAATTGCTTTTCTTAAGACATAATTAGTTACCACTAGGGTAATTTTGCTTGTAAAATGTATTCTTATTTTTATTACGAGCCGACCATGCTTTTTAGAAATTCATAATTTGTGACTTCAACACTACCCTTCTCCCTCTCACCCCTTGAAAGCAGCAGTCTTTGACGACAGTTTACAGAAGACAATGAAAAGATTAAGCAGAAATAGTTACATCCCCTTAGTTTCAAATAGTTTGAATACTAAATTATCTGCCCCTAATATCCGTCACTAATTCGACCCGGCATTACGATTATAAACATTCGGCGTGAACCACAGCTCACCAGACTGGTGGGGGTGGGAGTGGTAGCGATTTGCGAGGATAGGAGAGGCTAGGCTTGCGTACGTGGTGGTGTCCCGCATGGTCCCCACGTAGTGAATTTTGTATATAGATCAGCTTCTATTTAGTTCACAGTATCTTTCTATCTGTGACAATCGTGTAACTCCGTTACGAACCTCTTACTATGCAACGTGACAATGAAAAAAACATAAAATACTTAAGTAAAACACATATTTTATGTGCATTTTATTTAAAAGCTCATTATCTGATATTGTGTGTTGTACATAATTATTTAAATAAAAAAAAAGTTTTGAAGTATTTTCCATGCCATAATGTAAACTGAAGATAATTTTCGTAAACTGAAGCAAAAAAAACGTAAACCCAGGCGTTGCTATTGGAATCACCACTCACCTTATCATTACAAGAAGCTTCGGCACAACAGATAATGTCGAAACAAGAGACCTTAACGTGAAGAAAAAGGCGTAGGCGTAAATATGGTCGCAGCCATAGTCGCAGGAGCCACTGGTCGCCTGACCACCTGGAATACAAGTGCAGTTCTGATACACCTGTAGAAAACAAGAAATTATTCATTGTTTTGTCATAACTTACAGTAATGTACTATTGCAGATTTTGATGACTCTCCATAACTACGCTATCCGATTCTTATCTCCGAGTCGTCGTTACTATGTCAGTTGCCTATTGAGTCAGTTACTTTACTCTTCAAGTTAGAAGCGGTGGAGAGATGTGTCCTTTGAGACTTCAACCATTAGAGTAAGGCGTCCTTAAAGTGACCCGACTTTCCAGTTAGGAGCATTAATATTGGGAACCAGTGGCGTAGCGAGGTCGGGTGTCACCCGGTGCGGCACTTAATGGTGTCACCCCCAGAGGCGTAGCGACCCTTCGCGGGAACAAACTTTCAGATTTTCGATTTGCACCCCCCCCCCCTTAAATTTCGATTTGCACCTAGCCTCAAACTTTCGATTCGCACCCCCCCCCTCAAGTTTTTCTCTATATATTTTTCTATTTTTTTTCTTGGTGTCACCCCCCTAAATGGTGTCACCCGATGCGGTCCGCACCCTCCCCCACCCCCCGGCGTTACGCCTCTGTTGGGAACCATGCGCTTTCATAGAGGTGCCCTCAGAGTGTTGAGCTCTTTGAGGTACGTACAATTCGAACCTGGCTCACAAAGTCAGGTAGGTTACATTCAGCATTGGTGCATTGCGTTTCAGGTGTATTTTAGAGCATGGGATAACAATTGAAAATGTAATTAATGTATAAATAGTATTGTGCTTTACAGCTTTCAAGTAATAAACGACATTCCTCACCCCGCTAATGCTGTTTGAGCAGCCGGCTGTACATGGTGAGTAGTAGGTCTTGCCGTCTTGACCACAGATGGCGAAGTAGCTGTTGTCAGTACACTGGCAACCTGTGTTGCACGTCGTGTTGGTGCTAAGTGTATATATAAATATATAAATAAATATATATATATATATATATATATATATATATATATATATATATATATATATATATATATATATACATATATATATATATATATATATATATATATATATATATATATATATATATATATATATATATATATATATATATATATATATATATATATATATATAATATGGAAAGTAAATATGGGAAAATGAAATTTATGAAACAATATTATGCTATATTTGTATTTGTCAAAATATTTTATAATGTGTTTTAGTTGTATAAATCTTGATGTCTATCATAAATTGGCTACAGTTTGTTTTACGTGTCAGTCAATGATATCTTACCCCAGGCAACTGTAAAAACTACATGCAGATCAGTTTTAATTGAAAAAGGCAAAACTGTCCTTTAACATTTGTGGACCATTGTTATTAAAAACTAGACTGTTAAATGACTGTGAAAATTGCTGGACATAATAATCTCAACAAAAAAAAACTAGACTATTAAATTATCTTTGCCAGTTGTGAATCATTTAAAAAATAAACCGGGCGTGATCTCCCCTAAACTTTCTCGAATATTCTAATATAAAACTGCGGGGGATGGCAACTCGGGACATAGACAATATTTTTTATCCCTTTTTAATTACTTAAACTTTTTATGATAGAATAGAATCTCGCTAAATAAAGAATTGCACACCAAGCGAACGCCAAATAAAATGTGCATAATAGTGCTGGATATTATAAGTACTTTATAAATTCACATGCGGTTTTTGAGAAATTGGAAATAACGTAAATCACTACTTCCGGTCGACGGAAATTACTCAAAATTTGACAAAAGGTAGAAAATTAGAACTTATACTTACGTTTGAAATTTGATTTATGTATCTGAAATAGTACTCAAGTTATAGGCTTTTGAAAAAATTCAAAGTAGAAAAAGTAGCACTTTCGGTTATCGGAAATCGCTCAAAAGTTGATACGGATCTACGATTTTGATATAATACTTATGTATGAAATTTCATCAACCATGCTGTAACGGTACTCAAGTTATCGTGTTTACACACACACATATACACACACAGACACACATACACACAGACATACAGACAAGATTGCAAAATTATGTTTTTCCGACTCATGGAGCCCTAAAACGTCGAGATTCGCAAAATATCGATATTTTTTTGCACGATTACAAGACTTTCTCTATACTTCGTATATACGAGAAAGTAAAAACTAAACTTTTTAACTACCTCAGCCAGTTATGACCTATCTCAAACTATATTACTGAGTTATCATTGCATGGTGTGAATCTTCTTGAAAAAAACACACAAAAAAACCAATAAACTAGACAGCTGAATTACCTCGGCCAGTTATGGACCTCAGGTTGCGGACATTGAAAGAAAAACGCCAAGACGCACGCCAACAAGGACAATGAATTGACGATGATGGAAAACTGTAAGGCCGTTATGATCGTCATTTTGATACGCTTGGTCAGGTACCCTCCAATAAATATTCCACATATTGATGCAAACAGGGCTTTAACAGCTAGAAAAAATATTTTCAATTCTCCATTAGTTTTCTAGACAATAGAACACGTTTTATTAACGTTTTTATTTTAATTTTATTTTATCAACAAAATGATTTAAATATTTATGCTATAAAACTAAGGGGATTGATTTTTACAGTCCCACGTTAAACTTATGTCAGTAACCCAAACCAACATCACTCATCAACTTAAACATTATTTTTTACAAAATTAAATCTAAAACATAACGCGGGTATGCCTACATTGCAGCTATTTCGTACGTTTTCTTAACATCTACTATACACGCAAGACGGAATAAGGCAAGAAACAAATAACTTTAACAAAGCAAATTCCATTATGTTGGCGCCAGGTAATATTACTATTATTGGAAAATAACTTTTCACTAGTTATGAGAACAGTTACTAGATCAAGTATTAGTTTGCATTGCCTACCCATGACGTAGTTAGCCTTGTATGTGGGTAGGTTAAACATTGCTTCAAGATATTTGGGTATGTAGGAATCACCACCGCTGACACCAAACAATACGCAGCAAATTGAGATCACCATGGAGATATAAACGGGATTAGTCAAAAGTCGAACGACCGCTGCCAAAAAATCTTTAAAAAAAAAGATAGTTATTAAAAAATAATTATATGAAATAATATTTTGGTAGAGTTTTCATTTTTCTTGAATTCTTATTTTTTTATTTAACTTAAAAAATATTGTAATAATTTTATAATCTTATTATTAAATTGTAATGTTATTATACATTTTTTATTAAATAAAATAAAAAAAAGTTTGTTTCTTTAATAAGCTACTTTAATAATATACTCATAACATAAAACAAGCAACAGCAGTGAAAATAAAATGATAGTTCTAATTGACCTTTAATGAAAGTAAGGATGTAGTTGATGCGGAGATTAACTCTCGAGCTGGCGTCGTCAGGAGGATTGGCATTTCCGTATGTGGGAGATTCTGTCTCTGTGTGGTCATCGGGTCTGTTGCTGGACACAAATAGATCACGTGATCAGAATGTTGTGATTTAATTTAGCATTTAACTCGAGACAGCCTCTGTCTATTGAAATATCTGATAAAACCTCCCTGTGTCAAAATATACCAAATGAATATATTACATACACTATTTTAGACACACATTTTTCTGGTAATTTATAACAGAATCAACAGCACTGACATCGGTCCGCGTGCTCGAGTCGGTAAAGCTAATGGTTGCTAAACCGAAAAGTCTCGAGTTCGAACCGTCGGGCAGATGAGGCTCGTTAGCTGGAGAGACAACTCCAAAATCAAACAACTGCTGCCTTTTAGTTTGTTCTTGATTTTAAACAAAATATCGAATTCAGATAAGGCTCTATCCCTACCAACACTAAAAATAAAAACGAAGAAGACGAATTACAGCATTGGCGAAACATAATATCTCACACAATTTCTTTTCAGACAAAATAGAAAGCTTCAAAGCAAGATGTATGAAACAAAATATTTATGACGAGATATCTGAGACAAAATATCCCAGATATATGGTGTAGCACAGGCAGTGGTTTTGTTTTCAACAAATAGAGCTATGAAAAATTATGTTCAATCTTTACTTGTCGAGGTTCTGGCTGATCTGTTTTTTAGAAGCCTTTTGTTGAAGTTTCCTCGGGAAACAGAAGAGTGGAACCGACACAGCCAGGGCCAGACAACCAAACACTACATAACCCAGCCACCAGGCACCGATCCAGTTGGGATGTGATGGGGTCAGCTTGGTATCTGGGGAGTTTTCGTTTAGAGGTTGTGCAGTAAAAACCATACTCGGCTCTTCATTCAACATAAGGTTACCTTTATTTTAAAATTTTTTTTTTATTTTTTTTTTTATGTTGTGCTTTTTAGTGATTCCTAATTTAAAGCTTGTTGCAAAAAAAAAAAAAAAAATTAAAAAAATGTTTCGCTCACTGATTGAAGTGTGAGAGTGACAAGGTGTATAAGATATGTGACTGACTATTTGGAATGAAACCTAAATAAGAATATAAGACTCAACTTCATATTATGTTAATTCTTGGACTGAAAGTACTTTATATTCAGCATTACTAAATCATTTTGTTTCCAGTTTCATCATCTTTTCCCGTTGCAGCCCAAGACATATGGGGCGTATTAGTTTTAGGGTTCATCTGTTTTAATAACAGCGGAATACAAGAGGATGATGTGGACAAAACTATGTTTTCCTACATTGAGTTAGGTACCCAACAGATCAGTAAGGACTCAGGTAGTTCTACTTATTTGAACCCAGATTCGAACTCAAAACTTTCGGGTTAGCAGTCGAGCTAGGCCGCTACCCCTGTGTTATAGTTTTACTTCTGTAAAAGTATGAAAGTATTTTGTATTAAGCGGCCTATTATTTTATTTCCACTGTGGATATTTGAATGTACCGTGCTAATAGTAAAGCCATGTCTTAAAGGTTGGTCTATTAAAATATATGGGACAGCGTGGCCTTGCCATAGAGCGATAGACAGCTAATCTGAAAGTCTCGAGTTCGAACACCGTATTCAGTTTAAAGTCTCTAAGTCCATACAGCCATGATGGGTACCCAACCCAAGTTTAGGAAAGCAACGACTGACCACACTATCCCTTTATATGCTGAGGTCACAAAAGCATGTGATCTCTACTTTACTAGCAAATGGCCCGTCAGGTTTGAAAAGTAAACATTTTTTATTCTGAAATATGATATGATATAAATACGTGTAGCCTACCTTGATAAAAGCGTCAATCTTGATATACTGTAATATCTAAAGGTGTAACATCAAGTACCACGGATGCACACAACTTTAACTAGCAGTTAACTAGATAACTACGAAAGTTTCAAGGATATCGATGTGTAATTAACATGACAACAACCATCGGTCCTACCTTGTAGTGTGACGTACATCCGGGTGAAAAAGCCTCCTAGCAGAAACGCCAACGCCGGTCCAAACATCCCAAAACTAGTGATAACCCCTAGGGTTTAAGAATTAGAATTTTTAAACATAGAATATTAAACATTTAAAAATAACTTTGCGCTTAATGATTGATAGGTCCACATGTATTTGTATAGTTAGAAGATAATTACAATGTACCTATTAACATTCCAGTGTTGGTTTTCTTGGTGTTGTCATCAATATACGTCACTGTGAAGGCTGTTCTCGGGGCTTTCCCGAAGCCCTGTATCATCATACCCAGGAAGATGATGACGAGAGAGATAATGGCCGTGTTCTCTGACGTCAGGTGACTTTTCTTGTCCTCTGCTGACCCACATTTGTTGAAGGTCTGGTTCTGACCGTCACACATGGCACCGTAGAGAGTTCTGGAAGAGGTCACGTTGGTCTGTAGCTGACCAGTGTCCGTGCGCGTGCCAAAGATGAAGTGAGGTAGGGAGCAGACCAGGCCTGATACGCCAAATGTGATCGTCGCTACACCTGGACATGTTATAAGTAAAAAATAATTTTGTGCTTAATGTTATGATGTATTTTTCAGATAGATAATAGCACTGAGTGCATGTTGGTGCGAAGAGTGTATTGAAAATATTCGAATGATGACTCCGATTGAAAGGTGGTGACGTATTTTGTGTAGAAACGTGGTTGCTATGAGTTTGTGTGTGAGTTAGTCTAATCTTGATTGTCGGTGTGAAAGGACGTATGCTGACTGGTATGACTCGAGTTGGGAGATAGATTCTAGAGATATGTATGTAGATACAAGAATAAAGAATAGGAGAAAGACTTATTGAGTTCGTCTTATCTATGAATGCCATCTAGTCGTCTGAATGTGAAATAGCCTTATGGGTTCTTAAGGTTGTAACCTCTCTACATGGTAGTAAACTTAATGAAATGATATTTGACCGAGTCAAGTGACTAAAACCTCGCACTAAGCAGCGTAACACTTAAAAAAATGTAAATAGTTATGATAAAATTTTACGTTACATTCATTGAGGATGTTCATATATTTAACTTAACCTTCTTGACTTGTCCATGAGATCAGTTGTCGTAAGATATTTTATCTTTATGTGATGTGTACTGAGATACTTTGTCTTGATATCAAGTTTCCTGAGATCTTTTTTCTTGAGATCTTTTTTTTTTTGAGATACATTATCCTGAGATATTTTGTCTTGATATTTTTGTCCCGCTATATTTTATCTTAAGATCACTCGTTATTGAGATATTTTGTTTGAGGTCAGTTATCCCTCTGATAATTTTTCACCGAACCCGTTAGAAAGTCGCCATACCTTAAATAAACCGCAAACCTATGTTACCAGGTAGCGATTAATGAGGAACTACCAAAGAAAACGCAAAGCAGGTTGACCAACCACGATTCTGTCACCACACAGATGGGCTAGATTCGAATCAAATAATAAATAGCACTGAACAGAGGACATCTTTAATTGCGCCATACTCCAGTAGCAGTGATGTGCATTCATAAAATAATAAAATATATACAAAATAACCCTATTTTTATTGACTTATAAGCAGAGGCGTAGCGAGGGGGCGCGGGGGGTGTGGACCGCACCGGGTGACACCATTTAGGGGGGTGACACCAAGGCAAAAAATAGTAAAAAAAATATAGAGATAATTATTTGAGGGGGGGGGGGGGTGCAGACCGAAAGTTTGAGGGAGGGAGGGGGTATGGAAATCGAAAGTTTGACGGGGGTGCAAATCGAAAATTGAAAGTTTGTCCCCGGGAAGAGTCGCTACGCCTCTGGGGGTGTGTGTGGGGGGGGGGGGGGGGTGACACCATTAAGTGCCGTGCCGGGTGACACCCGACCTCGCTACGCCACTGCTTATAAGCATTCGTATACTTTCTTTCTCACCTATAGATATGTGACAACTAAAACGTTGCATATTTGAGTTACACCGGGCGTCTTAGGTATTTTGGGCTTGTTGGAGCCAGGTGTAACTATTGTAAATTAACACAATCCATAAAGAGAATCTGTGTAATTTACTGGTAATTTTCACCACCAACAAGAAACATGACAATAAGAAAACGGACGAGTAAGAACAATGTTGACACTACACCACATTGCTTCACACACTGCATCGTTCACACACTAGTTTTCATGCTAGCACACCACTTTCAAGGGGAGGCCACTCTCACATACACTCTCTCCGTGCCTACTTTTTTTGTTTTGGACATCTACGTCGCATTTGTGCAGACACGAACATTTACCCAAAAGAAATACAGATAAATACATTTCACACAAAAACGTCCGACAGGGAGATATAATTTATCTAAATAGAAAATGTGTCGATGTAACTGACCTAGTGACCTCGGTAGGTGTAATTTCGGAGCCGAGTAGCTAACGAACAGCACACAGATGAGAAACCCCACATCATTGGCTGCCAGGATCAAACCTGTCTGTTTGGAGTTCAGGCCAAATTGTCTCTCTAGTGTCGTCACCTATGCGGAGTCGGAAATATTTCATAGATGTAACAGACTCTACTTTGGTAATTTTTATCTATATTGTATTTAGCATGAACTTGTATGAAAGTAGAACACACGCACACACACACACACACACACATATATATATATATATATATATATATATATATATATATATATATATATATATATATATATATATATATATATAAGCACCAAGTTCTCGATGCCTTTTTATCATGACATTAGCTAATGTAGATGGATGAATTCATCCATGCAGGTTAATACGGGAAATGGGGGATAGCTGACTGGCGTATGAGATTGTCGGCTGGTAATGATTTTCACACCATCCTTTAGATATTAGTTTTACAGGAGTCCGACAGCTGCATGTACGGGGCAAACAAATTAAGGCATAAAACACTATCCTGACCACATTAGCAATCAAAAAGCCGATTTGCATAATAACGCCTTTTCCAAAAAAAATTTTTTTTAAATTCCACTGTTCTGTATAATATACAACATTTTTAAAAATTATCTTGGAGGAAGGAACGATTATATGCTTTCATGGAATATTTAGCAAAATTGACCTTTAATTTAATATTCAACCCTTAAAAATTCCAACCGCTACAGCAATGAAAATATCCACTTTGGTTTAAATGAAACATGAAATTACGTAATTTAAACCACCCAGATGTTGACTGAACAAAACCAATATGTATTTTGACCTAAGAAAACCCACCTTTTTTTACATAAGAAAACCCACCTATATTTTGAAATGAGAAAACCCACCTGAAATATGTCTTAAAAACCCACCTGTGAGTTGATGTATGAGGTCAAGGTCGAGGTCAACAGTGCGGCCAAGCTGTATGTCAGGGTGAAACTCCAGATGTTGGCACACGGCTGCAAGATGTCCGGCTTGAATGTCCACACCCCACACCTCGTGTCCACGGCTAGGCCTGTGTCTCCTCCAGCTGGTACTTCCTCTTGTCTATCCTGGTCTTCGGCTTCTCCTGTCTGGCGTTTTTCATTTCCTGGTTTGGAATCCTGGTGCCCGTTTCGTTCTGTGATCTTATATGTTCCATCCATCATTTTTTCTTGTTTTTCCTGTGCAGTCGAAAGTTATTTCAATCAGGTGTGAACTGACTATGTCCAAGAGGTCCAGAAAATGTTTAAAGCCTCCCCCTTTCCCCAACCCCTTATTTAAATTTGTATTGCTCATTTTCTCCCCATCAAAGTTTTGTTATCATGCTCAGCTTGATGGAGATTCACGTGACAAGTTAGTTAAAAAAAAAAACATCAAATCCCTTATAGGCATTGTTTTACATGGGACCTAACAAAATACTTTCCCGGTAGACCGGCTGGCCAGTTCACCCCTGGTGTCAAAGTTGTTAAAATCTATTATTGCGCATACATGGACGTAACTAAGAGCCCAAAACACTCTCTTAAGAAGTCGAATAGGAGACACATAACTCTTCTTTAAATAGTTGAGTTGTAAGGCCCACTTAATTCCAATCAATGCAGAATAGACGCCGATAGCACTCATTTAATTAGCCAATTTAACGGGTCCTTAACTCACTATAAAGTAGTCGAATGGGATAACATAACGCTGCTTTTGATGGCCAAATGGTGCAAAATACAAAGCCTTTTTTTACTATATTTTTGAGATCCTTACAAACAAAAATCCGGATCAATTCTGAGTTGGATAGAGCCATATCACAATACTTAGCTCTAAAACAAAACTGATGATAAGTCCTACAATCAATTTTTTTGCTTGCCGACGTCGTCATTGCAATTGTTTTTTAAATAAAGAGAGGGGGGGGGGGAGCAATGGCTTTTTAAATGCTATTTTTACTCTAGAATCAATGACGTCCTATTACTGTTTGTAATGTTCCAGCTTTAGAATGAATCCCACTACATGTACCATGTGACGTCACGTTTCGTTTTTCGATTAACTGTGAAAGATTTTATTTTGCTTGTGTTTTCTCTATAGCGTTCCCAACAGATAGAGTGATATAATGACAGAGTGACAGAATAAAACTATTATATAGAATATATATATATATATATATATATATATATATATATATATATATATATATATATATATATATATATATGTATATATATATATATATATATATATATATATATATATATATATATATATATATATATATATATATATGTATATATATATATATGTATATGTCTGATTTCTGTGCGTTTATACATTTTGTATTACAACCCTTAAAACATTTGAGTTTAAAATAAAAATAAATTTCTTATAGGGAGGTTTATGCGATAAAAAATATCTAAGATGCGGCACCCCTGTCAGATTGCGTTTGGTGACTAGTATTCCCCATGCCGAGCCCCTTCGGTAGGGTGATTAAGAGCACCGTGCTCCCACATAAGCTGTATGGCGCATACATTTGTTTTAAAGAGCGCCCTACACTACTAACACGGTGGGCAACTACATTTAATGTCAAAATCAAACCAGGAGTCGCACACGCTGACACTGAGGTAGTGTAATCCCAAATTAAGGGGATAGGCTCTCGAAAAAAACGGGTAAAAAAACTTTTTAATTTATAAGCCTCTTTCATTTATTTGTGTATGTATAAGTTAGAGTACTTAACAGAAACTATTTGGATGTACCAGGGACTCTTCTGAAAATATAGTTGCCATGGAATCGGCGGCCATCTTGGAATAAACTACCTTTTGTGGAGTTTTAAAATGTTCTAAAGTAGCATATAAACCGCCCATATAATCATTGATCCTTATTGTACTAACATAAATAGAGTCTGCTGGCTAGTTTTTGTAACCAAAAAACAGCTAGAGATATTTGTTTTCAAATTTTCAAAAAATTTTGTGGTGAAATTCCATTGAATTTAGCGTTATTTTCATTTGAATTGCGTCACACTAAATTTTGAAAATTAAAAAAAAATATATTTCTAGAGTGATTTCTGTTACAAAAACTAGCTAGCTGACTCTATTAGCGTTGGTACAAGAAGGATCAATGGTTATATAGCAGATTTTTATGTTAGTTTATGAAATTTTAGAACTCCAGAAAAGGATGTTTCTTTCAAGATGGCCGCCGTTGCCATGGCAACCATATTTTGAAAAGAGTCCCTGATGCACGGAAATATGTTCCTTCAAGTACCCTAACTTAGATATACACAAATGAATCAATTAAAGGTTTTAATTAAGTAGTTGGTTTTTTTGGAGCCTACCCCCTAAGATTTCATGAGTTAATGAAAAGTGAACTTACTTTTATAACTTTAAACATGGATTCTAGAACCACGAACGTTTAATACGAAAACAACTTGAAAATGAACGTACTTATTAAAACAAATATTCTGATATTGTTCTGCAAAACGTAGGTTATCGCTTCCAAGATAATTGCGTTATGTAAGCGTAACTAATACTATTTGATATGGAACTTCAACTGTCGACTGCTCGACCTAGTTATTCTAATGATAAGGTTCACCTAAATGTACTAAAGTTAGGCAAGACTGGTACAAAAAAAAATTGATTATTTTATCTCGGGAAGGATATCAAGGATACGCATGCATGAAGGAAAATGTGACACATCTAGTGTGTGCGCCAGTGTGTATGTGTGTGTGCGTGTGTGTATGTGTGTGTGTCTGTGTATTTGCGTGTGTGTTTTTCCGTGTGTGTGTATGTGTTTGTGTGTGCGTGTGTGTGCGTGCCTGCCTGCTGGTGTGTGTGTGTGTTTTGCGTCAGTGCGTTTTGTGTATCTGTGTTTGCGTTTGCGGCTGGGCATTGTGCTGACCACAATATCCCTTTATATGCCGAGCTTCTTTGTATCATATACACTATTATTCATCTGCCCCATGTGTCTTGGGCCTGAATGGGAATGATAAAAGAATAATTATCAATAATAACAATTAGTGAATAAATATATCAAGCTTCCGTTAAAAAATCCAAAAAATACCAGTAAGCACAACATGATGGTAAGGGTTTATACACAAGAAAAATCCCGCAAGTGATAATCAATATTATATACTAAACAAGTTAACAATCAATATTTAATTAGCTTGTTTTAAATTAGAAATTTCCCTTTTGTAATTAGTATCGGCCACGTAGCTAAACCGTGTTTGACTATGGACACATTTCGGTCAGCACAGCTTGAGAAGTCTAGTAAGTTTTGGTCTAATCTCTCACAAAACCATCTAAGACTTTTAGCAGTAATATTTATATGAACTAGTCTAATCACATTGTTTTTGCATTTATTTTCAGATTTCTTTTGTCATAATATTAATACTCTGTAAGTTATTAAAAACGTATAAACTATTCCGTTATTTCTGTATTTTACAACACGTAAACAGAACAGATGAACACAATGCGTCTCGCTCTACTTGTTCTGGCCATTGCTGGTCAGCTGGTCAATGCGGACTACCTAGACGACCAACGGGACTTGTCGGCAGCGACCTCTGGATTCTCCCAGAGACTGTACCAGAAGGTGGCACTGGGCTTACCAAGTATGGTCTACTCACCTTACAGGTATACGTTTGCTTCACCAGGTAGATTCTGGTTTCAGTGCGTAGATATTTATATCGCGGGCTTATTCTATCTTACATGTAGACGTACCAGATTTTCTTAAATGTATTCATTTTTTTCTTTTGAATGTAGATTTTATATTTTTAAACGTTGGTTTTGCTAAAGAAGATACATTCTAAATTTTAAAACGTCATTAGAAGTGCTAATCATTTTTCCCTTAATTAAGGCATTGTACCTTTTCTGTAAAAAAAATGTTTCTATCAATTTATTTTTGATAACTTCACCTTAGTTGTTATAATAGATTTTAAATGCTTTATGCTAAACTTAATTTAAAAACAAAAAATAATTTAATTGACTAATTTTATTCGCATTATCTACCTAGTTATATTTTCCTTTCTAGAATCAGTATGAACTTACTCAACAATAAAATACAATCAATTATTATATTGTTATAGTTATATACTATTGTTATGTCATTGAATTTTTAGCATCCATTCGGTATTGGCAATGGCGTCATTAGGCGCCAGAGGAAATACAGCTACAGAAATGAAACAGGCGCTTGGGATTACATCTCTCGCTGACAATACTCATGAGATGTATAGGCAACTTATTTTGGATGTAAGATTACAACATTTGCATATACGTTTCGATCAATTATTCACATAATCGAATTTATTAATGTAATTTGCTTTCAAATAAGATATTTTACTCATTTTCTTAACCATAGTTAGCAGTTTTATAATTTCAGAATAGAGCCGCACTTTTCAATTTTGATGAAACGCCAATAGTTGCTTTCAATGTTTATTACGTAATACGCCATTTAATTTAAAATTACAAAGTAAAACTGCCAAGTAAATTAATTAATTACAATGTTTTAATTGCTCCAAAACACCGACAGATAAACTCGGTAACGGATGTGAAAATAAACACAGGAAACGCCATTTTTGTAAACCCAGCATACAAAATCGTGCCTCAATTTGTGGCAGATGTTGAGAGCAAGTACTTCGCCAAGGCTGGTAACATTGACTTATCTGCCCCTGGTGGACCCGAGGAACCAATCAACACTTACGTGGAAAATGCTACAGGAAATATGATACAAAATCTCCTTTCAAAAGGTTTGGTATTGTCTAAACACCATCAGGACAAATCTCCAACCAAAAAGGTTTGGTGTTGTCTAAACACCATAGGTAAAATTTAAAGTAGTGTTATTGATTTTACAATAAAGTTAAAATTAGAAGTCTCCTTCCACAAGGTTTGGTATTGTCTAAACACCATCAGTAAAATTTAAAGTAGTGTTATTGTTTTTAGTTGAAAGCAGTGGCGTCGCTAGGTCGGGTGTCAAAGGGTGCGGGACCTCATGGTGACATTCCCCGCCCCTTTCCTAAGAAACCCAGTTTATATAAATATATAGAAATATCACCGATCCGAGGTCACATACAGAATGTAACTTTATATATATATATATATATATATATATATATATATATATATATATATATATATATATATATGTATGTATGTATATATATATATATAGTTGAAATTGGTGACATCCCCTTCCAGCAGTGGCGGTGCAAGGTCGGGTGTCACCCGGTGCGGCAACTAATTGTGTCATCCCCCCTCCCCAAACAGACGTTGATTGACGTGTCAGTAATTACATTTCTCAAGAAAATATTTTTCTTTAGCATGGTTTTTGAAACGTTTAGTCGCTTTTACCCCCCAATCGCGACGCCTCTGTTCTCCAGCTGCCATTTAGAGTGTCAGGTCTGAGAAATTGTGAATTAATTCATGAATTATCGATATTTGCTTCCATTGAATGTTTATGCCTTTGCTTATAACAACAATTAGGTTCAATTAATTCCGATACCGTGGTGATTTTGATCAACACCATTTTCTTCAATGGAACCTGGACATTTCCTTTTCCCAAGAACACAACGTTTAGACGTCCTTTTTATAGCTTGGATAGGGGAATCAGCACGGTAACGTTTTAGTGATATTTAAATTCAATTTGTCGAGATTAATGATTAAACTTCTTCTTCGTTCTTGAGCTTGGTGTTAGAAGGTATCCTCTACAACACAATTAAATATACATGTCAACTGGTTATGCGCCATTGATGCCTTTTACTCCGATTTCAGCCTGCTTTACTTTTTGGATTTGCTTCCATAGCCTTTGTCCAACAAAGAACAAACTACAAGGCAGAAGTTGTTTGATTTTGAAGTTGTCTCTCCTAGGAGAGTTGCTGTCCCTAGCTAAAGAGCCTCATTTGCCTAAGGGTTCGAACTTGAGACTTTTCGTTTACCAACCACCGACTTTACCGACTCATCCACGCCGACCCCTTAATGATTAATAATAATTGACATTAAAATTAAATGCATTTAATTAAGCTCAGCCTTATATACATTTTGAAATAACAATATGTAAAAATAAATTAAGAAGTCAATATCATTTGTCAGATGTTTTTAAAGATTTATACACACTAGGTCGACATGATGAACGATAACATGACAATTAAATACAAGAAAGATAACTCTATTGGGATTGAGGTAGTCGAGTTGCCCTTCAATGGTGAAAGATTCCATTTTTACATAGCTCTACCAGAGGAGGTGAATGGTATCACAGATTTAGGTATGTTGTAGGTCACAAACTAAATTAAAGTAGAAAGTGGCCAATCTAATGAAGAAAACATTTGCTTGACATAATTAAATACAATCTGGGGCACATTTTCAATTTGTTCTTCAAAATAAATATCGCTATCTTTACAAAATTTAAAGTCACTATGTATATGTGTTGTTTTTAAAGAAAAACTTCTAGCAACGCCAGGAAAGGTCGATACACTGTTCAGTGGACTTAGCTCTGAATATTTGGATGTCAGCATTCCAAAGTTCAAGACTGAGACAACTTTATACCTGGTTCAACCTCTGAAAGATATCGGCATGGTGGAGGCTTTCAGTCCTGGTTACGCCGACTTTACTGGAATCATAAGAAAAGGTAAGTTGTTGAATAGGTAAGTATAAATATGTAAGTTGTTATCTAGACACTTAAAACTGATTTTATTAATATGGTACAGCGTTAAATAACTTGAGGATGTACATACTTATATACCTAACAACACAATGTATGATAGATAACTTCAGACCTAGTCTGTAAACAGTAATTTTACATTGAAAATAACAAAGCGACTTAAAATCACAAACTATCCACACACGTGCTATTATTTACAGAAAAATAATTTTTTCGTACCAAAAAATAAGGTTAAATAAACCGGGAGTGATCTCCCCTAAACTTTCTCGAATATTCTTATATAACTTGAAATATGGACATGTTTTTTAATTACTTAAACTTTTAAAAATAGAATAGAATCTCAAAGAAAAAAGAATTGCGCACCAAGCGAACGGCAAAACAAAAGATGCATAATAGTGCGCAATATAATTAGTACTTTATTAATTTAAATGCGTTTTTTGAGAAATCAGAAATAGCGTAAAATAGTACTTCCGGTCAACGGAAATCAATCAAAATTTGACAGAAGGAGAAAATTAGATCTTTTACTTATATGTAAAATTTCATTTATCTATCTGAAACAGTACTCCAGTTATAGGCTTTTGAAAAAGTACCACTTCCGGTTATCAGAAATCGCTCAAAAGTTGATCAGAATCTACGATTTTGATAAAATACTTATATATGACATTTCATCAACCTAGCTGTAAAGGTACTCAAGTTATCGTGTTTACACACAGACAGACACATGGACAGACACACAGACAGACACACAAAATAATTATTGCAAAATTATTATTTTCCGTACCAGTGAGGTGTAAAACGTCGAGATTTGTAAAAATCTTGATTTTTTTTTGCACGATTACAAGACTTCGTATATACGAGAAAGTAAAAACTACATTCGCGCAGCAAGAAATATATATTCATTTAACTGAATCTATACACATTACACACAAAATTAGACTATCTAGTAAAAGGAGATAGCATTAATTTAAAAACAACAGTACTATGGAGATTTAAATAAGTTCAAAAATGCATTTATTGTAACCTGATCTCGGCCACAGGTGGGGTGTTTATCAGCAGTGTCATTCACAAGGCCATCATTGACGTCAAAGAAACAGGAACTGTCGCTGCTGCAGCTACATCTGTGGTTATGTCAATCACCTCTCTCAAGCGTCCTCCGGAAAAAAGATTTGTCGCGGACCATCCTTTCCTCTACTTTATTAGAGACGAATTAACCCAACAAATTTTGTTTCAAGGAAAATTTTCCGGATAATTAAATAAACAATGCGTTGAATTGGCATGTGTGGTTTCTTAAATTTATGTCTGTGCAAGTTTTGCTATGATGAGATTTATAATAAAAGAAAATAAATTTTTCTCCGACGAAAATGGAAAAAAACATCAATCCTAAACTATTTTCAGTAAATGACAAAGCTGTAGAGAAAAAATATTTGCTCTCTAGTATTAAACAAGTTTATTTTTACCGGAGCCTACCCGTTAAAAGACATTTTAGGGTGGTACGAATAGCACGTTGTACGATTGACCTACCGCTACCCGCATGTAAATACTAATTTACCCAAAGTCCACAAATATATGCGGCAGATCGGATCTAAAGAAGTTGTAAACTGTTTGTCAAATTAATTCTAACGAGCCGACCCGCGGCGTATCATAAGCCGCTATTTAATTGTTTTATTTTCTACTTTTCAGTAATTCATAATTTGTGAATTCGACAGTACCAATGCTGCCACTGAAAATATTTGCTTTAAAACATTATCAGTAGCTCGTTAAGGACGATAACCCCCCCCCACACCCACCCCCGTGAAAGCAAACTTAGTTACCTCCCCTAAGTTTAAAATCATTTCAAACTACATTATCTGCCCTTAATAGCCGTCACTAAACCCGGCTCTACGATTGTAAACATTTAGCGTGAACCACAGCTCAACAGACGATGTAGGGATAGGGGTGGTAGGGAGCGCGCTTACAGCTTGGTGTGTTCTAACGTCTCCAAGAAGAGAATTATCTATATAGATTTAAAAAAAAAATGGTCGTAAAACTGAAACTGATTGTTCTTTAAAGTCAACCTTCTTGATGTATAAAACCACCACGACACATGAAAATTAACATTTCTATTGACATAGTTAGAGTACAGCCCCCTTGACCAAACGATGCACGTGAGGATTGTGATACTCACACTCCAACCCGTCACGTGCAAGCTGTCTATGACAACTTAAACTCTTATCGTTTGTGAAAGGTACATTCCATGTTAAGCTCATGATTGATCTTTCATGATAACATCTTAATACGTTAAACTGTTTATGAAACTGGAAAAAAAAACAACGAAAAAAAAAATTTTGAACACACAAAAAAATGTATTTTGATAGAGCTTTTTCTCGAATACATTGAATGGACAAGTACCCTTGCAAGATAAAATAAATTAGTAACTGTGGATGGAAACCAGAGTTTCTTCCATGTATCTCTTCGGTCTACCGCCCCCGGAAATTTAAAGTGCCCCCCCCCCCCCCCGCGGAGAAAAAATTCAGGAAGGAACACTGATGGAAACAAACAAAGGCTATTGGTGATGTCCGGATTCCTGTCACAAACATAGTCTCAACTATGACCCTACCCGCACTGGCAAAGAAATATATTTGACTAGAATTTATTAGATTAGAAGATTATTTTAATAACAGGCTAAATATTTACAGCAAAGTTTTTTAAATCAGATGATCAATATTCTCCAGTTTTACAAAAAGCTTATGTATGAAATACATATCACAATATCAAACACCATAAAGGAGTCATATAAAACATTAAAGAACAACATGCATTACACGATATGAAAGTTGCCTCTACGTTTTGGGCATTTATGTCTTGGTGCAAATGTTCGGGCTATTGTCCCATTCTTACCAACGTCCATTCGGACAATTTTCCCATTCCAACAAACGTCCAATGGCGTATTAGTCGTATTCAAGCAAATGTTTATTCGGATATTTATCCCATTCTGGTAAATTTCGATTAGGTCATTTGTTCTATTCGTGTAAACGTCCAATCGGGAATTTTTCCCATAGGTACAAAGCCCCCTCTGGCTTCTGTCACTTTTGGGTAAGTAACTTTAAGGAAAAAGTCTATATATTGTCTTGAAATTGTTATTTTTGTTATTAGTTGTTTACTCATCCGTAAGAAGTTATCAAGTTTTGTCTTCAGTCTAGGGTAAATCGTGTTGGAATACATTCCGTTCGGCGCAGACAAAGTTAAATGATATGTACTGACAGCGGCATTTAAAAAAAATTAAATTAAAAGCAATATTCGGTATTCTCAGTAGACATGAGGTGTATTGCTAACAGTAAACAAAGCAATTAACTTTATTTATATTACTCCAGTCGCTTTTTTATGCTATCGTAGCGATTTTGGTCGACTTGGGTTTAAACTTAGTTTTTAAGTATTGATTAAGTTATGAGGGAGGGTATACTTGTCTTTTCATGATTTTGGAAGTTGTAAAACATACATTGAGAAGTCTGCAGTTAAACGTTAATTTAAATATTTATTGTGTGCGACATAAACGTAAAAAAAAATATTAAAATTTTTTTTAATAACAAGCTTTTATGTAATAATGCACTAAAAAGTAGAAAATAAATTATAGACTACTATTTAAATAACTATAAAGAAAAGCGTGGGTCACTTTAGTATCTATTGGATACCTTTACTAATGTTAAGGAAGACACCCACGCTTTTCTTTATAGTTATTTAAATAGTAGTCTATAATTTATTTTCTACTTTTTAGTGCATTATTACATAAAAGCTTGTTATTAAAACGTTTTTATGAATTTTATTCAGTACATTACATGTTTTATTTACAATAGAGTTACATGACTAAAAACCATTGCGCCTATTGAACGTGATGGCGCAGCCATTGAACGTGATGGCGCAGCTATTGTACGTGATGACGAGTGTGGTGTGGTTGGATAGATATGCCTACTACTTCGGTCCAAATTTTAATTTATTCATAAAAAATTAATTAGGCACCCAATTAAGTCAAATTTAATTTCAGATTGGATTGTCTTCATGTCTAGACCCACGTGCCAAATGAGAATCGTATCGGTCAAGTACAAGTGTTCGAATTTTCACTCCGGCGTTTCGATCTAGACAGACTGACGACAGAGGAAGTGAGTTAAATAAAAGCTTGTAACAAAAACGTGACATATGACCTAGAAAAAAAATATAAATCAATTTAGTTTTGGATGGCTGTTTGTTTTTAAATTAAATTACTTTTACATTTTTTAGGAGTTAATAATCTTATTTGTGTAGTAAATCTGTCGTGTTATGTTGACAAACACATTAATTGGATTAATTGTAAGTATCTGATCTTGACATACATACCACCTATGATATTTTGGTATATACGTAAAGGCAGTTAATAACTTCATGCGAACATGAGTGTGTTAGGGAATTCGTAGATCACACTATAAAAAAATATCAAATGTATAACTACATTGGGGAATGTATAGATTTAATACCAACACAATTAAAATGTTTGACAAGACATGTCGGATTTATGTAAGTACGTGCAGCTAAACTTTTTGATACGCTTTACATCAAAATTAATCACATAACTCAGTTTAATAGCTGATTAAACATATTGCTTAACTGATATTCGAACTCCGGTCACTGGCGTCTTTGGAGACGAAGGTGGCGCAAATGGACAAATAGAAAATACCGTATTAATAAGTTTTACAGTAAATGCAAAACAATTTGAAAAACATATTTAATATGATAATTGATTTACATTAAAGTAAGCAGTGCAGGTATGTGCATGCCCCTTGCTCTATGTATATAGGTTGACATTAGCTTTGTATAAGAGTGAGTAAAATATAATCGTTTGATAAAACGTTTATATGGATATAATTTTTTAATTTTCTGTATAAGCCAAAACAGCTAAAGTAAATAAGTATTTCTGCATTTTAAACCTTTTCTTTTGTTCTCTCACTGCGTGAGTTAGAGTTATCTCCTTTTAACAAGTTCTCGCTATCCTTTTTGTTGTCCTGGCTGACCTTGACACTTAGGTCGCCGGACGTGAGGTCATTTTGACCGAAGTTGTCATGAAAACGCGGGTTTTTTCTAGCGAAGACGTAGGCGATACACAAGAAGATGATGGAGATGGTGGTGGCGACGGAGATGTAGCCGTGCAGCTTGTTGTTAAAGACCTCGTTGTCGTACAGCAGACAGCGCCCCCTGGTGGAACATTTGACGTCCCAGATGACGCAGATCCCATCGATGACATAGCCAATGATGACGGGACCAAGAAGCCAACCTGGGGAGTTTACGGGGATATAAAAGGGCGAAAATGCTTTTAATTTAAATTTATTCATATGTACAAATTTTTGAATATTTTATACATTTTAATTAACAAATGTTAATTACAACACCTATTATTTACACAGGTTATAATATATATATATATATATATATATATATATATATATATATATATATATATAATAATTTAATATATATATACAATTTTAAAAAAAAATCGAAATAATAATAAATAGTAAACATTTTAAAAGAAAACATTTTTTTATTCTTTATTACACATTTTGGTCGCTCATACAATATGTTAAATATTTCAGCGACCAAACGTTATAAAACAAATGCAACAAAAAAGCGACAGGGAGGTAAACTCGTACAAAAAATGTTGAATACTAAACACTCTACAGACATTACTCACTCATTATCACCCTAATTGATCCAGGGAAGTAACTTTAAGGTCGTGGAGTTAACTCTTACTAGACGTAATGTTTACCCTCTTATATACCTTTTATTTGTACAAGACAAGCCTGTTATAGGGCTGGTAAGTAGGTCACCAACCAGTTCTTCGGCTCAATAAAACCTGCATGAGCCATATAACTGTTTATTGACCTACTTACCAGCCCTTTTGCGAGTGCTTAAATAATGAATGGCAGGGAAGCTAACTCTTACCGAATATTGACGTCATGAAAGCTTGAAACCCTAAAGCCAGAGATTTATCCCGGGGATCAACGCTCCTAGATAGAAAAATGTATTTTAAAGCTTTAAAATATAAAAAAAAATATTGCAAGAGTCTTGTTCAGACAGTCATCGGCATATGTATCATGTTAAGCAGCATAACTTTATTAACTGAGAGATAACTTAAATACTGTCTGTTAAATTATGTATATAAACATAGGAAACTGTAAATTATATATTTATCTATCAATATACTACTAAAACTCAGGTTTGTTTACAGGTTTCTTATTTATTTATTTTTTTTTTGTTTTTTCTGTATGGTTACAGGAGAGAATCTGCACTATGTGTGGAGCTGTAAAATACGTATTTAGGTAATGAATAAATTGTTTTTGTGACCTCGGCATATGAAGGGATAGTGTGGTCAGACCCATGTTCAGCCGAAATAACATGTTTTCATAAGACAAAAACGTCTCAGGTGTGACGTGTTTTTTAATGTGGGGTCTGGTTTTTTATGTGACGATAAGTGACAGAAGTGAAGTCATTCACGGAAGACCCCCGAAACCCACAGTTATCCAAGGATAAAGGGTAGTCTAGTCTAATGATAAAATCAAAGTGTATTGTAAACTTATTTTGTGACGATATATATTTCATATGTATTTCAGAATTATAGTTTTTCAAATGTATTGCTAAATTACATTTTTACGACATATATTTCAAATGTATTGCTAAAAAATATTTTTGAAGAAATATATCTCATATCTCGGCCTATTACAAAAATATATTTTTGGATAAATTTAGGATATTTAACGTTTTCTTCAGCATGGTCGAATGGTAGAGTGTTCAACTGCTAACCTGAATGTCTCGAGTTCGGATCACAGGTGCCAGTCCGTTCAACATCACTGGGCCATACAGCTCTGATAAGTACCTCACTCCCGTTAGGGAAATTAAAGTTGAATCAGCATAGTGCTGACCACACTATGCCGGGGTCTCTAAAACAGATGAACTCCATTTCACATGCTTCATTTGCCATTAGCTTAGACACTGGATTTTTTATTTAAGCAGCCAAACGTAAAGTAAAGTAATTAGACTTAAATCAATAAGTAAACCGAAGTTTACCACCTACACCACCACCCAATTTATAGTAAAAATTAGCCTTGGCACTATCGTTATACCACCACCCACCTTATAACAACAAGAAGTCTTGGCACTATCGCTATACCACCATCCACCTTATAACAACAAGAAATTTTGGCACTATCGCTAAACCACCACCCACCTTATAGCAACAATAATTTTTGGCACTAGCGATATACCACCATCCACCTCAGTGGCGTAGCCAGGATCGTCTCAAAGTGGGGGGGGGTTCCAATTTTACCCGGGGACAAACTTTCGATTTGCACCCCCTCAAACTTTCGATGTGCACCCTCCCCTCATACTTTGTATATATATACCGAGGGGTCTATGGGGGGGGGTTATGACTCCCCTAACCCCCCCCCTGCCTACGCCACTGATCCACCTTATAACAACATGAAGTTTTAACACTATAGCTATACCACCACCCACCTTATAACAACAAGAATTTTTGGCACAAGTGATAGTGTGGCAACCAAAAACCGTATCGTGAAGAAAAAGGCGTAGCCGTAAATGTTGTCGCAGCCGTAGTCACAGTAACCGCTGGTTGCCTGACCACCTGGAATACAGGTGCAGTTCTGATACACCTGTAAAATACAAGACGGTAATTGATTTGATTATAACTCGAATACATTTTCGTTTTTTTTTTTACATTTATTTTATTTTGTATAGAAAGAGAAAGGCAGTATACTTCCTTAATGTTTAGTGTGCTTTATTGTTTTTTTTTTTAATGATGAAGAACTTTTGCGAATATATCAATTGCTCAATTTTTCAACGTTTTGCACTTCAGGAAATATTTGTCCAAGCGCAAGAATGATTTACTGGCTGTGATTATTATTCACTCTTAATAACTAAAAACATAAGTTTTGCAAGTACATATCTCACTTTCACAAATATAAAGTCGTGTAAAGTAGTAACACATATTCACTCTAAGTAAATAAACGCACATTTTTTTTACAAGTATATATCTCACTATCACATACGTAAAGTACTGTGAAGTAATAACACATATTTACTCTAAATAAATAAACGCGTAAATCACTATCACAATATGTAAAGTAGTGTAAAGTAGTAACACATATTTCTTTTACCCCGTTGAAGACTTTCGAGCAGCCGGCTGTACATGGTGAGTAGTAGGTCTTGCCGTCTTGACCACAGATGGCGAAGTAGCTGTTGTCAGCACACTGGCACCCTGTGTTGCACGTCGTGTTGGTGCTAGATCGATTACATGTGTAGACATGTCACAATAGAAAGAAATAAAAAAATAATTGGATATGATATTGTCTGTGCTTTGTTTATAGTGTATGAAGCCCCATTTTTCGAACACAATCTTGCAGTTTTTTTTTATCCACAACACATTACTTGCATTATAAAATATATTCGTTTCATTAATTATAAATTAATGGACCATTGTGTCTAGAACTAGACTGTTGTATTAACTGTATCAGCTATGGACCATAGTGTCTAAAACTAAACTGTTCTATTACCTGTATCAGCTATGGATCATAGTTTCTAAAACTAAACTGTTATATTACCTGTATCAGCTATGGACCATAATGTCTAAAACTATACTGTTGTATTACCTGTATCAGCTATGTACCACAGTTTCTAAAACTAAACTATTATATTACCTGTATCAGCTATGGACCATAATGTCTAAAACTAAACTGTTCTATTACCTGTATTAGCTATGGACCATAGTGTCTAAAACTAGACTATTGTAATACCTCTATAATTAATGGTGCAGGACCATAGTGTCTAAGACATAAACTACCTTGGCCAGTTATGTAGGGGTGGCTGCTGACATTGAAAGAAAAACGCCATGACGCAGGCGAAGAAAGAGATAGTCGTGACGACGATAATAAACTTGAGGGCCCTTATGGTGGTCATCTTAATACGTTTGGTCAAGTATCCTCCAATAAATGTTCCAAGTGTCGACGCAAACAGGGATTTAGTAGCTGAACAAAAAATAAATTATAGAGGGTATTTTTTCATCTTCTAGTTACATTTTTTATAACATCCACTAAGCCTAACTTAAACAATGTTATCACTAACGATAAAATATACTAGAACAAACGTTAATAATGTAACCGCTAATGATAAGATATATTAGACACAAATTTAACAATCTTACTGTTAATTATGAAATACACTAGACAACCACTTTAATACGGTTACTGATCAACTAGACTAGACGTGCATATACAGTTTCCTAAATGTTGACATAAAATAATTAAAGCAAAACACAGTTCCTACCTGCATTTTAAAAGTTTTTTTTTTTTAGTTTTTAGTTGTTTTTATTTAATTTCTTACTTTATGCTGTGTGTTTATATAAAAAAAACAGGAGCTTTATTCTGGTGAATGGATCTAAGTAAGACACTGACATAGTACTAAATATTTGGGCTACATTCACTAGTGATCACAGTCGTTTTAATGCTTAAACATTACACAAAACTTCGAAAGAAGAATCTAGTTAATTCGACCAAGTTTCGTTTTTTTTTTATTTTAACAATACTATTGCGTTTAAATACCGAAATAATAACCCGTTTAGCCAAAGACGGGGCAATTTACTAGTAGGCCTATTTATAAAAACAATAAATGTGTTATGTTCGCATCGATCCATACCCATGACGTAGTTAGCCTTGTACGCTGGTAGGTTAAACATCGCCTCCAGGTATTTGGGTGTGTAGGAGTTACCACTGCTGACGGCAAACAATAAGAAGCACGCAGAGATCACCATGCAGACGTACACGGGGTTTGTCAAAAGTCGAACCATGGACACCAAAAATTCTACGAAACAAAAAAATTGTAAGGTATCCAAAGGTTACATTGTATGTATGTTTTACAACAAATTTTAATTTTGTATAAATTTATTTTTTTCCGTTAGAGGTAGCGTAAAAAAATACAATAAAAAAGGAGGGGTAATAATATTTTTAAATGCCAATAGTAAACTTTAATTATTTTTTTAAGTAGGCCTGTATAACTTACTTAAATTTGTTTAATATTATTAAAGAATTCAGAATAATTGTTTATGTGATGAATTTTTAGTTGTGTTTAATAGTTCAGAAATTTGAACTGTGTAAAATATATACATGTGCGATGGTGTAATGGATATTGATCCAAATGCGGTGATTTAACTTTGACATAAAAACAAGTAGGATTCTGGTGATTTGGTGACCTTTGAAATCAACATTATATCAGATTGACAGCAGCTAAACTCTGATACAATATGAAAGTTTTGTATTGAGTAGCAATTAAAATGTGTTATATCTAGAAAAGAAAACTTAATAGAGAAACTGAAATATTATATTAGTAATGAAATAAAGGATTAGTAGCAAAGCAACTTTGATACAATATATGTTCAAATGGATGCATAATAATATTTTATATTCTTTATGATGTTTTTGATTAGGAATAACTATACCGTCTACTGAATACTGAATGCAAACTAACCTTTTATGTAATTAAAGATGTACTGTATGCTAAGTTTAGATTTCCATTGTGTGTTTTCTCGATGATTCACAAATCCTGTCTTGTCAATGTGTTTATTGTTTCCGGTGTTGTCTAGTTGATTATCGTGTTCATTTGTGGTTAATTCTGTCCCCATGTTGTTCCCTTGGCTGTCTCTACATAAATATACATTGCCAAGTCTCATGATCGCAATAAGTAAGTTATTTTTTTTTTTTATAGTGTCAGAGAAATTAGGGTTTAGTAACAAATAAATCATGTTTTTATTATATCTGAAATATCTCAGAATTAATTTTAAATTTATATTTGTAGAAAAACAAATATAAAAAAAAAACATACAGAAAACAGTAATATTTTCTTTCTAATTTTTTTTTACCAATTTTATACTTAACTTTACCAAGAATAGACATCTCAAGATACATCAAGTTTTTTTTACTTTTTACTAAGAATACAATCAAGTTAAGAGCATATAGGACTAGGGTTTCTAATGTAACTACGTTTATGACAACTTATTACACATTCGAATAAATAAAAGGAAAATATAGATTTCTTTAAAAAAATCATAATTTAACGTAGGCTTTGTTTTTTTCATTAATATTCTGGCCTACATCGAATAAACTATTATGATCATTGTTTACGATTTTAAATAACTTTAAAATAGATGAAGTAAGTTTCCTATTTTTGTTTTTATACCGATTTAATTACAATATAAATATTGGTTTGAAATATACTAGCTGGCAAGTACGAAAAAGAGAATTTGCTTGCACTCTTACCAGCCTTATTCAAATCTGTGACAAATGTTATTGATCTCGAACTGAAAAAATATTGGTCTAACAGAGAACTCTATCCATACCCTTCGTGACTCTCCTTTTTCTGTTTCTTTGAGACTTTCTGTGGAAGTTTCCTCGGGAAACAAAACAACGGGACGGAGACCATCAAGGCTAAACAACCAAAGGTTAAATATCCTAACCACCACGCCCCTATCCATCTGGGGTGGGTCGGGGTCAACTGGGTGTCTGGGGACACATGTAACATAAATTACTTTAATTAAATTACGTTTTGTAGTTTTTTTTTATAAACTGTAAAATCAAATGGTGTTGTTTTAACATCGAAAATGATTCAAAAAACATAAAAATATTGTACATTCTAAGAGTATCATTTATTTTTGTTAAGATAGTTAAATAGAAATACTCAGACGGTCTTTTCAGTAAGTTTCTTTTGATGTACTAACACTGTAAAATATTATTAACTTAATGTTTTTATTTTGGAAAAGCGATAAGTAGTCAAAACGTTTCAGTAATTTTATAAGCGAAAATAGTTCATATTTTTTTATATTGTGCAGATTTCTTCTTCTTCATTCTTAATTCTAGTTCTTAAATTAAGAGCAGCAAAACGCTTTATATATATAAGTTAAAGAAAAATAATATAAAAAAATATTGTCATTACAAATAACTTTACCTTACTGTTGAATGATTACAAGTATAACCAGGAATTACAATGCTCTTTCATATCATTGTGTAAGCAGTATTAAAAGATCCATTGGTCCTACCTTTAAGCGTGACGTACATCCGGGTAAAAACGCCCCCTAACAGGTATGCCAACACAGGTCCAAATACACCAACACTTACGATGATTCCTGCATTGGTTTTAAAAAAAAAATGAATTAAAGAGAATATATACAGCTCCTCTGACCCCAACCACCCCCTCTCCCCCAAATTTTCTTTTTTTTTGTGTATACCATTAATGGTTTAGATACCTCTTCCAACACATTCGAGCGATCGTACATACATATTTGGCCAAATTGTGACAAAAACGCTTATTTTTTTAGATGACGTATTTTTAAAAAATTTACTGCTTTATGATCAAATAATCTCAAAATATCAAGTATTTTTTGATAACCAGACATAGTGTAAATAGCAGAAATTGCTCAAATATTGAAAACAAAACAACGAACTGCAAGCAATATTTAAAATTTTAATCAACAAAACTGCGCTTTCAAAGATTGGAATGGACTACTTGATACAGAATAGCAGAGGACTGATACAGATGGCTAAAATTATGATAAAATCTATTGTAGTGTCCAAACTAACCCAAGACAGGTTAAATGATGATAACTTGATTGCTTGGATGTTCAAAATATCTGGAATTTGAGTACCAAAAACAATTACCCATGAATATTCCAGTGTTGGTTTTCTTGGTGTTGTCATCAATATACATCACAGTGAATGATGTTCTCGGGGCTTTCCCGAAGCCCTGTATCATCATACCCAGGAAGATGATGACCACAGAGATAATAGCCGTGTTCTCTGAGGTCAGGTGGCTTTTCTTGTCTGCTGATGATGCACATTTGTTGAAGTTCTGGTTCTGACCATCACACATGGCACCGTAGAGAGTTCTGGAAGAGGTCACGTTGCTCTGTAGCTGACCAGTGTCCGAGCGCGCGCCAAAGATGAAGTGAGGTAGGGAGCAGGCCAAGCCTGATACGCCAAATGTGATCGTCGCTATACCTGGACATGGCATGACATTTTCAATTGATGATATACTTAAAATATATTTATTTAAGCTATATTAATTGAAGTTATGTTTACTTAAAATATATATATATAAATATATATAAAAATATATATATATATATATATATATATATATATATATATATATATATATATATATATATATATATATATATATATATATATATATATTTATATATATATATATATATATATATATATATATATATATTTATTTATTTATTTATATATATATATAGATATATATATATATATATGTATATATATATATATATATATATATATATATATATATATATATATATATATATATATATCTATATATATATATATATATATATATATATATATATACCGAATTCTCTTGTTTGCAAACTAACTTATAACACATGTTTACGTTACAAAGTTTTAACTATAATCCTCATTTTTTTCTTATAACCCATTGAAATTGTTTAAATGTACACATGGTAACGATCGTGCTGTTCGGAAATTTTCTCAAAATAAGGGCATCATATAAAACTTGGCTCCCGAGTAGCCAGAGACGTAGCGACCCATTCAGATGCCTGAAGCTGAATATCAATTTTTCGTCTCTCCCTTCTATTTCTATTTAAAGCTATCCAAGTCTGTGAAAAAATTCCCATTCCACCTCCCCCTACCCCCTCGTTTGAAAAAATTTGTTGCGCTACTTACCAGTTGATATCCCGCAACAGTTTCTATTTCGGTGCCAAAAAATAGATACAGAAAACAGTTAAATCGGTGAGTAAAGTCTTGAAGACGTTTATTTTCGTAACCGTGACAGTATAATTTAATACATCTGTCAGTTTAAAATGAGATTTTTGATTCATTTAATATATCTTTTGAGTACCCTTATGGTTGGCGCCCTTTGCGGTCACCCTCTTGCCCCCCTCCCCCCCCCCCCCCCCCCCTAAAAAACTGCGAGTACCAGTCACTCGGATAATCAGTTCAACAAAATATAAAAACATGTTGATAAATCTGACCTAGTGACCTTGGGATGTGTAGTTTAGGAGCCGAGTAGCTAACGAACAGCACACAGATGAGAAACCCCACATCATTGGCTGCCAGGATCAAACCTGTCTGTTTGGAGTTCAGGCCAAATTGTCTCTCTAGCGTCGTCACCTATGCGGAGTCAGAAAAAAATTCAACTCAATAGATGTTTATAAAATGTTGGCATTCTGTAGACAACTCTTTATTTGAAGAGCCAACAAATTTTAATGTTAAAATGATCGATAGCTATGTATTACCATAGATACTCAAAACATTAAGTTGAATAAGTGCATTGTATATGAAAGAAAAAACAAAACAAAACACATATATGTATATTTATGTACCTCTATATATAACTATATATATATATGTATATATATATATATATATATATATATATATATATATATATATATATATATATTTATATATATATATATATATATATATATATATATATATATATATATATATATATATATATATATATATATCCTAATTTATAAAAGCCCAATGTGCGCACATCTCTCTCTCTCTCTCTCTCTTTCTCTGTCCGCAAAAAATTTTCGCCGGACATCACGTCAGAATCGGCAGCGATATATCGAGAATTTTTTACGGACTTTTGTTGAAAATAATATGTTAGATGTTTTAAATGTATAACCACAATTTTATTTAAAGAAGAAAAATAAAAATTTAAGGCGTATTCGAATGTAGAGAAACAGTATTATTTATGCAACCGGAAAAGCATTAATATATGTGAAAAAGAACGCATAAAACTGTGACGTCACTATTGCTTATACATTAACTATTGACGTCATCTGCCTAAAAAGCGAAGATGTTAGTGTACATTAAACCACGCAGGTGGTGCGGGTTCGAGACACACCAAGTCAACTTGGTTAATGTATTTATTTTTATTATGCTCGGGCTAAACTTAAAAAAAAATTCTTTTAGGAATCTAGATCTAGATCTAGATTGTCGGGTGTCCGATAGGGCACTTCCCGGCGCCGCAGGCGCTTCAAATTTGGCAGGATCTTGCCTTGGGCGACAGAACACGGGGGCCGGTTGGCCGAAAAGTCTACGATGAGGGGGTCAAAACTGACCTCGACTGACCGGTACCTTATATGAGCTATAAATCGAAAAAAAATGTCCACGGATTAAACCTCTTCATAACTCTTGAGGTAGTAGACCGACCCTCGGGCGAATTAATTAAGCATGCAAATTCTCAATGTTTTCGAAAGCCTAAGCGAAGCTGGGCAGCATGCCTAGTATATATATATATATATATAAAGCAAAGTGGTCAAGTGCCCAATAGGGCACTTTCCAGAGCCGCAGGCGCGTCCAATTTGGCACGAAGGTGCCTTCGGGCGATAGAACACGAGGGCCGGTGACGGTTTGCCGAAAAGTCTACGAAGAGGGGGTCAAAACTGACCTTGACTGACCGGCGCCTTATATGGGCTATATTACGAAAAACAATTTCCTCCGACGACCCCCCTTGATATTTTGTGAGGTGGTAGGAGAACGCCTTGGGGTGTCACAAAAAACTCGCCATGTCCGTGAAAAATCGGGAAATGGGTCAAAACTGACCAGTCGTATTTCCCTATATAATCTTTGTATTTTATGGGAAAAATAGAGGGTCATTTCAAAACGGTTTTTAGGGCACTTACCCTCTTTACATCTGGCTAATTTTTGGCATGTTTATAGGTAAATGGCTTGAACGTAGGGCAGACCTGTCGGTCTCACTCAAGGCCCTAGACGAGGGCTAAAAAGTGACCGCGAGTGAAATTCTCTTTATATGAGCTCTATTACGAAAAAACATTTCCTCCGACGACCCCTCTTGATATTTTGTGAGGTGGTAGGAGAACGCCTTGGGGTGTCACAAAAAACTCGGCATATCTGGGAAAACTTCGTAAAGGGGTCAAAACTGACCAGTTGTATTTCCCTATATAATCTTTGTATTTTATGGGAAAAACAGAGGGTCATTTCAACGCGGATTTTAGGGTACTTAAACTCAGTATATCTGGCTAATTTTTGCATACTTTTAGGTGAATGGCTTGGCCTTTAGGGAAAACTGTTGGTTTGACTCAAAGCCCTCGACGAGGGCTAAAATGTGAGCGCGAGTGAAATTCTCTTTTTATGAGCTCTATTACGAAAAAAAATTTCCTCCTACGACCCCCCTTGATATTTTGTGAGGTGGTAGGAGAACGCCTTGGGGTGTCACAAAAAACTCGGCATATCTGGGAAAACTTCGTAAAGGGGTCAAAACTGACCAGTTGTATTTCCCTGTATAATCTTTGTATTATATGGGAAAAACAGAGGATCATTTCAACGCGGATTTTAGGGTACATAAACTCAGTATATCTGGCTAATTTTTTGCATACTCTTAGGTCAATGGCTTGACCTTTAGGGAAAACTGTCGGTTTTACTCAAAGCCCTCGACGAGGGCTAAAATGTGACCGCGAGAGAAATTCTCTTTATATGAGCTCTATTACGAAAAAATTTTTCCTCCGACGACCCCCCTTTGAAATTTTGTGAGGTGGTAGAAGAAGGCCTTGGGGTGTCACAAAAAACTCGCCATGTCCTGGAAAAATCGGGAAATGGGTCAAAACTGACCAGTCGTATTTCCCTTTATAATCTTTGTATTTTATGGCAAAAACAGGGAAATTTTAACACAATTTTTAGGTTACGTAACGTCTGTACATCATGCTAAGTTTTTGCATACACTACTATAGATGACTATGCAGTATGGAAAAACTGTTGGTCAGACTCAAAGCCCTCGACGAGGGCTAAAAGATGATCGTGAGTGAAATACTCCTCATATGAGATATATAGATATATAAATAGACGAACGATCCCCTTAATATTATATGACGTCGTAGACCAACCCTGGAAGGTAACAAAAAAATGTATTCCCGTCGGAAACAACCATTATTGTCGTTAAATGTGTTTATATACCGTAATTTCTTATATAAGCATAGCAACTGTTTGTAAAAAAAAAGGAAACAAAGACTTACGTCATACGTTCAGTTTTCAAGGGAGGTAACGTTTGTAAAATTTTTATTTTTCAAATAATTGTATACTATTTTAAACAGAAACAGAAAATGACGAAATATAGAATTTGTTTTAGTCCAAAATTAAGTTCTTAATTTAGTTACGTATCCTAATTAAATAATCAAATAAATTTCAAAAGGCAATGTAATATAAACTATCAGATATACTGTTCATGGAACCTGTGTAGTTCTAATTCCATTTTAGTTATAGATTGCGTACTTTCCAAAATTTCTCTGAGAACAGAATGTAAATGAATAACAAAAACATTTTTTCTAAAGATAGCAATACTATTTAAATTAAAGCACTCCACACCTAATCCATCGCTAAATTAAGTATTCAAATTCTCAAATGTTTTTTAAAAACCTAAGCGAAGCTAGGCAGTATGCCTAGTATATATATAATTACATGTATTTTTCTGTATTGATTCTAAATGGATACATCTATCATCCGCTGTCGTATTATCATGACAGCTAATGAAGATGGGTTAATTCAACTTAAACTGAGTATAGATTATTATTTTAATTCGAACTTAGAATGGAATATCGATTGTGTCGAAAACTCCATGCGCTACATGGAGGGAAATAGAGAGAAAGGAGAGAGAGAGGAATGTTCTGCACTAAAACACGGGTCGGATTAAGTTCAGGGCCAAATACGACAGGTGCTAAATGTTTTATCCTTTACTAGGCATAACTCCTAGTTTCGCTCTGGTTTTCAAAATCATTTGAGAATTTGAATACTTAATAATTAGTTATTGGCTGTTACGTTGAGTGCTTACATAAAACAGTACAGGTAATTTTAAAGAAACTGTTGTTGTTTTTTGTTTAGTCCGTTTCAGAGAAATTGATGTGAGGTTCGCAACTTATGAATTGAAAGATAATATGAAATGCAGAGGCTCCCTGAACAGTATAACTCATAATTTATATTACATTGACATTTACACTTAATTTTTTTATTTAATTACAATACATTTCTTAATTTACAATTTTATATTTTACTCAAATGAATGCTTTACTTCGTCATTTTCTGTTTAATTTTTAAAATAATATAACATTGTATGAAAAATAATTATTTTTAAAAGTTAACTCCCTTGTAAATTGAACGCATGACGTAGTCTATGTTTACTTTTTTCACAAAGAGTTGCAATTTTTATATTAAAAAATACTGAATCTGAACAATTAAAACGACCATTATGTTGTTTTCCGCCGGGAATAACGTTTTTTGGTACCATCCTGGGTCAGTTTACGACCTCACAAAATATCAGGGGGATCTTTCGGCAAGGTTTTTATTTTAAGCTCATATAAGGAGAATTTCACTCGCAGTCCTTTTTTTAGCCCCCGCCTTGTGAACAGAGGCTGACCGATAGATTATCCATAAGGCTTATTCATTTACCAACGGTTATGGAAAAAATGAGCGAGATGTACAGCGCCAAAGTTCCAAAACACTGTTTTGCAAATAGTCATTGTTTTTCACCAAATTTTTTTATGTTTCTATTGAGAATTCGGACCAGTAAGTTATAAAAACCTTCCAAAGTTTTCCCAAAGATAACGCCTATCATATTGTGACCCCCGAGGTTATATCTACGACCTCATGCGTTATTATGTTGTTTGTACGTCAAGATATTTTTTTTTACAAAAACAGTACTATGCCTGGTCAGTAAACATTGTTCCGGGGTTTTCCCCAGGGTAGCTCTATTTATTCTGACTCCCCAAGAGTTTTGAAAGGGTTCCTATGTTGTAATTTTTTTTCGATATATAGCTCATATAAGGAGAATTTTCACATGTTAGCCCTTGCCTTGCGAGAAGAGGCTGAGCGATAGTTTATCCACAAGGCCAATTCATTTACCCAGGTTTATAGGAAAAACCCCCCAGACGCACAGAGCCTAAATTTCCAAAAAACTCTTTTGAAAATATTCAAAGTCTTTCACCAAATTAACAATACTTATGTAAGGAATTCAGACCGGTGAGTTCTAAAGCCATTTCGAAGTTTTCCCGAAGATAACACCTATTCTATAGTGGACCCCCCCCCCCCCCCCCCCCGAATATTTCTATGATCTCAAGAGATAATAATGGGTTTGTACGTCCAGATATTTGTATTTTTTTTTTACAAAACTGTAGTATGTTTATATAAGGAAATATGGCCTCTGGTCAGTTAAAACATTGTTCCGGAGTTTTCCCGAGGGTAGCACAACTTTTTCCTGAACATCTGGGACAGATGAACATACCCTAGAGTTTTCAAAGGGTTCCTACGTGGGCATTGTTTTTCGATATAAAGCTCATATAAAAAGAATTTCACTCGTGGTCAATTTTAGTCCTCGCCATTCGATAGTTTATCCATTAGGTCGAATCATTTACCCAGGTATTTGAAAAAAAAAGAGCCAGATGTACAGAGCCAAAATACCACGTAAGTGGTTTTGCAAATAGTCATCGTTGTTCACCAAATTAACAATGTTTATATAGGGAAAATTCGGACCGGTCAGTTCTAAAGCACTTCAGGATTTTTCTCGAATATATCATAGTTTTTTTTCCCACCCCCGAGGGTCGCTCTACGACCTCGGGAGTTATGAAGAGGTTCCTACGGGGGACATTTTTTTTTCGATATATAGCTCATATTAGGCACCGGTAAGTCGAGGCCAGTTTAGACCCCTTCTTCGTAGACTTTGCGCTCAACCGGCACCTGACCCTTTGTTCTATTGCCCCAAGGCGTCGGGAAGTGCCCTATCGGGCACCGAGCACTTTGCTTTATATGTATAGATAGATTTGCCTCAATAGGTGTTACAATGTGCCATATAGCTAGAGACAATCCACGCCAGACTGAAAACATTTTAAGCACCTTAACTATTTAATGTCTAGTATCATTCTATATTATATCATTCATCATTTAATCTATAACATGTCTACTGGCTTACATAGAGAAAAACAAAAAACAAAGTTTAATTTCCATATGATATACGGAAGAAATTATCTGTTACGTTGCGCACATGCAGCTTGTTAGAATTATTAATTAAATATTACAAACGCAAATGGAATATATCCACCTTTTAGTTTACTCAAAACTCCCCAGAAAACATATCTGCGAGTCGAGGTATAAAAACATACATTAGACTATTGTGTAATTAAACCTATATGTAGGCCTTATTTTGTATATAAAAAGAGACCTACCTTAGAGTTGCCCAAACCGAAATTTTACAAAACCCACCTGTAAATTACCCCACCAGTAATATGAATTGACAAATCCGATATGTGAATTGACTCAGCGGTAACAGGAGGAGCGAAAACACACCTGTAAGATGACGTAAGAAAACCCACCTGGGAGTTTACGTATGAGGTCAAGGTCGAGGTCAGCAAAGCCGCCAAGCTGTATAGCAAGGTGAAGCTCCAGATGTTGGCACACGGCTGCAAGATGTCCGGCTTGAATGTCCACACCCCACACCTCGTGTCCACGGCTAGGTCTGTGTCTTCCCTAACCTGGTCTTTACCTTCGCCAGTCTGGTCTTTGTCGTCGCCAGGCTGGCGTGTGTCGTCGCCACTATAGCGTTGATCCGATCTAGCGTTTAGTTCCTGATTTCCGTTTTGAGAAACAATCTTGTATCCCCTGCTCATCATTTTTCTAGAGCTAAATTTTCTCGTGAACTTTAATTATAGTAAGTATTTCAATTTTGTTAAAATTTAAGTAGAACACTTTAGAGAAAAACAGAAAGCGCTGGTCTGTAACACAGCTATAAGTTCTTAAACTGTTTAAAGAAAATAACTATAGAAACGTCACTTTGAGTTGCACGCTTCTTATTTAATATTGAAATACATTATACTTTTTTTTATTATAAATCAGATAATGAATTTCGTTTTTGTTTTTAACCACAAAATTGCATAAGACAAAACATTTTCATTAAAAAAAATGATTTCTGTAAACTGATAATTTAGAGTTTACAGAAACTATATATTTTTTTGAAATTGTATCGTCTACAAATTTAGAGTTAGCTAAAACTTAATTTACTTATGTAATTATAAACGCTGAGCATAAAAACTTTAACTACATGCGAATAAAAAACTTGGGTAATTATCTGAGAAAAAAAAGATCTCTAAAAATATCCAACTATCCAAGAAAATGAAATAATTACTTCCACAAATTATTTTTTGGACTATACTAAAAGCTGCTAGACTGAGACTAATTTATATCAAGTTTGCCCTGTCGAATTAAATTATTAGATAATGGTAACACTGCGTTTGTTAGAGTGACGTTTTTAATCGTAGCAGGTGTACTCGACAGCATGTGAGTTGTTGATCTCAGGATCAAAACTAAGCAAGATCAAGCAGATCATTCATAAAGAAAATTTGTGACAAAATTAACTATCGATCATGTTTTTAGCTGCGGTAATTAGCTGCACATTAACTCAATTATGTTTATTACCTGTGGTACTGCAGCAGCTGTATTATTTGAAGCGCGTGACGCTATTTTAGAGCATATTATATTGAGGTTAAATGGAGGATGTAAATGATGCAGTCATTGAATGGTTGAATATCGAAATAGATAAAGTAAATTTTATAAGTTTAGGCCGAGTAAGTTTTATTGCATACATTTTATAGCGTACGTAGATCTAAATCAAATTTGAATGAAATAGTTCATTTCTTTATATTCTAAAATCGGAAGATGACGCCATTAGGTTTGTGTTCTTTCCTGTAAACATTTGGCGTGTGACGTCATTGTTTATTGCGTTTTTGTCACAACTATAAATAATTTTCCGGTTGCATAATTAAAATTGTTTTTCTACACCTAAAGTTTTGCAGATTATCTGAAGAAATGTAAAGAGAGCGGCTGATTATTTAAGTGAATCGGATTAGAAAATCAAAATGAATGTTTTACACACTGACCAAGTATAAAAGTACCTTAGTCTAACATGTACAAATGTTGGAAAAATAGTACTACCGTTACCTATACCTGCCTTAGCGTGTTACTGTTCAGCCGACTAGGACTACGCAACCTTTTTATTTGTTTTGCTTCCGTGTATTACCCGGCTAACTAAATGTGCTTAATAATAAAGCAGATTGGATTTCTTCGCCACCCTAGAAAAAAAAAACAACGTGTATCCTCTGCTGCATAACACTTCTATAAAGATAATTCAGACATCACATACAAAATTGACAAACCACAAAAACGGAATTACAGTTTCTTTTGGACGATAAATTCGACATTTCTGTTTGTAAGCACACATATTATATCTTATAGAATCATTTTAGCTTGTTTCTATTGGTCAGCTTAAAGCGAAATGAGGGTGATACAAGAAGCTCTTGGTACGAATACTAATTTCTCCAAACGCCACAAACATTTGCGGTAGATTGGGTCTTTTTTAGTTGTTAACTGTTTGGCAAATTAATTTTACATTTTAGAAATGAATGTTATTAAAACTGATTTTTTGTTAAAATCTATTTTCTCGACATAACATAGCCCTAACACATTATTTAAAAATTAAAATGTCTATTGATATAAGCTTGAACAGCCTTGACCAATTGATGCACGTGAGGATTGTGACACTCACACTCCAGCCCGTCACGTGACACCTGACTATGACAACTTAAACCTTCATCGTTTGTGAAAAGTGCATCCCATTTTAAACTCAGGATAGATATTTCATGATAACATCTCGCTATCTTATTCATATAATGTGTTTAAGCTGTTTTATTGATGAATTTGTATGCGACGATGAAAAAAACAAAACAATGAACACAACTATTTTGAACACACAGAAATGTATTTTGATGGAGTTTTAAAGAAAAAAGAGGGTGCTAGACCAGTGGTTATTAACATTTCGTACAATTACACTTGCAAGATACAAATAATACAATCAATAATAATAGATTAGGATGGCCACGAGTAAAGGATATTAGTAACGGTAAAAGTGCTAAACTGAACACAAGATTAAAACCCACACTATCCTTGATCCAAGCCTAAAATATAAACCCTACGTTATTTCTTATACTAACCCTTACTCTAACAGTCAAATCTGCAATAGATTTCATATAACCCTAATCCTAACCTAAATCCAAAACTATCACTGATCCTAGCCCTTCACCTAATCCATATTATCTACGATCTTTATCCTGACACAAACCTTAATCCAGACAATATCCATGTCACCAACATAGTCTAAACTATGACCCTTCCAGCACTAATGAAAGAAATACTCTTGACTCTATAATGTATAAGGATAGAAGATTATTTTAATAACAGGCTAAATATTTACAGCAAAGTTTTTAAATCAGATGATCAATATTGTCCAGTTTTGCAAAAAGCTTATGTATGAAATACATTTTACAATAGCAAACACCGTAAAGAAGTCTTATAAAACATTAAAGAACAACAGGCATTCCACGATATCACAGCGGCCTCTAGGTTTTGGGCAAGCGTCGATTTGGACATTTGCCCCATTCTTGCTAACGTCCGTTCGTGCAATTTTCCCATTCTAACAAACGTTCATCGCCTATAGGTCGTATTCGGGAAAAACGTTCATTCGAACATTTGTACCATTCTGGTAAATTTCGATTAGATCATTTGTTCTATTCGTGTAAACGTCTATTCGGGAATTTTTCCCGTTGGGACAAAGCCCATTCTGGCTTCTGTTTTTTTCGGGCAAAAAACGTTCAGGAAAAAGTCTGGCTCTTGTCTAGAATATGTTATTTATGTTAATATGTGTTTACTCATCCGTAAGTTTTGCTTTCCGTCCAGGGTAAAGAGTGCTGGAATATATTCCGTTCGGCGCAGACATAAAATTAAATGATATGTACTGAAAGCGGCATTTAAAAATTAAATTAAAAGCAATATTCGGTATTCTCAGTAGACATGAGGTGTATTCCAAACAGTAAACAAAGTATTTAACTTTATCTTACTCCTGTCGCTTTTTAGGCTATCGTAGCGATTTTAATCGACTTGTGTAAAAGCCTAGTTTTTAAAGTATTGATAGAATAATAAAAGTGGTTATACATGTTTTTCATGATTTTGGATGTTGTAAAACATAAACTGAGAAGTCTACAGTTAAACGTTAATATACATCTTTATTGTGTGAGAAATAAACGTAGAAGTTATCGTAACATATGGCCTGGAAAATACAAAAAAAAAAGTGAATTTAGTTTTGGAAGATTTTTTTTATTTTAAATTAAATTATTTTAAAATTTTCTTTAGATAGATCATGTATTTGGTAGAAAATGAAATTATTTTTGTTGTCAACAAACACATCAATCGGATTAATTGTAAGTATCTGATCTTGACATATGTACCAGCTATGATATTTCCGTATATACGTAAAGGCAGTTAATAACTATATTAGTGCGTTAGGGAATTCGTAGATTGAACTATTAAAAAAAGCAAATGTTTAATTACATTGATGAATGTATAGATTTATTATCAACCCAATAAAAATGATTACAACAAACGTCGGATTAATGTAAGTATGTGCGGCTCAACTAATGGATAGGTTGTGCATCTAAATTAATCACAGAACTCAGTTTAGCAGCTGATTAAACAAATGGGTTTACTGGAATTCGAACTCCAGTCACATGCGTCTTTGGAAATGAACAAATAGAAAATACTGTATTAATAAGTTTTACAGTAAAAACAAAACAATTTGAATAACATATTTTTTATGGTAATTTCTTTACATTCAAGTAAGTTGTGCAGGTATGTGCAAATCCTTTGCGTTATGTGTACCGGCTGACAATTATTTTGCATAAGAGTGAGTAAAGTAGAATATTCTGATAAAAAGTTTGGCCATTAAGTATATATATATATATATATATATATATATATATATATATATATATATATATATATATATATATATATATATATATATATATATATATATATATATATATATATATATATACAAATATTTATACATAAAATACTCAATGAAAATTTTATATATATATATATATATATATATATATATATATATATATATATATATATATATATATATATATGACTGTGTGTATATTGTGTAATTGCATACGTTTTAATTGTCTTCTGTATATTCCAAAACTGTTAAAATAAATAAGTACTTCTGCATTTTAAACTGTTTCTTTTGAGTTCCCACTCTGTAAGTTAGAGTTATCTCCGTTTAACAAGTTCCCGCTATCCGTTTTGTTGTCCTGGCTGACCTTGACACTTAGGTCACCGGAAGTGAGGTTATCCTGACCAAAGTTGTCATGGAAACGCGGATTCCTCCTGGCGAAGACGTAGGCGATGCATAGGAAGAGGATGGAGACGGTGGTAGCGACGGTGATGTAGCCGTGCAGCTTGTTTTTGAAGACCTCGTTGTCGTACAGCAGACAGCGCCCCCTGGTAGAACATTTGACGTCCCAGATGACGCAGATGCCGTCGATGACGTAGCCGATGATGACTGGACCCAGAAGCCAGCCTGTGCAGGTAGGTTGGAATTGGAAAGGGAGATCACATTTTAGCTTAAACTTCACATCCGTGTAGGATTTAAAATAATTCCTAATTTTAAATTAACAATAGCTTATAATAGCACACACTATGTGTATGGATCATAAAAAGAAAAAGACATCTTTTTAGAAAAAAAATCGATCCAAAAATACTCTACAGAAAAAACATTCTCTCTCGTACTTACACTAACACGACATGATTTAGGGAACTAACACTACGGTTATGGAGATTAACACATATTTCTTAAATCTCTAAATAGCTTACTCCTTTATTGGCACAAGCTAAACATTAGTGATTATACAATGACAGGGAAGCTAACTCTTACCGAATAAAGAATTCATGAATGCCTGGAACCCTAAGGCCAAAGCCTTGTCACGTGGGTCAACGCTCCTGGATTAAATCATATTTTAAAGATTAATTATTTCATACAGATTGTTTGCAGTGTTTCTTCCAGATATTGGGGCCACTTGACATTTTAAAACTTTCGGGGGGGGGGGGGGGCGGACCAAATCTTCGGAGGGGGGGCCGGACACTGTTAAAAGTATATATTTTCTATATAAATTATATTTCGTTTCGAAGCGATGCCTGGAAGAAACTCTGATTGTTTGCTTAACTATTGAAATCAACAAGAATTATTCAATATATATTTATCTCTCTCTCTCTCTCTCTCTCTCTCTCTGTATATATATATATATATATATATATATATATATATATATATATATATATATATATATATATATATATATATATATATATTGCGCCTCGGAATATCCTGTAAGCTCTATGGCGGCTATGTTCGTTTTAAAAACACCCTCAATATTAATACAGAGGCACTCAACATTAGGTGATTAAACTGTGCAAAGAGCAATTCGTGGAGCCCGTGACATCCTTGCGGTCACCGAAGTGTGTTCTACCTCGCTTTTACGGATAGTGATTAGCGTACACTCAAGGTTTTATGCTCGCCCTGGTGTTTTCTGGACGGTAGTGTAGGTAAACTGGAGTCCCGACAAATACGATCCAAGAATGTAAAATAATTTAAAATGTAATGGTAACGCGTCTATGAACGTAGGAATGGTGAGACTTTCTTTTGAGACAGGGGACGGGCACGCTAGTTTTATACTAAAAATTAAGTTGCAATGTTTTATGTATTGCAAAATTATATTATTGACGAAATATATTTTAGGGTTTTCATCATGTTAAATACCGTGGACCCAATGTGGAGTATAAAGACTCTACTATTACTTTTCATCATATTCGGTTTTAGAGAAATATTCATATTCGGTGTTCTGGTTTTTAAATTTTATATTAAATACTGCATAATCGTAACTCATAACGATCCTATATATTATAAAAGGAAGATTTAGGGCGTAAACCTAAACATCACGAGAAGAAGCAATGTTGTTTGACCTGAGTTAAAGCACTGCGATTTAAGACGACGCATCATGACATAAATATAAACCGGGAGTGATCTCCCCTAAACTTTCTCGAATATTCTTATATAAAATAACAGGGGATGGGAACTCGGGCTATAGACATGATTTTTAATCCATTTTAAATACTTAAAGTTTTAAAAATAGAATAAAATCTCGTAGACAAATTAATTGCACACCAAGTGAACGCCAAATAAAAAAGCGCATAATGGTGCGCAATATTATTATTACTTTTAAAATTTACATTAGTTTTTTGAGAAATCGGAAGTAGCGTAAAGTACTACTTCCAGTCAACGGAAATGACTCAAAATTTAATAGAAGGTAGAGAATTAGATCTTTTACTTACAAATGAAATTTCATTTATCTATCTGAAATAGTACTCAAGTTATAGGCTTTTGAAAAATTCAAAGTAGGAAAAGTACCACTTCCGGTTATCGGAAATCGCTCAAAAGTTGATACGGATCTACGATTTTGATTAAATACTTATATATGAACTTTCATTAACCTAGCTGTAACGGTACTCAAGTTATCGTGTTTACACACGGACAGACAGACACACAGACAGACACACAGACACACAGACATACGGACAAGATTGCAAAATTATGTTTTTTCCGTATCAGTGAGGTGTGAAACGTCGAGATTTGTAAAAATCTCGATTTTTTTTTTTGCACGATTACAAGACTTTCTCTATACTTCGTATATACGAGAAAGTAATAAGATGAACAATATGTTAGGAGGCCGTGGAGAGTAGGGATCTTTAGTTGAGGCTCTATGTTTCACAACAAATCTAAAAAGATATTAATGATGTAGATATAGCCGAAAACAAGGGAACTTGTGCAGTAGCGAATTATCATGACAAGCTGAATGATCAATACTTCGACTGAATCGTTTAGACCTAACTCAAGACGTAAAATAAAATTATCTAACGACGACGAAACCCACCTTATGACAACAAGAAGTTTGGGTACTATCGCCAGTGTTGCAACGAGAGACCGTATGGTGAAGAAAAAAGCGTAGCCGTAAATGTGGTCGCAGCCGTATTCACAGAAACCGCTGGTAGCTTGACCACCAGGAATACAGGTGCAGTTCTGGTACACCTAACAAAGAAACGAAAAATTATTACGTTTATTACATATTTAAGCACAATCAATGTTTGTTTATGGAAACAAAGTGGTAGTCAACTAACTTTATGTTTACAGTTGTTTATTTGTGATGCTATTTTGTGTTTATTTTGTAATGTTCAGCTCCCCCTCAATAGATGAGTAAACTCCACAATCCCAACGAATCTTACTCTATTATTGCACTCGATTATTGTAAATTTTCCTCAGGTCATTACGGGCCCTACTAAACATACAAAGTACTGTACTCAATGTATATTTCAATCAAATACAAGGGGAGTATAGCTCTCGACATGGAAAAAAAACACAAAGTTCACAAGAGGATGGTGTAAATAGTTGGAGTGGAAAGGTATCCAAGCTAGAGCCGAAAAAAAATTCTCCCACTCTCTAGCCGAAATCATGAACTAACGTATCCTCAATCTGTAACCTCAGCCAATAATGTAAGCTACACCATGCTTGAATGAAGCGCATCGAGTCAAAGCTCCCGTTTATCTGGTAGCGCCTGAGCTGACGTAGAATCACTCTGGTGTTATGGTTGAGCGGCAAGAAGAAGAAAAAAAACGTCCTACTGGAAAAATATTTGTAACCGACGGTTTTCAAACAAAATTGATTTAATTCATCTTTTATGATAATTAATAAAGTATTTTTAAAAAGCAAAACATATTTTCTTTACTCCGTTGGTGACTTTTGAGCAGCCGGCTGTACATGGTGAGTAGTAGGTCTTGCCGTCTTGACCACAGATGGCGAAGTAGCTGTTGTCAGCACACTGGCACCCTGTGTTGCACGTCGTGTTGGTGCTAGATCGATGAAATTTGTAGAAAAGTAATTTAAAAAAAAATTGAAAAGCAAAACAAAACAAATATGAATGACTTGTTGTAATACCTTTTTGAAGTGGATAACACCCCGATTTCTAACAAAAGCTTACCTTTTGTACAACACAATAATTTACATTTAAAATACATTAGTTTAGTAATATAATTCCACACTAAAATCCCATAGTAAATTCATAGTAATATAAATAGCGTAGCGCCGTGTGTATCTTAGCTCGAGACTGTCAAAAGTTTTTTTTTTAAAATGAGACTTACGAATTATATTGCCTAGTTATGTTCCCGTGTGTCTAAAAACTAGAATTTTGAAATAGCCTTGGTAAGCTAGGGTCCTATGTGTCTATGAAACTAAACTGTTTATTTACCTCTACAACTTTCAAAACTTTTCAGATCTAATTAGATCTAGAGCTAAGGAAAAACTAGACTTATCGTAGATTCTAGATCTAGATTCTACCTCTCTCTAGATGTAAATCTAGATTCTATGCCAATAAAAATGAGTTTCTGTACTAAACCATTTCAGGCCTTGTTTGTTAATCTATGGATTTGGCTAATTTGGGATACAATTTCGTTTGAAATAATAGGGCCTATTCGCGTAAAGTTTCTTACGCGGACTCAGTTTAAATCTACGTAAATTACACTACTTATTCAGCATCTAAGTTGAGGTGCCTAAATAGCTGAGATAATAGTGTAACAATTACCATGCGGGTGGTACGTGTTCGAGATACACCATGTCAATGTTCATTATTTTTCAAATGTTTTTTTTAGATGTGGATGATAACGTTGCCTAGCGGGACTTGGCGGGACACGGGGCTGGTGAAGTAGAGTTCACCTGTTTCTGTCTTCTCAGCATATGAAGCGATAGTGTGGTCAGACCCACGCTAAGCCAAAATAGGTGTTTTTAAAAGACACAAACAAAATAACTACCATTGAACAGCCGGGTTTTTAACGAAATCATTTAATTTTCTTAATTTTAAGTCTCTTAATCAGTGTGTGCATTTAATATGGTGTTGTGTTGACTAATATTGTATATAATTTTGTTTTAATTTTTCTAATAGGTATTGATAGTCTATGTTATTTAAAATTTTAGCTATTGAGTTTTTTCTTTGCTTTGTTACTAAAATCGTTCAACTTGTATTAAAGCACATAGCGTTTTGACCAATAACTTTTTTATAAAATATATTTCTCAAACAAGTATAATATTAAAATATATAGGCCTATAATTCCGTGTAATGGGTACCGACGGCTAGTGTATATAATAATGTCAAAAATAGACAGTCGAATTAATTTGGCCAATTATGGACATAATAATATCTACTTATACAGTTGAATTACCTCGGCCAGTTATGAACCTCTGGTTGGCGACATTGAAAGAAAAACGCCATGACGCACGCAAACAAGGAGATGGACGTTACGATAATCACAAACTTGAGGGCCCTCATAGTCGTCATCTTGATACGTTTGGTCAAGTACCCTCCCATAAACGTTCCAAGCGTCGATGCAAACAGGGATTTAGCAGCTTAACAAAACAAAATTAATTAGTTTTTCTCATCACCCTCAGTTAGAATGTCAATTATAAGATTCAATAGACAGAAGTAAAATATTATTAATGCCAATTATAGGATTTAGAAGACAAAAGTAAAATAACACTAATGTCACTTATGAGATTCACGAGACACAAGTAAAATATTATTAATTTCAATTATAAGATTCACTACACAAAATTAAAAGAGTATTTAAGTTAATTATGAAATACATCATACTACCACTTAAAACTCTTACACTTTATTTAAAGTTGAGTTAATTTAAACGTATATCGAATGAAAAAATTAAATAATATTTACTTTTTTGAATTCAAAGTATAGAGGAAATATTGTAATAGGGAAAAAAATCGGAATTGAGATATTCACAAATTTCGACGTTTTATTGTATAAATAATATCTTATTCAAAGTCGAGCATAATAATTTGTGTAACCAAAGACGATACGTTTTACTACTCGTATTTATAGAAACAATACACGACCTAGGCCTAAGTTTGCATTGCCTACCCATGACATAGTTAGCCTTGTATGTGGGTAGATTAAACATTCCCTCCAGATATTTGGGTGTGTAGGAGTTACCACTGCTGACGGCAAACAATATGCAGCACGCTGAGATCATCATGCAGACGTACACGGGGTTTGTCAAAAGTCGAACCATCGTCGCCAAAAATTCTACGAAAAAAGGTTGATGAACATTGTTTAACTTTAAATTTTAGTTGTTGAATAAAGTTCAAGTTTAGTGTTAATTGCTGAATTTTCTAAACTTTGATATACAATTTTACATGTTACTACTGAAGTAAATAATATTTTAAAGTAGGCCTATACAAGTTTCTTTACACGTATTAAATCATTTGAAATAATTGGTTATGCAGGGCCTATTTTAGTGTGTTCCATAGTTTATTTTTTTAACTGTTTAAATATTTACATATTTTGAGATGTTTTGACATAAAGATTACGTATATATTGATAGGTTATTTACCATTAAAATAAAAAATGTTTCAGATTGAGAGAAGCCGAAACATGATGCCATTTATAACTTAGAGTTTAGAGTGTGTGAATTTTTTTTAAATTTATGAATTTCTTAATTGATGGCAAATAAACTATTCTATAATTTATGAAAACTAACCTTTGATATAATTAATGATGTACTCTATGCTGAGTTTAGCTTTCCAGCGTAGGTTTTCTGGATGATTAATGTTTCCGGTGTTATCAGGGCGATTAACGTTTCCGTTTGTTATTAATTCTGTTCCTAAATTGCTTCCTTGACTGACACTACACAAAAATACATTGCAAAAATTATGATAACAGTGAGTGTTATAAATTTTAAACATAAGATAATGTCAGAGCGATTAGGGTAGGTGACAAAATAGTCGAGTTTGATTGATATCTAAGAAATCACAGAAAAACAACCTTTTCACTACAAAATTTATATCGTTTTTCCTCTTTATACATAACTTTACAAATGATAAACTAATTTGAAATTATATACATGAAAAGAAGTATCCCCAATGATCTTGCACATAGTTTGTATTTATTAAAAATTTTGAAAATAATATTGAATATTGCCATTATTTAAAAAAATACTGTCAAAAATGGGTTAAAATACGTTCATTCATGGGTTTTAACAAAAACATAATTCAATAACAACGTGATGTAAAACTCATTTAACCTGTAGATATTGTTTTCTTTAACAGTTCAAAAAGCTTGACTTATACAAGAGATCGTTTCATACCTTTCGTGACTCTGTTTTTTCTGTTTCTTTGAGACCTTCTGTGGAAGCTTCCTCGGGAAACAAAATAACGGGATGGATACAGCCAGGGCCAGACAACCAAAGGTTACATAACCCAGCCACCAGGCCCCTATCCATCTGGGGTGGGTCGGGGTTAGCTGGGTGTCTGAGGAGATAGGACACTCACATTAGATCCACAAGATTCATTTCAGTGTCATGAGAAAATAAATTTTAATTAAAATTTCAACATCAAAAATGACAAAAACAAACGATAAATTATAAAACTAATTAAATTGTTTTGGTAAAAATCTTATAAATAATGTAGGTCAGTAGGTTTTAAATTTAAATTAACAAAAAAAAAGAAAGAAACGTGGGTAACGTTGTGTGTTTTTAGGAATAGCGTTGATCTCAGGAATTTGCTTTTATTAAAGCAAACACGTTTGTTATATTTAAATTTGTTTTATTAAATAGATTTTTTAAATAAAATAAAATGTTATATTTTTGCGTTTTTATTATTCTAACTGTTTTTCCTGGCTGTTTATTTCTCGCAATTTGAACCAGCATCTTAAATAATCGTTCTAGACGTCACTGAATAAAGATAATCACAAGAAAAAGTGTTCCTACCTTCCAGCGTGACGTACATCCGGGTGAAAACGCCCCCCAGCAAATACGCCAACACAGGCCCAAATATACCAACACTTATAATGATTCCTGTGTCAATTGTAGAGGTAAATCAAAATGACTAAATACAATATTATTGTAATCCTAAAATGTTTATGGTCTAGTATTTAACAGTACAGTTTGGTTGTTAATTCCAGTGGAATCTGTTGTAAAATAAAAGTCAAGTTTGTGACAAAACCGTTCGTCTGTTTTTTAAAGAAAACAAGTATAGAAGAAACGATCTTATAATATGTTGCTTTATAAATGCAGGGCACGAAGCCAATAAGGACGAGATGGACAAAGCAACGACGTCATTGGATGAAGGTCAACAATGATTGGACTAAGGTGATCGTTTCATAACTACTCAAAATAACAGAGGACGGAAAGATTTTGCAGAAAATTATGAGAAAATAAGCGTAGTGACCCAACGCATTCAATAGGCTTTAATGTTAGATCGATTGATTAAATGCGTGTTGAATGTTCAAAAGGTCTGGAATTTGAGTGCCATATATAATTACCCATAAATATTCCAGTGTTGGTTTTCTTTGTGTTATTATCAATATACGTCACTGTGAAGGCTGTTCTCGGGGCTTTCCCGAAGCCCTGTATCATCATACCCAGGAAGATGATGACGAGAGAGATAATGGCCGTGTTCTCTGACGTCAGGTGACTTCTCTTGTCTGCTGCTGATGCACATGTGCTGGAGGTCCGGTTGTGGCCATCACACATGGCACCGTAGAGAGTTCTGGAAGAGGTCACGTTGGTCTGTAGCTGACCAGTGTCCGTGCGCGCGCCAAAGATGAAGTGAGGCAGGGAGCAGGCCAGACCTGATACACCAAATGTGATCGTCGCTATACCTGGATATGGCATGAAATTTATGATTTTTTTTTCTATTCTTGTTTTAAAGATGCTTTTTACTTATATTACATAGTTTCAACAGCATTCGTCATTATTCCCCCATACATATTACAATTTAGTGAAATGTACACAAGGTATCGTTATAGCTCGTCGAAATCGTCCCCGAAATAAAGACTACATACGAAACTTGGTTCCCAAACATCAGTCACGCAGAATATATTTTAAAATGTTGATAATTCTGACCTAGTGACCTCGGGATGTGTAGTTTCGGAGCCGAGTAGCTAAGGAAAAGCACACAGATGAGAAACCCCACATCATTGGCTGCCAGGATCAAACCTGTCTGTTTGGAGTTCAGGCCAAATTGTCTCTCTAGCGTCGTCACCTATTCGGAGTCAACATAATATCAAGTCTAAAGACATGACAGAAATTCACTTTGCATTTTAATTCTATGCGGAGTCGAAAACAAGTTCAACTCAACAGATGTTTATGAAATTTCGGCATTTTGACGACAATCCTTTTGTTTATGTGCCACCAAATTGTAATAGTAAAATAATCGGTAACAACATCTTTTACCATAGTTTCTTACAAATATAAGTTGAATAAGTGCATAGCATAATAAAAGAAAAAAAAAACCCAAACAAAACATATATATATATATATATATATATATATATATATATATATATATATAATTACATGTATATATGTATATTGATTCTAAATGGATACATCAATCATCCGCTGTCTTATTATCATGACAGCTAATGATGATGGGTTAATTCCAATTGAGCTGATTATAGATTAATATTTTAATCTGACCTTAGATGTGGAATACGGGTTGTGAGGAAAACACCATGCGCCACATAGATGGAGAGAGAGAGAGAGAGAGAGAGAGAGAGAGAGAGAGAGGGAGAGAGAGAAAGGAATGCTCTGCAATAACACACGGGTCGGGTAAAGTTCAGGGCCAATGGACAGCGACAGATGGTAATCGTTTTATTGTTTATTTGCCTCAATGGGGTTACAATGTACCAAATAACTAGAGATAGCACAAACCAAATAGCCTACAACATGGACTAATTTCAAACCCTATAACTCTTTTTATGTCTAGCAACATTTCTTTATTTTATCCTTCATCATATGATATGCAACACGGTTACAGTCTTAATTCATGAAAACTAAGTTTAATTTACATATGAAATACTTAGGAAAATGACATTTGCGCAGCTTGTTATCTTATTGATTACTTTCTACAAACACAAATAAAGTAAATCGATCCTTTAATTAACTCGCAACATGTCAGAAAACCAATCTTAGGTACGGAGTGGCCTAGCGGTAGAAAGCTGGACTGCTAACACGTAATTCTCGAGTTCGAATCCGAGTTCAACTTTGTAGACCGTCCCTGAGTTCAAAGTGCATGAGGGCATAGTGCTGACCATACTATTCCTTCATATGCTGAGGTTACAGAAACAAGTGAACTCTACTTCACTTGACCCGTAGACCGTCAGGTTTGAAAGGGAAACTTTGCTTTTACTTTCGTAACTCGAAACATGGCAGAAAACCCACATGTAATATGAGGTAATAAAACCCACATGTAATATGTGGTAATGAAACCCACCTGTATGATGACGTAATAAACCCACCTGTAAGATGACGTAAGTAAACCCACCTGGGAGTTGACGTACGACGTCAATGTCGAGGTCAACAGTGCCGCGAAACTGTATATCAGGGTGAAGCTCCAGATGTTGGCACACGGCTGCAAGATGTCCGGCTTGAATGTCCACACCCCACACCTCGTGTCCACGGCTAGCTCTGTGTCTTCTCCATCCTGGTCTCTACCTTCGCCAGGCTGGCGTTTGTGGTCGCCAGGCTGGCGTATATCCGGTCCTTGTTTTGGTTCCTGGTGTCCGTTTTGAGAAACGATCTTGTATCCCTTACCGATCATTTTTCTTAAAATAAATTTGCTCTTGAACCTTATATAATTGGTATTTCAATTTGGTTCAAATTTCAGAGAGGGATACAACTAGCTGGTCTGTAACCTTTGTTTAACACAGCTGTAAAGTCCTTAACTGCATTTATAAAGTAACAATTAGAACGCTTTTTTGAGTTGTAGACTTCTTATTTAATATTGAAATACACTATACTTATGCTTTTTTTAAAAAAATCAGTTACATACATTTCGTTTTTCTTTTGTACACCCAAATTGCATAAAACAATATATTTCCTTTAAAAAAAGGTTTCTGTAAACTAACGATTTAGAGTTTGCAGTAAATATATATTTTGAAATAGTATCGTGTACGAATTTAGAGTTAACTAAAACCTAACTTACATATGTAATTATAAACTTGGAACATCAAATAAAAAATATATAATAAAATAAACTTTGAACCTGGATTCACGTAAGCTACATGCGAACAAAAAAACTTGAAAAATTGTCTTACTTTAAAAAAAAAATGTCTTCAAAGATATCCAACTATTCAAGAAAATGAAGTAATTACTTTCACCAATAAATAACTAGACTATACTAAAAGCTGCTGGACTGAAACTAATTTATAACAAGTTTGCCCTCTCGAATTGTATTATGTTATTTTGCTTAAACTGCGTTTGGTTGAGTGACGTTTTTAATTGTGGCAGCTGTACTTGACAGCATGTGAGCTGTTGATCGCAGGATCAAAACCAAGTCAGATCAAGCAGATCAGGCATGAAGGAAATTTTTGACAAAATTAACTGGAAATGATGTTGTTTAGCTGCGGTAATTAGCGGAATTTATTAACTCAATTTATGTTGTTTTTTTTAACTATGGTCATGTAGCAAAGCTGGATCATTTGAAGCACGTGATACTATTTTAGAGCACATTAGATTGGGGTTAAATGGCGGATGTGAATGGTGTAGTCATTGAAGCCATTACGGAATGTTTGAATATGGGGGGGGGGGGGGTGGGAGGTGTCAGATATTGAAGCCATCACTGAATGGTTGAATATGAGGGGGGGGGGGACTGGGTAGGTGTCAGACATTGAAGCCATCACTGAATGTTTGAATGTAGGGGGGGAGGGGGTAGGTGTCAGACATCGAGGGCACACGAATGGCACGCGAGGTTCACACAATGAGGTAAAAAATCCTAAAATGATAGTCGTTGCTTGCTGGGTGAAAATTACACACACACACACTCACAAAAACACACGTGCACATATAAATATATATATATATATATATATATATATATATATATATATATATATATATATATATATATATATATATATATATATATATATATATATATATATACGTATGGTATGAATAGATTATGACAGCTCTAAAAGAACCACATGTAAGTCTTATACTGTCGATTCTTTCTGCACTAATTTAACTAAGGCAGACAAACCGCTCACAAAACTATTTAACCTACACTCCTTAAAACACAGCCAAAGAAGTATCACTTAATTTACTTTTAGGGCGCTTTTGCAGTGCTATTCACCAATACATAATAATAAACATGTACAGTCAGTGGCGTTGCTAGGTCGGTTGCCACCCGGTGCGGCACTTGGTGGTGTCACCCCCCACCTTAAAAGAAACAATATATATATATATATATATATATATATATATATATATATATATATATATGTATATATATATATATATATATATATATATATATATATATATATATATATATATATATATATATATATATGTGTGTATTTGTGTGTGTCAGGCATATAATTTAAAGATATGCCACATACGCGTACATGTGTGTTTATAAGCTTTAATCACTACAGACGTGATAGTAACGATGTTTATTTATAGTCTGATTAATAATATGGTTGAATGTAGCTTTGATTTCTGTGTAGTCAGTACGTTGACGTCATGGTGTTATCCTCAATTTAATAATTTTCTATGTGTACTTAAAAAACTATTTAACTTTCATTAATTATTAATGGAACTGGTAAAAATGCAGGTTTCTTCTGAAAATTTTGCAATTTTTTGCCTTGGTCTCATCCGGTGCGCCCCCCACCCCACCCCGCCCTCTCTAAGCCTGTGTGTAAAGTTTCGAAAAATTTTAGTTAATCTTAATTAAGACCCTTTAATCTACATTTGTCTGTACTTTGCATTATAGTTAGGATGTTTATGTTTTTTTTTTAATATGTCTACATTTATTTGTAAAATTAAATTTTAAATAAGATCAGACATTTTATAGAACAAAGAAAAACACCATTGATATAGCATTCTGACATCCAACAAATTAGTCCGTCTCATGCAAGCTGTGTCTGACAACTTAAGCTCCATCATAGGAATGGTGCATCACGTGATAGACCCATGATAGACCAGTCAGAGTATCGTCCCTTGTCACTTTGCTAATTTCTCTTTAATCATGTTCATTCATGAAATGTATTGCGATTGTCAAAATCACAGAAAAAAAACAAGTTTAAAAATTCACACACGCATTATGTTTTTTGGAGATGAATTCATGCATACTTTGAGTAGTCTAGACCAGTGGATCTCAACATATCTTACAAGTACCCTTGCTAGGAACATAATAACGGCGTTTGTTGATGGTGTGAATGAAAAGAAATATGGTAATCTCAGTACTCCCCCTTCCCCTGACACACACATAGCATTTTGTTAAAGCTATGTTTTTGCGTGTATAAGTAATTAAACATACAAGTCAATGAACGTATTTTTTGGTTTGACTTGACATTCTTGTGTGGGCCCTAATGAGCAAAGGGCTGCAGCAATGGCGTAGCGAGGTCGGGTGTCACCCATTGCGGCACTTAATGGTGTCACCCCCCTCAAACTTTCGATTTGCAACCCCCCCCTCTCCAAGTTTTCGATTTGCACCCCCCCACCCTCAAGTTTTTCTCTATATATTTTGCTATTTTTTGCCTTGGTGTCACCCCCCTAAATGGTGTCATCCGATGCGGTCCGCACCCCCCGCCCCCCCCCCCCTCGCTACGCCTCTGGGCTGCAGCCACACTTTTCCAGTGGGCTTGGTTTTGAGCGGCTCTCTATATTTGCGCCCACGTAAGCCCCGCACCCGTTTTTTTTTTTTTAAATTATGTATTTAATTTTTTTTAAGTTTTTTATTTATTTTATTTATTCATTTAGTTTTTTAATTTTAATTTTAATTTTTTTTTCTAGTCAATAAACGATGGAATATCCGAGGATTTAGACTTTTTTCACATCTTCGTGTCAGATCAATGATTAATTTTAAGGGTATCAGAAGATAAAGATGAATATTTGCTGAATTAGACCTACTAGATATACATTTTCACTCAGTTCTAAGCAGGCTAGTAAACTCCAATGACACGAGCTAATCTTACTAGACGTTTTAGTGATACATTTATATTAAGCTAAACAGGTCAGAATAACCAGACTTATACGTAAAAGGGGCGGGGCTTCTCTCTTTCATCTGACGTGGAATAAAGACAATACATGATAATCAACTTGCATTAATTAAGTTGTATAACTTTTTTCAGTTAATTAATCAGTACTATGCGATTTTAGTTCAGAATTTTGCAAGTTAATTTATGTTGGTCAAATGAATAGACGTAGCCTACATAGGTCAGTTGAACTATGGTCGAGGGACCTTTGTTTGTAGACGAACTGAATATAATTGGGTTCTAGAGACCTTTTTCTGTGGACTCGAAGGTCTTGTGAACTCATTTGTTGGTCTTTTGATCTTTGTTTTTGGTTGTACTACTTCTTTGGTCTTGTGATCTTTATTTATATGAGTAAACAGTGTTTGATTTTGTGATCTTTATTTGTGGGATACATAGTCTTGGGGTTGTGATTTTCGGTTTTTGGTGTACTTTATTTGATCTTTATTTTACGGGGTAAACAGTGTTTGATTTTGTGATCTTTATTTGTGGGATACATAGTCTTGGGGCTTCTGATCTTTGTTTGTGAACGCATATTTTTGTTTTCTCATCTTTGTTTTTAGCGTAATTAGTCTCTGCATTTGTGATCTGTATGTGTCATTATACTCAGTATTTGGTCTTGTGATCTTTGTTTGTAAGTGTATTCAGTACTTGATCTTGGAATCTTTATTTGTCGGCGAATCTGTCCTTTGACCAAAACCCTATACATGTAAAAAATCTCACAACTATTCTAAAAATAACTCAAGCGTTTTCGCCAACTGATTGGTTTAGGAATTGTTGTTTCAAACCCATTTTCATCCAGAGTTTCTTCAAGGCATCTCTCCCCCCCCCCCCCGAAGAAAGTATACCGCCCCTTCCCATTCCCCCCCCCCCCCCAACGAAATGGAATTTATATGTATATCGGAATTATATACTTTTAACAGTTTTCGGCCCCATTCCCGACAGAAGTTTTAGTCAGCCGCCCCCCCCCCCTCCCCTGGAAGAAACACTGTTTGGAAATGTTAATGTTCTCTCTTTTAAAAAAAATAAAGGATTAATTATTTAAAATACTATCTTCGGTGAGTACATAATTATAATTCTGAAGTTATTAAAATTAAATTTGTAATTTAGCTGGCAAGCTTAATCCTTTTTGTGTAACTTACCGAGAAATATTGTTTTGGTGGGGCATTGCTATTTTTTTATGTGGAGCATTGTTATTGTTTTTTTTTTTGTGTGGAGCATTGTTATTCTTTAACTTTATTTGACCATTAACCTTCGTTATAGATTTCCGAAATGTATTTGACCTCCTTATAACATTAAGGCAACTTCAGCTTCAGTAAAATGCTACTCAAAGCATTTACCTAATTAAATTGAAGTACACAGTATTGATTATTTTATCGGTTTTACTTACGGAACGCGATTTTTAATTAGCTTCGTTCCTTAGTTTAAATTTAATTTTAATTAACTCATTCATAGCTGCATATAGTTGGTTGATCAACAGACACTAAACATGTAATGTACCTTATGAAAATACATAATTTGTTTTGCAGTGCTTAAGTGGATTATAGAAATCTCTAAATGTGTAACTGTTTTTCAAAGGATTTAGCATCAATAAATCATTTTTATTTTTCGTGAAATGATTGTTAGTATCGTAAGTAATTGCTTATTATATTGCGTTTTTAAGATCATTTAAATACATCACCTGCATTATTAAGTTGATTTTCGATATCGTTAGAAACATTGTAGTTTTTAATTTATAGGCCATATGTAAATACGCTACTTTTTACTATCGTTAGATACTTTTATAAAATGAAATATTGTTTAGGTCATTGACACTTATAAACAGGTAAATCATTAGGATGAAAACAACAGCGGAAAGCTCATGTGAAGTGAGAAGGTGCAAGGTACCTTGCGAGACATGTAAAGCTTGCAAATGCAAGCAAAATGACATTTATCCAAATGACATCAAGGCAAATGACACCCAGCCAAAAGATAACTTGTCAACATGTATCAAGGCAAATTTTATCCAGTCAAATGTCATTCATCCAAATGCTACCAACCGAAATGACATTCAGCCAAATGTCATCAATACTATCGTAAACAAGCCAAATGACATCCCGTTAAATGAAACCCTATCAAATGACTCCCACAACAATGACATAGAGCAGAGCCGCACCAAACTGGATGACATACAGCAACATGACATCAAAACAAATGTCATCTTGACCTATCCTACAATCGGATGCTTCACTGGGATCTACAGCGTCGCCATCTTGATTACCTCAACGTTGACGTCATACGTCAACTCACAGGTAAAAAATTAAAATCGTGGTGTCCCTTCTTCATACAAGGTGTTGGACTTTTTTTTTTACCTTGGTCTACACATACGACTATGTCAATTCACATATTAAAAATATATTTTGATATATGTGGCGAGTTTATTTTTCCATTTGAAACATTTGTAACAAGAACACGTGAAACTGTGCATATAATTCCATATGTTAACCTTAAAAAATGAAAGCCACTATAACACATCTATATAATCCCATATCATATCATCCCTATTTATCCGCGCTTATCCCCATCTTCCCCCAGGTGACTACACTTGAAAGACAGTTCGGCTTCAGTTCCAAGCAGACTGGACTAATCACTTCCGCCAATGACGTAGGTTTTCTCACCTGTGTGTTGCTGACAAGTTACCTGGCTTCCAGGATCAACATCCCGAAATTTCTGGGTACGTTTTAATACAATTATTTATAGCAAGAAAATAATACACAATTTATTGGTGACGGAGCAATTGTATACATTATTTCCATTATCATGGTTGTCGACCATTTGCGAAGAATATGGACCAGACCAGAGATCTATATAGTAGGCCTACTCGATTTCAGGAGATTCCTCCTGGTTGAGTCCATAACATTTCAGATACTTGAACTTCGCAAGCAACCGAAATTTCCAATTTTGTTTTGGCCTAACAATTTTTCACTTTGATTGGGTATTCTAAGTTATTTTTGCCCTGGGAATGTTGTTTGCTTGCTTAAAGCTATATATACATATATATATATATATATATATATATATATATATATATATATATATATATATATATAAATTAAATGTTATTTTTTTATCATTTAGATTAATCACCTGCATCTAAAAATACTTTTTACACTTTAATCTGAATGCAGTAGTTTTACCTGTATCCTGATATTCCAGGTATATCCTGCCTCTTGTATGGGTTTTCTGGCCTCGTGTGCTCGATGCCACACTTCCTGTTTGGTCTGGCGCAAGGTGACAACTTTAACGTGACGGCGCCGGAAGGATCCGTTCCAGGAATCGTATGTCGCAGCAACGTCAGCACTACAGCTTGTCTCACAAAGGGAGGTAACCTAATTCGTCTACACGCAATAATCCTAATTTTATTATTTTAGTAACAATTTTTATAGAAGAATTTTAGGATTATGTAAGTATATTTTAGGAGGTTACTTGCCAAGTCCTCTTTTTGAAAAGAAATAATTTCCTCTTACAGTCTTCTTAATTAAGTGGCAAGTAAAGTAGTATACTAATTTTTGTTCGAAAAGGGTATATAAATAATGCAATCATAAAATATCGGAATTCCTAAGAATAGTTGTCGAACGGTAGAGTGTTCAACTTCCAATCCGAAAGTCTCGAGTTCGTATACCAGGGTAGCGTCTGTATGACGTCGATAAATCGACCTCACTCTGACGGGTACCTGAATCATGTAAAGTAAAAACGGCTTGAAATTGTACTGACCACACTATTCCGACAGATTTAGTAATCACTGATAAAGGTGTGAGATACTTCACCTGCTTCATTGACGGAAGGGCTCTTAAGGGTACTTAACATTTTATGCTATGCTAAGCAAATCTTCAATGTAATTCATTCCAGTCTCTCATCATTAATGATATACATATTGTCTTAAATAATTTAAGTGGTACTCACTTCTTAGAGCATGGACATTCAAGCGAAAGTTCACAACATCACGTGACTACCGTATCTCTGGTCATCATCGTGGCCGGGATGATGCTGCAGGGGGTGGGGAAGTCCCCCCGGGCCTGCCTGTTCATCAAGTACGTGGATGACAATACGAAGAGGACCAACACAGGCTTTCTAGCAGGTAATGATTGATGATGTAGTATGGACGACTTCGTTGATAAAGGGTGGAAATGTATTGTGAGATATGTATTGCAAAAACAGAATTTATCTTTACAAATGGCCCATAATGACGTAGCATACATGTTCAACGCTTACCTGCTCAAATGTACACGTATATGTTATATGATGTACATGTACACATATATTAAAGCCACTTATCTGTATCCATGTAGGTCAACATATAACACACAAAGTAGCTCTACCTGAAAGTCACATTATTTGTGAATACAGAGCTAGATCTGTTACTTTACAGTGGAGTCGCTAGGTCGGGTGTCACCCGGTGCGGCAACTCATGGTGTCGCCCCCCACCTTATTTTTGTCTGTAAATTTTGCAGTTGGTGTCTACCCCCCCCCCCCCCGGCCCTGGTAAAAATCTTTAACGTGTTTGTTACGCTAAGTGAGTGTCTTTGGTTATTTGATCCAATACCATTTTTGTCTTAACCACTACCATGTGGAGATGTCGTGTTCACAGAAATGCATCGTACCATCATTCACTAGGACGACGTGGACGACCAACAATCAATGAGAGGAACGCAGGCTTCTTTTCTTATCTTTAATTCTGTACTCTCAACTCACATACATCCTTCCACCAAGGCGAAGAAAATCATACTCACTCACGCACAATACCTAGCAACCAGTCTCTACACCAGAACGTCACTGTCGCACCATACGCGTCATCATTCCTTGCGTTCAACATACCTTTCGCACCAACATTCATTCGCGCCAATCTATAGCATAGATTATATTATAACATGCATCATAACAGTGTTCACATTAAGAGAATACGGTTTATCTATAGTCGGTTTTTAATACAGCTGGGTGTAACATTGTTTTCTCTATAATTTGCATGTTTACTTCATGGTGTCACCCACACCTCCCTCGTCGGGATAGTGTATATCTACTTAAAATAATTTTTTTTAATCTCTAATTAACAATTCATTGAACTGGCAACATATATATTTTTCTAAAAATCTTGCAATTTTTTGTCTTGGTGTCACCCCTTAATGGTGTTACCCTGTCCGCTCCGCCAGCCCCAGCCGCGCGACGCCTCTGTTACCTTATCATAGTCGATCTAGTGGTATGCATATTCACAAGTAGATCAAATGACTCATACCTTTTTTAGTTATACAAGATCCCGTCTGTTACCTTCTAAAGTCAAAGGTAGATCACATTACATACATGTCGATAGATACTTTAAAACCAAATATTTTGACCCAGGAATCGCAATGACAGCAGGTATCTTGGGACCAGCCGGTGCTTTCTTCCTAGGGGGCGTGTTCAGCAAGATGCACGTGACACTTCAAGGTACAAAGGTCACGGCCTTAACACTCCAAAATTGACCATTTTTTCTAAAACTCAGAGGCGTAGCGAGGGGCGGGGCGGGGGATACACGTGTCCCCCGGCGCCGACCTTAGGGGGCGCCAAAATGGGATGGAAAAACAAATTAAAATATCATTTTAGCTGATGTTTTGCATTGTAAATATAAAAAAAATATATGGGGGGGGTGCAAATTGAAAGTTTGACGGGGTGTGCAAATCGAAAGTTTGAGGGGGGGGGGGTGCAAATCTTAAGTTTGAGGGGAAGGGGGAAATTAAAAATTGAAAGCTTGCTCCTGAGGGGGGCGTCAAAGTGAAAGGGTTGCTACGCCTCTGCATAAATTACTTGATCACAAGCTATATGTTTATGTCTATCATGTGCTGTATATCTGTCCTAAAAATAATAAATAACTGGCTCCATATTATTCCAACAAATTCCAACAAATATATACTACCTGACACCCCATCAACATGTGTTCATATTTCCAACACACCGACACCAACCTGACACCGTGACACCTCCACCCCCCCCCCCCCATCCAATGTTCATATTTCCAACACACAGATACCAACCTGACACCCCTCCACCCTAAATGGATCGGCGCCTGGTGGCTAGGCTATGTACTGATTGGCTGTGCTTCCCTTATAGCAGCTATACCTCTTTTCTTCTTTCCAAAGACGATCCAAAGCCAGAAGTCAAAGTGAGTGACGTCTTATTTTGATTTTTTTAAAATCATCTTTAATATCATACTAAAACAGTTGTGGTGCACCTCCTTCCCGAAGAAATGCCTGAAATTAACTCTGAGCAGTTGTTGGTTGGTTCTTCCTACTTATTCCAAAAATAGGTTTTGGGTCGCTACAAGTAATAAAATACTTACCAGTTTGATTTGTTTTGATTAGTAGTAGTACTAAAACTAAAAATTAGGGGATTAGGCCAAAATGGTGACATTACCAATACATAGTCATGATAACTGATTTATAAATAGTAGTTTTCAATTATTTAGTTGAATCTGTAGTAATTGTCCTTATACTTGTAATTGAAACTTTTAATCGAATATTCAAAATGATATTGTAATTTTAAAAAAATTAATATATATTATCTTGAAACTATTCTTTTTTTTTTCAATTTTAGACACTAGTAAGCATACACACACAGTATAAAGCCCATTGAAAGACAATCGAAGTTTTCTTCTCATGAGTTTTAAGTTCTCGACTCCAAATATTTCATTATGAAAAAATATGTTTATTTCTATCTGTTTTCTTCCATGATTTTATTTTCTATTTTCATAACCTGATTTGTCTAAATAAAAAGAGGTTAAGATGAAAATGAACTAAATGTTTTGTTGTTAACAGATCGTCTGAGTTGACTGCTCGTTCCCCCAATAAAGACAACTTACAATCTACTAAGCTCTTGCTAGACAGTGTACCCTGTGAAAATATACCAATGGATAATATAACACAATCGGTTGATACAACAACTAGAGAAAATAGACTATTGATGGATACAACTAGAGAAAATAGACTATTGATGGATACAACTAGAGAAAATGAGCCAAAAGCTATAGTAACACTCGAAGATTTTCAAGAAAAAGAAAGTTATATGTCAAAGGTTAAAAGAAAGCGACAGATGAATAAAGCTGCACTTGTTTTCAGCCACTTCAAAGGTAACTTGTTTTGTATTTACTTTAATCGCGTGTGATTGTGGGAGAGGCTGCATGTCGATGTATGGAGAGGGGAGTACATGGGTAGTCTATATTCAAAGAGAGGTTGTGTGTGGTGTGGGTAGGGGAGTATAAGGGCAGACTATATTTAGTATATGATTGGGATGGTTCTGGTGTAGAAGAGAAGTCAAGAGTTTGTAGGCCGTTAATAGGAAAGAGGTGTTCGTGTGTATGGGATTGTAGGAAGTGATGCGCGTATAGGATGGGTTAGATGGGTGTTTAAAGAGCGTTAGAGTGTATGTTGGACAACCGTTTGTTGAAGGGGTGTATATGGGGAGCGCAAATGAAGAATTTATGGATATAGGGCGCATTGTAAAATAAAGTTGTGTCCATCTAGGTTATCTACTAGTAGCATATGTGTTGGTTTAATATGTCTGTTTACGTATACATTTTTATGCTATGAATAGACGTTGAAAAGAACAGTTGGATGTTGTAGACATTTGTGCTGAATTGCTGTATGCTAAATCGAATACCTGTCCCTACCTAACTACTATAAATATAATTATTATTATCTATTCTATTTTGTGCCCAAGACACATCGGGCTGCCACAATAAATATATTACACATGCATAATTAAGCTAAACAAATTATCAGTTACAGATTGAATCATCAAAGTCCATCCTGTTTCTCCAGGTTTCTGCATGTGCATGCGCCGACTACTCACCAACCCTGTGTACATGTGCGTAGTCGTGTCCAACTGTTTTATCATCTTCAACGTGAGCGGAGGGTCAGCTTTTGGCGCTAAATACTTGGAGAACATGTTCAACCTCCCTGCTTACAAGGCTAATTATATTCTAGGTGAGTGCTTCGTAGCAATGTACCTTTTCCAAACCATGACACATCACCAAGCTATCTAATTTAAGCCACTCTGAGAAAACAACTGTTGCCAATAGCATTTTTTAGTTTCAATAATTTGTTCCTTATTTAGTTTAACTAGTTTTAATATACGTCTATCATCTAGTCCTTTCTATGTGTCGGTATATCTAATCAATTGTTTGCGTATTGCTGCCGTGTAGAGCCTACTGATTACGTGTTGGGACGGCGTGGTCAGATTGTAGAGCTATTGACTGAAAACCCAACAGTCTTGAGTTCGTTTCTGTGTCCGGACTTGGGACTGTAGAACGTACCGGTGTTCATCTAGTCTTGCGTTGGGTACAGTAGAGGCGGCTGGGCATAGTGCTGACCACAACATCCCTTCATATGCCGAGTGAATAAATATATGACTGATTTTATTTCTATTGCCCTATAGATCTGAAAGGAGAACCTTACATTACTTACACCTATTTCCTACATCACAATTTTCATTATTAACAAGTTTAGCGCATTGATATTACCTACAGTTGAGAAAATACACTTAGATACCATTGACAACTAACTTTCTACGTAACGATATTTACAGCTGGTCAAACCTTCACCGCCTCCTGTCTGGGAGTTTTCATTGGTGGTTTCGTCACTCGCAGACTTAAGATGACCCCACTGGCAGCTCTCAAGTTCACCATCGTCGTCTACGTCATAGCTCTGGCTGGTACAGCCGCGGGCTTTTTCTTGCAGTGTGAGCAGCCAGCTGTACATGGGAGGTCGAGGTCAGTTGTTGGAAGTAGGCCAAGGCCAGTTGTCGGATGATGGTGAGCTGTCTAAGTCAGGCTGAATTCAGTTGTCCACTGCTGGCCGTACCCAGATGTCAAAAGCTGACCGTGGTCAGTTGTCAAAAACTGGCTAAATTCAGTTGTCAAAAACTGGCTAAATTCAGTTGTCCAAAGCTGGCCGATCTTAGAGGTCCAAGACTGGTAGAGGACATTGTCCAAAGATGGAACATGTCAGTTTTCCAAAGTAGACCGAGAACAGTTTTCCGAAGCTGACCAAGATTACTAGTTCAAGGATGGCCGATGTAATTATAATTATACAGGCCTACACACACACACACACACATCATATATATATATATATATATATATATATATATATATATATATATATATATATATATATATATATATATATATATATCCTATATTTATCTTTATGTATCTCTATTCAATTGGCATATTTACACGCAGAGAACAAATAGAATGCAATCGAGATTGTGATTGTAAAGACGAGAGTTATTTCCCCGTATGTGGGCAAGATGGTATAACGTATTACTCCCCTTGCCTTGCCGGGTGTTCTGGGTTCGACAAGGTGAGCTTTATTGTTAGTGATTCTGTACATAATGATCTATTGATTTTTGTAAGGGTAGTATTGATTATTTGTAATTGAGATAATTATAACATCTTCATTGAGTGTTACCATTATTTTATACTGCATCAATGAAACGCTTTCTATAATGTGTTTGATACAGGCGGTATACGCTGCTAGATTTTGACTTTGTACTATTTTTAGCGCAATTTCCATTCAGGAGAATTGCGTTTATTAACCCGTCATTTCTGGATGGATGTATGAATGTGTGTCCGCAGCATTAAGTCGTATTTCCTCCTCAACGAAGCAATATCGAGGACTAATTCCAAAGCAATTATGTTTAGCAAGTTACGAGGATGAATATAGGCCATAAAAATTCCGGGTTTCTTTCATGGATTTCCCGGGAAAGCAAAAAAACCCTCGTAAAATGCAGTTTTTTGCCCATATCTCGGCAAGCAGACCACTTAGCGACTTGAAACATGTACCAATCGATTTCTGCCATAATTTAGAACAATATTGCCGAAGAAAGTTTTCAAAAATATCCTTTCGTTCGGTCACAAATTTTTTTTTGAATTAATTAAAATTTGGACCGAATTAGTAGGCATTTTTATCCAACCACACCACACGCGTCATCAAGTTCAATAGCTGCGCCATCACGTTCAATGGCTGCGTCATCACGTTCAGTAGCTAGGCGCGCAATGGTTTTTACATGTAACTCTATTGAAAATAAAACATGTATTTTAACCAATGATTTTACTAACCCTGCTCTTGATTTACGCTACGACAGAGCTATTTTTAGATAGCATAAGGAAATTGCGCTAAAATTGTCACTAGACTTTTTAATTACCTTGTTTTATAAACACGCTGATATCTGTGTCTTTAGTCCCAGGCCCGTGCTCTTTTAAAACCTGACGGGGCAACTGAAGTAGAGTTCACCTGTTTCTATGACCTCGGCTTGTGAAATGATAGTGTGGACAACACTATGCCCAGCCGCCTTTACTTTCCCTAACGTGAGTTAGGTGCCCATCCGAGCTAGGTGGACTCAGGGACGTTATACGTACTATAACCTGAACTCGAGACTTTCGGGTTAGCTATCGTATGCTCTACCATTCGACCACTTGGTCCCCTGTATGGGATGGTCTTAAGCTGTTGATTCCTTTTTTGCAGGTGTACACAAACTGCACGTGTGTACCTGGGGGTGAGGCTAGAATTGGCACCTGTGATTACGGATGCTGGCACCTGTATGTGTATGTTTTATGTATGGGCATCAGGCAGCTGTTCAGTCCTATGTCGGTCGTGCCTAAGGTGATCGTGGTTATAAGGTGAGGGTAGTTTCTTATGTAAGAGTAAGCAGGACGGGGTTGTATTGTTATAAGGTGGGGATACGTTCTTATGTAAGTGTAAGCATGACAGTGTTGTATTGTTATAAGGTGTGGCTAGGTTATTATTTTGGACGGGGTTGTATTGTTATAAGTTGAGACTAGGTTCTTATTTTGGACGGTGTTGTATTGTTATAAGTTGAGACTAGGTTCTTATTTTGGACGGGGTTGTATTGTTATAAGTTGAGACTAGGTTCTTATTTTGGACGGTGTTGTATTGTTATAAGTTGAGACTAGGTTCTTATTTTGGACGGTGTTGTATTGTTATAAGTTGAGACTAGGTTCTTATTTTGGACGGTGTTGTATTGTTATAAGTTGAGACTAGGTTCTTATTTTGGACGGTGTTGTATTGTTATAAGGTAGGGTAGGTTCTTATGTAAATGTAAGCAGGACAGTGTTGTATTGTTATAAGATGAGGCTAGGTTCTTATGTAAGTGTAAGCATGACGGTGCTGTATTGTTATAACGTGCGGCTAGGTTCTTATGTAAGTGTAAGCAGGACGATGAAGTTTTGTAATAAGGGTTTAGTTCAACAGTATAAAACTCTTATGTAAGTGTAAGCAGGACAGTGTTGTATTGTTATAAGATGAGGCTAGGTTCTTATGTAAGTGTAAGCATGACGGTGCTGTATTGTTATAACGTGCGGCTAGATTCTTATGTAAGTGTAAGCAGGACGATGAAGTCTTGTAATAAGGGTTTAGTTCAATAGTAACATTGCAAGAGTATCTCTTAGGATCAGGGTTAACATTTTTGGATAAAGACAGGTAAAAGACATAGATAATGACATCTTAAAACTTATGTTGTTGACCAATTATCTGTATCTGTTGACTTCACAGATCTGTGAATAGAGCTGACAGAGCCATGGCTGTTGGCTTGAATGCTTTTGTCACTTCCATTTTTGGTTCGTTTTTTAAACTACTCTTTTTTAAACAACCACTGTATTTAGATCTAAAACACTAACCATTTATCTAACCATTAAAATTATATCATGCTCATCTGAACTCAATGTACTAGATCCCATTAGAATAATGCGATTAATTACTTTTATAATTATTATCTTCAATGTAGTAGATCCCAACTAGAATAAAACGATTAATTACTTTTATAATTAGTATCTTCAACTTTACGAATTAATGATCCTAAACTTAATTAACGTCAACTTAAATGACACTAATTATCTACTTTGACAGGCTGGCTATTGGGCCCGGTGGTGTTTGGGATGATGATTGACGGTATCTGCGTCATCTGGGAGGCGGGTTGTGGGGGGAGGGGCCGCTGCCTGCTGTACGACCACGCCATCTTGAAGCGGAAGTTCCACGCCTACATTGCCGTGCCCTCCCTCCTCTCCTTGCTGTTCATCGTCGCCGCCTACGTCTACGGCAGGTGCACCAAATCGATGAACCGTGACGAGGATGCAAATGTTGCGGAAAGATTAGATTTTGACTTATCAGTTTAAAGCTTCGAAAATATGTTGCGGGTAAATATTATTTTAAAGAATGTAACTATCGGACATGTTCTTACAATATTTAGCTTGTTAATTAATTAAAATGAAAACTTTAATTAGGCCAAACCAAAGTTGTCTTCGTCGTTGACTGCATTATACGAGATAGATGAAATGGGAGTCGATTCATAACATACTTTTTGTTATGTTTTTTTTATTATTTTGTTAGAATCTTATGCTATTACAATGCGAGTGGAATAAACATTTCAACTAAATAAAATCTTGAAATAACATTTGATGCTTGAAATTATTGAAAAAATTATTGACTTATTAGATCATTAGTAAATACAAAGGCTATCTAATATTGGATACAGTCTAAAATACTCAAATAAAAACATTACTATTGCAGTTGATATATTGCATATTGAGTATAGTGTGACCTACTTAGGTCTCGTCATGTTCCATTCTTAGTTTGACATTGTATAATACCTTATATGGATTGATGGTGCAACTACCGGGGTTTTTCCACTGTCTTATTAAGGGTGTCTAGGACCCAGAAATTTTCCATCAAGATCTGATTGATAGATTCAGATCAGATGACCACCCCAACCAATGGCTACATGAGTTGAGGATAACCTCCCCTGTTGCATAAGTCTTTAAATGGATCGCACACTCGCAACACGAGGCAGTCTACCTTGATCAAGCGGTCTATTAGGACCAAGCCGTCCATATTGTCCGGCAATAGATTCTGACCATTTGAACGTGAGAGAGCTTAAGTCCTGTGTGTGCTATGCTTTCTTAAGTTGGTTTAGTCTTCTAGTATAATTTTACTTGTCGCCAAGTGATTCTTGAAGCTATAGCGGTGTTGTGTGACCTGTGGCTATTTTTATACAGTGTTAAAATCTGTGATAGTGTTTTTTCTTACGCTTTATAAGTTGGGTTTTGTTATTTTCTAAATTAAATATTTTATCTCGTTTTACCTAGTGTTCTGCCACAACTGTGTTCGCTTATTAAAGGTTGTATGCAGATTGGATGAGTTGTTAACTTCAATAGTATCACTAGTTTTCCCTAGAGATCGAGATCGAGCCCTAGTGTGTTGTTGAGTTAGTGTTCTTCCATTTAGGCTTTAAGTCATTTGCATATAACCCCGAAAAAAGAATCCGGGGACGTTCACCATCTATCTGGCTGGTAGATAGGTAAACGTTACAATAGGCTATTTCTCGTATACTCACACACCTCTGAGTTAGGCAATGCAAAATACTAAGTGAATCGGGTCTACGATCAAGCAATTTGTTTTAGATTCCATTTTGCTGACCGCTAGTCATTTGCATTAATTTACTGTGGACAAATATTATGAACCGATCGTTCATCATCAACAGTTGCAGTTCGTGCCCAAGACACTTGAAGCAGATAAAGTAGAGTCCATCTGCTTCAAATACCTCGACATGTGAAGGGATAGCGTGGTTTGCACTATGTCCAGCCGTATTTGTTTCCCTAATGTAAGTTAGGTGCCCATCAGAGCTGGGTGGGCTCAGGGACGTTCTACTAACTTGAACCCGGATTCGAAATTGAGACTCTCGTGATAGCATTCTAGCTCTCTGCCGCAAGGGCCACGTCGAACATATCCTTAGTCATATTTATTCATAAGTTTAATGAGAAATAATTGGTATCAAGAAATTACGGAAACACGTATTAAGGGAAGAAAAAACACCGCTATGGTATTGGGTTTATAGCTTCAATGTAAACAAAAAATAAATATATCTTCTCCTCTTCCTCAATTTTTTTTCATTAATAAATGTAAAATATTTTCAAATATATATGAAGTCAGCAGAGTTAAATGGGAGGGTGGAGTCGGATTGTGGTGCGCGGACCTTTGACCACAGGTGCTTTGACCATAGGGGGTTTGACCATAGGGGGTTTGACCACAGCGGAGCTTTGACCATAGGGGCTTTGACCATAGGGGGTTTGACCACAGCGGGGCTGTGACCATAGCTGTGCTTTGACCATAGGGGGTTTGATCATAGGGGTTTGACCATAGGGGGTTTGACCACATGTGTTTTCTCAGCAGAGGGTCTTTGATCACAGGTGTTCTATCAACGGGTGTTTGATCACAAGCGCTGTGTCCGGCTTTGATCATAGGTGTGATACAATTAACACGATTGTATACATGTTTCCTGAGAGTAGGTTAATAGAAATTAACATGTATTTAAAAAAGCCAAGAACTATAATTTAGTCTTCACATAAAGGCTGGTGCTAGACCTCATAGATTTATTTTAAATATAAATGAAACACAAATAATGCGACATATAATAAGGGTCACTAATAAATAATGTAGAAGTACTTGAAAATACATAGCATATATAAAGGATAAACAATGATACAAAACTTGCCAACAATATAGTCAAAGATGTAATACATAAAATGGTTAATTAAATGACAGATGTGCTATAGCACGCAAATATGTCAGTACATCTGTTTGACCATATTATTACATCATGTCGAAATTTAAAATATACCATAGCAACTTTTAAAATAAATCCTTACCATATATGGACAGCATTGGACAAACCACCTGAGATCAAAGACCCTATGTGGACAAAACACCTGAGATCGAAGACCCTTTGTGGACAAAACACCTATGATCAAAGCCGGACACAGCGCTTGTAATCAAACACCAGTTGATAGACCACCTGTGATCAAAGACCCTCTGCTGAGAAAACACCTGTGGTCAAACCCCCTATGGTCAAACCCCCTATGATCAAACTCCCTATGGTCAAAGCACCGCTATGGCCAAAGCCCCGCTGTGGTCAAACCCCCTATGGTCAAAGCCCCTATGGTCAAAGCTCCGCTGTGGTCAAACCCCCTATGGTCAAACCCCCTATGGTCAAAGCACCTGTGGTCAAAGGTCCTAGGACCCGGATTGTAGAGGGTACTACTGCTAACCCCAAAGTTTTGAGTTTGAATCATGGACTCAAGTCCGTAGAACGTGTATGACAGCCATCTCTGATGGGTAACTGACTCATGTTATCGAAAGCAGACGTGACTGCGGGTAGTGCTTACCACACTATACCGTCCATCACATACTGATGTCACAATTGAACTCTACCTCATCTTGCTGATGGTTATAAAGAGTAACTAAAAGTAAATGAAGATAAGACATTCGACAAATTTAAATAGGCTAAAAGGGTTTAATTTTGTTTATTCAAACATAAATGACACACATATTGATAAAATCTTAACATCTAATTGTACAGTGTGAGCGAATAGTTAGACTTCTAACCCGAATGTCTCGAGTTCGAGTCATTCGGGTATACGTCAGTCAAAGTCTCTCTGATGGGTACCTGACTCACATTAGGGAAAGTAAAAACAGCAGGGCTTCGTGCTGACTACACATTATTCCAAACTCAGAAGTCACATAAACAGGGTAACACTACTTCACCTACATCATGATAAATATGTTTCGAAAAAATAATTTACTTTTACACAACTACTTATTTTAATATTTATATTTTAAATTTTATTGACTTTCTCTCTTGGCATGAATACACAAACTCAGTCGCTGTTGGATTTATTTGATCAGATCGAGTGTCACTGTTGTAAAAACAGTGTTCTAACCCAACATTTATTACAAGCTATTATTTCACGTGCTTCCTTGTGCTTTAGTCTTTAATCGTCATGGATCTTAACTGGCGAGCGAAACTTTGACCTCTTTAAACCAACACATTTTTCCCTTTTTAAATTCTAGTAAGCATATTCAATACATATTTCAGCGCCCGCACTTTTTTTATAGTTATTTAAATAGTAGTTCATTATAATATATTTAAAGAAAATCATTTATTTTCTGCTAATTTATTGCATTATAATAATATAAATAATTTAATTTTGTTACATTGTAACGTCGAATTTCGACATGGATTATTTATTGAAGGAAACTGACTCTTAAAATGTCGATATAAAATTACGAAATCACTCAAATTTATTTTTACTTTTTATACACAACAAAAAAAAATATAAGGAAAATAATCTTGGTGAAGGCTATACTATTTGAAACACATTGATACAAATCACTTCATATCAAAACATGCATTTAAACCTAATATTCCGATTTATTTATTTAAATTAGGGTCGACGTAATTTCATCTCAGTGTACTGCAGACTGTCTTCAAAGCCTGTTATAGTAGACCAGTGAATTGCTTTACCACCTACTTTACTTGCCCAGATCCCATTTAGATTAACAGAACCGCAGTTGTTGCTATACCACCAGCCACCATTATACTCCTTAGCACAGTTTCTAGGAAATACATCATTGTCTCTGTCAAAAGTGGTAAAATTCATTCCCTTGTTATGCGTAAACTTATCTGCAAGGTTGCCTGCCTTGAATGAAAAACGTATCCTATAAAAATCTGCTTCATTTCCCACCGTCACATTACTGTACACGGCGTAGTAGGATATACCTTTATACTTCATGTCAAACCTCAGATCACTGTAGCCCTGTCAATACATTACAATCAATGAATGAATAATATTGGTATGTTACACTTCAATTAATATCAACACCAGAAACGTATTTTATACATATAGCCTATACACACACACACACAAACATATATATATATATATATATATATATATATATATATATATATATATATATATATATATATATGTATATGTATATATATATATATATATATATATATATATATATATATATATATATATATATATATATATGCAGCATATATACTGTGGGCTTGTGACAATTTGGATGGCGACTCCTCTTAAACAATTGTACACATTAATTTACTGTTAAAACAATTGTCGATCCCGTTAAAAAAGAAGAAGGGAAGACTCCAAACAAAAAATGCAAGTTCATTAAAGGGATATGGTGACCTAAGTTGCAACATTTTTTACACCTAACGTTGTGACGCCGCTGTATATATATACAACATAGACCTCAGAATATTTAATGAAAATAAAAAGCAGCAACTTAGAAATAAGTAAGTATATTCTATTTCACCTTCACAGATGTTTAATTTTTATTTTCAACCAAGTATTATATGCCCGGATATTTACTAGACTTACAAAATACCCAGAAAATACTAATACACACAGTATTAACCAGTGGCGTAGCCAGGATCATCTCATGGGGGGGGGGTTCAAATTTTTCCAGCATTATATATATATATATTTATATATATATATATATATATATATATATATATATATATATATATATATATATATATATATATACTAGCTGTATGTCATTGCTTCGCTATGATGTAAAATAGACTGAAAGTACTCTGAGGAAATAAGAAAAAACACAATATTGGCCAACAAAATAAAACAATTTATCACTCTAATTAAAAAAAAAACAAAAAGATACACACAATGAACGCAACACAATCTTTCTGTTATCCGTGTAAAAAAACTATTTGACATAATGATTTCTAGAAAATAATACAAACGAACTAGGGGAATTAATCACATAAATATTTATATTACTACAAATTTAATGGTAAATGTCAGAACATATCACTAATTACTTTAGTAAGTAGTAAAAAAACTTTACTTTATTCGTTTTTACAAAAATATGTTGTCTACAATAAGAATTAAATGTATTGTCATCATAAATGATAAAATCTTACAGCATAATGTAAGTTTTTTTTTAAATCAGAGTTGGTATAAAAGCACGCTTTTCGATTTTATATTAAAACAATATAATAGGTGGAAGATTTCAAATAATAACATATAAAAAACCCATTGGTCTTACAGTTCAGATCACACATTTTCTAATTAGCTACTGTTTTTTGTGTTCTTTAAAGATCATTTCTTGAAAATGATGATAAGGTATGGGTTGGATCACTGTATTGCACACACACCTATTTACTGGTAATTGCAAAAATAAGATTTAAAGAGTTTTACCTGTTTCAAAAGCTACTATTCTGGTGGCAAGGTAATTTAGTACGTCATTACGAGTTTCCCCAAATGTACCAACAGACCAGTTGGGGTGGGTTGGTAGGGGGGTTCAACTTCATTCACTGCTGTCCGGTCACTTTAGGTCAATTATCCTACCCAGCGTATAACTAGGTGTGTCCCGTTTTAGGTTGTGAAGTGTATGTGGGGGGGGGGGGGGGGCGAAACCAACTCAGAGTGAACATAGCGTCAGTTTTTAGATGATGGTTCTAAACATACAAATACAACTATACATACATACTGATTCAAAAATTGATTTAAGTAAGTAACAGTGGTATTATGACAGTACAATAGTCTACACAACTTACAAAGGGGTCCATGGGGGGTTATAACCCCCCCCCCCCCCCAACCCCCACCTGCCTACGCCACTGGTATAAACTAAGTTGCAACACAATACAGCTATTATTACCATTTTCTTAAACAATTCAATGCAAAAAAATAACGAAAACATAAGTATGCAAATAATAAATATTCAAACAAATGTATGTTTAATGAATACACATAAATATATTTAAATAATTAATTTCTGACTGAACTTATATATCGAAATAAATTGATTTTTACTAATATTTAATATATTTAATATAACAAATCGTAAAATACAGATAAGTGTCTGTCGGTCTGTGGAATAACTACATACTTTAAACAACAATGACAACTTACGGATTGTGTCAAGTTCGAAATCCAGTCATTTCCAAGCCAAAAATCTCCACGTAATGATCCAAAGCCATTTTTATAGTCATCCCAGTTTCTGGAGAAATTTACACTACCTAACACGCGTCTCTATAATAAACCAAATACATAGGCGGAATTATGAACACTGAACATAAAATATACTAAAGTAATAACTTTACTTTAAATATTTAATTATTGAAAGTGTTTAAGTGCTTGTTAATAACTCACAATCAATATTCAATACTTCCTAAATCCTACAAATACATACACACACACACACACACACATATATATATATATATATATATATATATATATATATATATATATATATATATATATATATATATATATATATATATATATATATATATGGTGACAGGACAAATGATCTCAGGACAAATGATCTCAAGGACAAATGATCTCAAGGACAAAGATACCAGGACAAAATATATCAGAACAAATGATACCATGGACAATTGATCTCAGACAAAATATCTCACAGCGAAATTTAATAGTATGTACGATGTTTTTAGTTTATTTATTTTTTATTGACTGTCAATATGGTTTTGTTTACTATTTTTTACGCATAATAATTGTGAATAAAATGAATTTCTTAAACTTAACAAACCATCAAAGATTTATTAAACTTTGTAGTAGCATTTGATTAAAAAAAGTAAATATTATAACAAACTTGCTATATACTATGTATATATTTTGTCTGAGATCATGTGTCATGGAACCATATATATATATATATATATATATATATATATATATATATATATATATATATATATATATATATATATATATATATATATATATATATATATATATACTAGCGTTGCCGCGGGAATAGAAAAAAGTGCGACGAAATATATAAGAAGGGTTTCGTCCATGCGTTACCAATCCTATATTCTTGACCTTGTTTTCTAGAAGTGAGTTATTTAAATGTAAACAATGCCTGCGCTAAGTATCGGGACACGGGTTTACCTACACTACCGCATGAAAACCTTGAGTCTACATTAATTACTCACCGAAATAATGAGGTAGAACACACTTCGGTGACCGCCCATGTTTCAGAGACGTAAAGGGGTGCTCTAGGCGCATTGGCGCGGCGTACCAACCCTGGCACCTTAAAACTAACAGGCGCAATAGTGCAAAATAGCATCCTGGTAACAATGATGCAGATTGCGTCATTTGCTAAAGTGACACAAATGAACAGGATTTGTTATATAACATATAAAAAAATTATTTGACGTGTTTTGAACATCAGTGTGACTGATGCAATATGTTAGCATTACTAATGGTCTATTCTTAGATGCTCGATCTCAATTTCTGATTGGATTATCTAAAAATAGATGCTTATTGCAGCATTCGCAAACTGACGAAACTGTTTGGATTTTTTTACGGACAAAAAGAAACATCCCAGTTAATAATCTAACCTTGGTTAATTTTTCTGATTATTAAAATAAAACGTATTACATGGCCCTCAGCGGCCCATTTGAGCCTTTAAGGGCCGAAACAGACATTTTATTTGCAGCCTAATCGCACCCTACCTGTGCGCCAGAGGACACGCCTGATTTTATTTAGTAATCGTTTGTAACGCCCACCCTATCCATTGTCTATCACACTGTTTAGACCGAACGTAGTAGCTATAGCGCTCACGGGAAAGACCAGGGCGCCAAATCGCATCCTGCCGGGGGGCCGCCCATGCAAAATTAAATCAACTCTCTCAAAGTCTCATGGATATTGGATATTGGATGAACGGTGTAAAACGAAAATCGACTTTTATTTTTATAAACCGTATATAGAGAAAAATCGCACCCTCCCTTGGCGCCGCCCTTGTGAAATTAAAAATGATTTTACAGAACCCTTCCCCAGAGTGTTCTAATGAACTCACCAATGTTTGATGGCGATCGGATGTACGGTGTCAAATAAAAATCGACTTTTATTTTTATATACCGTATATAGAGAAAAAACAAATCGCGCCCTGCCGGGGCGCCATCCCTGCGTATTTGAACTTCCCAAAGTTTCCCGGCGATGTGATAAGAGGTATGGTAATGCATAAAAGACACACAGGCAGACAGACAAACACACATACATTGCTTTATATATATATATATATATATATATATATATATATATATATATATATATATAGACATATATATGTATACATATATATGTATACATATAGAAACAAAAACATTTAATATTCATTTCGTTAACAGTGTGTCTAGTTATTTGTGGTATTTTTAATAAATAACAAATCTCACTGATAAAAATTATATTGAGGTTACAAGCAATTAATTAAAAGGAAGCAGCAAAATTTGATAAAGGCGCTTCTTAAGGACTGTTTTTAAGTTCCTTGCCAAGGGACAGTGACATGAATTCGTGAATTCGCCCCCCCCCCCCCTCCAAAAATTCCCAAACCTTCAAACCAGTTGTGAAATGGTTCGTGAGTGGATGTAAAAGCGTTGTGCAAAACATGCTGCTTTCAATAAGAGTACACTTCTTAAAATGATTGTATTCTTCATACCTTGTGTAACAGTACAAGCCGTTTTCAATGTATAAAAGACTTAAATTGAACAATGCATAGCATGTTTTTTTTTAAGATAAATAATCATACCATAGAAGGCGTGGTCGGATTATAGAGCTAATTACTGCAAGCCGAAAGTCTTGACATCACTGATATTTATAACACGTCAAATAATTTTTTCTACTTGTTAAAGAAAAATCTCGTCAATTGTTGTCACTTTTTCGGGAACATTAATAATAAGAATTACTTTTCATGAGTTCTTATTCATAGAAAACAAAAGTACGTCCATTTATCTACAAAAATCATGCATCGGATTAGTCTTAGTATACATACTTTAATTTTGGTTAATTTTATAATGCGGCGACGTAAACGTTTAGACGCGGCCGCTGAACGGCATCCCGCAATGTTAAAAAATGCCGTCTTTCGAGTTGTTTTACGAAAAAAAAGTCTATAAAATACAAATTCGACCTAACGAGAAAACTACAAGAAGTAAATACAACGAAAAATGGCCGCTCTAGCGTTATCATGACCTAGATTTACGATTAAAAACTTGAATTCCGAAAAACAACGAATCAGAAAGAGAAAATTTTATCGGACACTGGGAGCGTCGTTACGATATGGCTGGCCGGCGGACAGACCGCTAGGAGCGACGTTACGGCCTTAAAGAGTTAAGTTACTTTTAATGAGCCAGCGGCCGTACGCGGCTCCTCTGCGGTAGTGTAATCGGGGGCTCCCAAGAGCTCCCCTCTACATCCCTGACACATGGGCGGTCACCGAAGTTCTACCATATTATTTCGGCGTGTGATTCACGTACACTCAATGTTTTCATGCGGTAGTGTAGGTAAACTAGTGTCCCGAAATTTATGATCCAAGCGCAGGCATTGTGTATACTAAAAAAAATTAGTTTTATAAAACAAGTCACGCATTGAAGTAACCCTTGTTATATATTTCGTCAGGCTTTCTTATATCCCCGCAGCAACGCGAGGGGACGGGTACTCTAATATATATATATATGTTTATATATATATATATATGTATATATATATATACCACACCTGTATAACAATCCAACCTCCGCCATCTGTCGTGGTATCACACATGGCCTTTTTACTTTCATTTAGTTTAACAATAATGTGTTCTGGTAGGTTTGAATTTCCCGTCTTGATACACTATGGAATACACAGTTTAATCATAATTAACATGCAACCTTATTTTATTATATTCTTCCTCATTATCAAATAATTCATCAATATATAGACTACCTATCAAAAAGGGGAAGGCATGCACTGTCTCGATAAAAGTCTCGGGTTCGAATCCGGGTTCAAATAAGTGGAACTTCCCTCTTCCCACTTCATAATGCTGTCCACACCTTCCTTTCATATGTCAAGGTCAAGAAACATATAAACTTTACTTTATCTGACTAATGGATCGCTAGGTCTAAAGACAATTCTTTATTTAATCACCTGTTTCCAAATCATCTCATAAGTTCCGTGTAAAAATTCTTGCAGCGTTTCATTCAAACCTGTAATGTCTTTGGCACTTTTAGTAAGATTGTTTTGTGTCTTCTTCAGTTGATCATTCACTTCATTAAATCTAAGATTTAATCCGTCTAATTGTTTCTGTGTCTTAGAGTCAAATATATGCATAGTTTCGTTTAGAAGAGCCAACGTTTTATTATTGTCTTTAAGTGAATCCAAATAAGGCGAAATAGATTTGTTTGTTTCGTTTTGTATTCTTAAACGCAGTTGATTATCCATCATTTGTATTGTTTTGTTTACATCCATTGATGCATTGTTTTTCTTAGCATCCAACATGTCCTTAAATGAAGAAGAATTGATGTATTTATAATTGTTATGTAACTCTGTATCTTTATCTTTGATGAACGTGTCGCCACCAGAATGTGACATCTGTAATGACAATGTCATGTCAGCACCTTTCAGTCTGTCTGGGTCTTCAAAAGATTTGAGAAAATCGGCCATTGTGTCAACTGATTTAACATAGTCAGACGTTTTGGCTTTCAAATTCATCATTATAAATGACTCGCGTGATTTTCTCTGTAAACTCCCCGTCTGCTTACCTATTCTATCAATAGACCCAGTTGAGTTCACATAATGTATTTCACATAGGAAAATGCCACCATTGCAGTCTGAATTATTTGTGAAAAAAATATTCAATTCGGAAAATGTTTTCGATATTTTCCCTTGTACTCTTGTTCCAGCACATTTGTAATCTTGAAGCTTTGAATCTGATTCTGCAATAGACGCCAACAAAATATTCCCTTCAGATTCACTTATCCTATAGACTGACATGTTGACAAGAGCTGATATCTGAGTGTCATCTTTTATATTTTCTGTACACTGGAGTTGTGCACAAAATAAATTATTGCCATGGTAAAAATTTTCTCTGCTGATATCTAATTTGAGACCTATTTATTTTTTCAAAGAAAAAATGATTTTATTACCAGAAATGTTATTTTTTTTTAACAAATGAGTACACCTTTACATAAGATATCGTGAAATGGTATGGTGTATATTGAGTAAAATATTCATTGAATTTCAAAAATAATACATGGATAATTAATTAATATAGTTGAATCTATAAGATGGGTTATTTATAAAAACTAAATATTTTTTCTCATACAATTTATGCCGTGCTTCTTTACATACATTGCCACATAGTTAAATTAAAGATATTTATAAATAAACCATGGAAATAATACTTAACGACTTATGTGAAAAAAAAACAAAACATTGTTTATACATAAAAACAATAACGAAAGTGAATATTTCCTAATATATCGACTTTGACTTTAATATTTTATAAAACGTATTTTACGGCATGAGCCTAGCACATGGAATAATATTAAACTTGGTGTTCAAAAAAGTTAAAGGCTATCATATTAATTATGTATAATGGAAAAATAAAGGATAAAGCTAACTTACAATTGCTGGGTATTATATTTAATACAATAACCACACTAAACCATTCGATAAACATTTTGACAAAACTTCCAACAGGATGACAAAATATCCGCGTTTATGAACTGAGTACAACTAACTATACCTAGAGAAAAGCTTGCTTAAATAGCTACACGTACACCATCCTAAAACTCATTATCATTGCGATGTCGGTGAGTTAATTAAGAAAGAAGTAATATATTTTTTGTTATAAGCAGTTACATGCATCATTGTCAGATCCAATTTGATGCTAACAGATAAAAACGTTGTGCTTTGTCCTACCTCATAAATAACAGTCGGGGTGCTTAAAGGTTACTGAAGGGCTAAGAAAGTACTGTAATGAAGATGAGTATAAATATGAGGAAAATAATTGAAAAAAAAAGATCTAGTCTACCTTTCCTATTGTATATTTTGTGTGTAGGAAATGTCGATATGATATTTTGAACATTAATTTTTTATTTACATTGGTTATTTATCTATGTAAAGTTCCCCTTCGAACCTTACGGTCCATGGGCAAGTGAAGTAGAATTCACATGTTTCTGTTACCTCGACATATGAAGGGATGATGTGGTCAGCACTTTTAACAGCCACACTTACTTTATTTACTAACTTTAGTTAGGTACCCATCAGATACGGGTGGACTCAGGGACGTTCTACGTTCTTCAAACCGGATTCAAACTCGAGACTTTCGGGTTAGTTCTACTATTCGACAATTTCATCTCCTGTGGTGGTTACTACTATACTAAAACTCATCATAACATTTAAAAATCACTTCATTCAAATCGTAATTAGGAAAACATTCTTCGTCCTAGATAATACTATTATCACTTAGTGTTTTTTTTATTATAATAGCAGCCAACACATAGTACTAAAACAGAAAAGTACAAATAAAATAGAATACTCAATACTTGACGCCTCTGGATTGTATAGTATTAAATATATCAGGGGGTAAAAATTACACCAAACATCGCCTTTATTACTAGGAGATTTATATTATTTTTACCAGACAATAACATTGAGTTGTCGCACTTCGTTCGAAAAACATAAACAAGTCGTGATGAACATGAAAAAAGTTATTCTAGTTACGAGGTATAAAAACGGCATGTATGAAAACGGCATGAATAAAAACGGCATGCATAAAAACGGGAGGTATAAAAACGGGAAGAGTTATTATCTTGTTTACAGGTAAGCTATATTATAATCATACGTTGCTATTAAATGAAAGAGACACGTTAATCAGAACAGTCAGCATAATGTTGTGCTCCGAGTTTTACAACTGCATCTTACGTCTTTCTATTAACCCTTCTCTTCTAGTCCAACGCACAATTGGTGAACTTGATTCATTATTCACCTGTATTTACTCCCTTTTTACATCAATAACTTTAAAAAATATAGCGGTTAATTGGATGCATGGTGGTATCATGTAAAATGCTTAAGTGCATTCGCTCGAAGTAAGGTGCCAAGCCTACTTTTGTGGAAGAGATACTTTTAGCAACGACTGACAAAAACATCTTCTAACACTGTTTTTACATGTCAATTATGTTGTATCCTATAAGTAGTAAAAGTAAGTAAACATGTTTTATGGGAGAAATGTTTTCAAAAAATTATTTTTGCTGAACATGTATAGTAAACAAGTCGCAGGTGTTCCCGACTTTTTTCGGGGGACACAATTTACTTTCTGTAGTTTTGAACTACATGCTGAGAAATCTATTTACATTTTGTTCGAGAGAAATTTTAGAGGCTAACAAAAATAATTTTGTTTGATGTTGATCTTTATTACATGTGCAGGTAAGGCATGGTCAGATTGTAGAGCTTACGACTGCTAACTCGAAAGTCTCGAGTTCGTATCCCGGGCTTGAATCTGTAGAACGTCCCTATTTGCACCATTATATGATGAATACTTGACTCACGTTAGGGAAAATACAGATAGCTAAGCCTAGTTCTGACCACAGTATCGTTGACTTGGTAATATAAACACGTCAACTCTATTCCATCTGCTTTATTGACCGCCACGTTAGAAAAGGGTAACTTTATTTGTTGTCTTTGTTAGTGAGCTTTGGCGGATAAAATATAAATTGTTGTATCGGAAACATATATTTTATGATTTGTCACTCTCGTCATCATTCACGTTTATAAAATACATAACATTACCTTACATTCTTCACATACTTGGATTTAAGAAATAGTTAAACTTTTAGAGAAGGCTAAATATTGATTATATTTGCAAAGTACAGCCAATTATTGCACAATGTGATACACTAATAAAGTATATTTTTGTACAATTTTGTAATTACAAAAAGCTACATCTCTTCGGGGAAGGGGGGGGGGGGGAGGGAAGCGGATCCCCCCTCCCCCCACCCCACGAACGAAACGAAATTTATATAGAAAATATATACTTTTAACAGTGTCCTCCCCCCCTCCCGAAAATTGCAAGTGCCCCCCCCCCCGGAGAAAAAAGTCTGAAAGAAACTATGTATATAAGCCCCCGTGTGTATTTGATTTGCTCCCATACTTTGGTGGTCGGGATGGTAAAGCTCATGACAGCTAAACCAAAACTCCCGTGTTCGAACCACTAGCAGAAAAGGCTGAATACCAGGGGAAAGAAACCCATCAAGCATAGAAAACTCAAGAATAAATAAATAAAATGCTGCTTTGTACATTATTCTTGCTATGGAAGCTAATCCAGAAAAAAAAAAACAACTGGCAGAATTCGTAATCAAGATGCCATATGTATCATAATAGGTAGACACGTACAACTTAATTAACGTGGATGAAATCCCGTCCCACATTACACTTCACATGAAAGAAGAATAATGCTAAATGACACAACACCTGCAATTACTGATGATTGGATCCAATTTCCCCACGGTAAATGCGGTACAATCAGCAGAGTTACCTTTCTGGTATTTTATCTTTCTCCGGCTCCCAATCCGCCCGTCTGAAAAAACATGATTTAGATAATTAATTTCGTTAATTGATAATTAAGTCGCCATCAGCTTAAAATACTCTTTCATGTATGAGCCGATAGATCTGACATGTCCTTGATCTCCAGACTAGCGGTTAACAAACGGTTTTACCCGTCACTAACATCTGTTTCACATACAAATGCCATTCTACCAAGTCATCACTAGCATAGTAAAATACTAGCATGAAACTTGATGTGCATCATCCATATATCTAAGTTTACAAAACGTGGAATTGATATGTTCTTGTCGGACGTTTTTGGAGGTAGATTTTATGTTTTGTTTTTGCTTTGAGACAACTTAATTCTTAGTTTTAGTGTTAAATCCAGGTTAACTTTGTAGCTAGCTTAAAGAAATGTTTTAATAGAAATTTCAATTATGAAAATGCGTCGTTTTATGTGATTTGGTAAAAAATGTAGCACGTCATTTATTTTCTCCTACACAAAAAAAAACGTATATTTCAATAGGAAAAAAAAGCATGAAAGTATGATTACATACAGTTAGGGGCATTTAAACCGACTCTTTCACCGACCATGGACCAGATTTTTCCATCCGTGTGAAAGTGTAATTTTGAAATTTTACAACATTAAAAAAATAACTACCGATTGTAAAGGGAAAAATATATTTAAAAAACTAGAACACCATGGCTAGTGGATACGAGGCTGTTTCGCAAAACAGACATCACGACTCGATTATAGAACCGAATATACGCCAAACTGGCGACGACACACGCCAGACTGGCGACGAAAAACTCCAACCTGGCGACGACGAAGACCAAACTGGCGAAGGTACAGACCAGGTTGAAGAAGACACCAAGCTAGCCGTGGACACGAGGTGTGGGGTGTGGACATTCAAGCCGGACATCTTGCAGCCGTGTGCCAACATCTGGAGCTTTACCTTGCTATACAGCTTGGCGGCACTGCTGACCTCGACCTTGACCTCATACATAAACTCCCAGGTACGTTTCTTACGTCATCGTACAGGTGAGTTTTACGTCACAAGACAGGTGATTTATTGCATCATCTTCCAGGTGGGTTTTCTCATTATCTTTCACGTATGTTTTTACAACCTCTTAAAGGTGGCTTTACTTATTAATTTCCTTTTAAATGAAATGTGGGTTTTGTCTATTTAAAATTAATACTTGGGTAAAATATACACTGTCCTATGACTTGAGGTTGTATTGACTCCGAATAGGTCACTACGCTAGAGAGACAATTTGGCCTGAACTCCAAACAGACAGGTTTGATCCTGGCAGCCAATGATGTGGGGTTTCTCATCTGTGTGCTGTTCCTTAGCTACTCGGCTCCAAAACTACACCTCCCGAGGTCACTAGGTTAGTTTTTCTAGTCATTTTTGTTTAGTTAGATATGTTTTTTCTAATTAAGCGTTTGAGTGCAACTTTTTACTTGCCCGCATACGGATTAGAGATATAGTATTGTAATATTGCTATACGGAATTATCTTACACATACGGTGTCGGAAATGCTCCGCCCGTCCGTCCGTCTGTTTGTAAACACGATAACTATGAAGACAGGTTTAGATTTTATTCGCAGGTTTCTTTTAACTTTTCAACCGGAAGTAATACTTAACTCATATTCGTGGGAAAACAATACCCTGAATATCATTTTAGTTAACCAGTCAAAATTTCATGTTTAAGATCTTAAAGTGGTATTTCCGGCTGCTAAAATACCGATGGAAACCGTTTTAGCTAGCTAGGTGGACGAAGTTACATTTTTATATAAGTATTACATAGATTTCTATCAACTTTTTAGAGATACTCGGTAGCCTGAATGGGTATTGTAAAAAAAAATTTCTGATCTTTCACACTTTCTTGAGTGTTTTGCTTTTGAAGGCTGGGTCTATAGTAAAAAGACACCCGCGACTCTAGAACAATACTACTTTCATCCAATGTCGAAATTATGTTTTATGTTACAGTTTAGAAAATAGTTAACGATGCTTAACTAAACAACATTAGTCATTTCCGCAAAGCGTTAATGGTAATGTTCATGACAAAACAAAAATAATATGGTATCATTCAATTTCCATAATTATATTTATCTAATAAATTCACAATGTAAAATTTGTTTTAGTTTTAATTTTTTATTTCTAATGTTTTACATAAAATACTTTTAACATGAGTTTAATTAGTATTTGGATGATTTGTTTTGTATAGCTAATTTATTTTAGTATTTTGTGCAATGAAAAGTGTTTTTAGAAAGTAAATATAACTACACAAGTATTTAGTGTATATTAAAGTTGAAAGCATAGGCCTATGTCTATTCATGCCATGTGCAGGTATAGCGACGATCACATTTGGCGTATCAGGCCTGGCCTGCTCCCTACCTCACTTCATCTTTGGCGCGCGCACGGACACTGGTCAGCTACAGACCAACGTGACCTCTTCCAGAACTCTCTACGGTGCCATGTGTGATGGTCAGAACCAGACCTTCAACACATGTGGGTCAGCACAGGACAAGAAAAGTCACATGACCTCAGAGAACACGGCCATTATCTCTCTCGTCATCATCTTCCTGGGTATGATGATACAAGGCTTCGGGAAAGCCCCGAGAACAGCCTTCACAGTGACGTATGTTGATGACAACACCAATAAAAATAACACGGGAGTTATCGTAGGTAATTAATTCTTCTTCTATAATTATATAAATGGCGAGGAGTTCGATTCCGTGTTCAAATAAGTGGAACTTCCTTGAGTCCCACCATTTCTGATGTGTACTTGACTAATGATAGGGAGACTAAAGGAGGCTGAACATAATAACCAAGCTATCCCTTTATAAGCCGATGTCTCTGAAGATGATGAACTCTACTTCATCTGCCCTATTGTCTTGGACACGAATTTTAAATGATGATGATATTGCGAACCATATAAACACCCATTATTTCGTATTGTAACAAACCAAAAACACAAAAATATTTTTACTATTCGCCATATTTTTTTTCTTCTTAATAAATCTATATTAAAAAAAAACAGGTATCATCGTGAGTGTGGGGATATTTGGACCGGCGTTGGCTTTTCTGCTAGGCGGCGTTTTTACCCGGATGTACGTCACACTAGAAGGTAGGACCGATAATTCTTTACTCAACTTTATCTCGAGCGTTTCTTGAATATTTTTAGTTAAAATGTACTGTACACGTATTAATTTATGTTTTCAATCTTTAATGTAAATGCAAATCAAGTACGACGGTAATATCGACATTTCTAAAAAAAAAAAAAAAGAAAAATTAGCTATCTCATATGTGAATATACCAAATTAATTACAATTTTCACGTCCTATTAAGAGAAATACGTCCATTAACAACAAGCTATTTTGATATCGGAAATAAACTTAGTATTCCATACCTTAGTGACCTATTAGTATTTATTAATAGATAAACATAATTATATTGTTTTCTAAATTATCCGGAAGTGTATCTTACATATTTGAAAAAACACGATACATAATAAATTACAGTTAAAAAACGTGTGTTATTAAAGTGATTTTTGGTTTTTCTTTACGTTCAGTATAAGCTGGAATGGCCTAGCCGTAGAGCGAAAGACTCGTAACCCAAATATCTCAAGTTCGATTCCTGGTTAAAGTCAGTAGAACGTCGACTAGTCCAGCCTTCTCTGATAGGTACCTAACCCAATAATCTAAAGACAGCTTGGCACAGTTGTGACCACACTATCCCTTCATTGAAACAAGCGAACTCAACTTGCCACTTGAACCTTCAGGTTTGAAAAGTGAACTTTCAATGAAACCTGAATGCGATTTTGAGTGTTAAACCTCTGAACGAAAACTCCCCAGATACCAAGCTGACCCCATCACATCCCAGCTGGATCGGTGCCTGGTGGCTGGGTTATGTTGTGTTTGGTTGTCTGGCCCTGGCTGTGTCGGTTCCACTCTTCTGCTTCCCGAGGAAACTTCCGCAAAAGGATTCTGACCAACAGATGAGCCAGATCCTCGAAACGTAAGAAATAATGTATGAAAAAATTATATATCAATTTAAGATACAAGTCGTGTTTGTTGGAAATCAATTGAGATAATTTTTATGAGTTATTTTCTCAGATATATTTTGTCAGATACATGTCAGAAATATTTTGTGAGAGATATTTTGAATAAAAGCCATTTTGTCTGAGATATTTTGTTTCAGTTATATTATCCAACATATTTAGTCAGTGATTACTTGTCAGAGACATTTTGTCAGATGCTTTTCAAATAAGCTATTTTGGCAGATATATTTTGTTAGGGATATTTTACCTGAGATAAGTTAAATAATTTATTTTTTAAGAGATATTATGAGTACGATATTTTGTTAGGGATATTTTTCTCGGATATTTTGAATAAGACATTTTGTAAGATAAATGTTGTGAGGTGACTCGTTCAAACGTAGTTACTGCACACCGATGACGTATTGTCTTTGTGATTGCCCAGTAACAGCCCCGATGACCACACAGTAGCAGAGCCAGCCCTAAATGACAATGAAGACGCAAGCTGGAATGTTAAACTTTGCATCAGCAACATCCATAATTACATCAAAGGTCAGTTATAAAGGTCATACAGTTATGAAAACTGTTGAAGGTATTATTTAATAATTACAGTCACACGTTTGAAACATGTTGGATTGCTTTAATACTATTTAAGAAAACAATAACAATGCATTCCGTTTTAAATAACGTTTATGAAGGTTTTGTTGTTGCTTATGCAAATAACGTTATACAATTACAATAAGATAACACATATGAAGTGCTTGGTAGAATTGTATTAAATTTAAAAAAAAAATAATCTTAAAGTTTTTATTCTTTATCGAAGAATATTTGTTTAAGAAATGGTGGCTATTGGCCGAACGTTGATGGGAGACTGGAAATAAATGTTTAAAACTTTATATTGTTTCTTCCAGATTTTTTGTCGGCGATTGTTCGACTTTTGACCAACCCAGTGTATATCACCATGGTGATATCAATATGCTGCATCATTTTCGCTTTTAGCAGTAGTAATTCCTACACACCCAAATACATGGAGGGGATGTTTAATCTACCTGCATACAAGGCCAACTACATCATGGGTATGTAGATATGCAAACATTACAATAATGACATAGTGCTTATTTTAGAAATACTAGTAAAATTTGCCATTGTTTGACACGTCTTTTTTTATAATACCAGTTCTATTACTTATCGTTAACATAATGGAATTTTCTAAATTTGTAAATATATTTTCGTGTTGCTTTTTCCGTCGTGGAAGTACAGCTAGATGTTTCGTAAAATAAATAAACGACTGAGGTATTTTCGGATTACGTTTCATATCTTTAAAAAAATAACTTCCAAATTGAATTGGTGCTATGGGAATAAGATTATTTTATGATTATAATGTGGTCGTATGGTAGACTGCTAACTTGAAAGTCTCCAGTTCCAATCTCGTGCTTGTGTCAGTAGAACTTATGAGTTACCCAGCTCTGATGGGTGCCTGAATCACGTAGTCGTAAATAGAACAAAAGGCGGCTGGGCATAGTTATGAGCATACTATTTCTTCATAAGCCGATGTCATACAAATAGTTGAATCATACGACTCTACAATAAATTCCTGAAAGACGCTTGCCCGCGTGCCGTTAACCCGAAGGCCGTTTTTCCGAATGGACATTTGACCAAATATGACAAATGCCCAAATAGACACTTGTTCGAATGGTCACTTGTGCAAAATGAATAAATAACCGAAATCCACTTACTCGATAGACAAAAAAGACCTTCGGGCAAGTGTCTTTCCGGAAAACATCCGGCTCCCGATTACACATCACCTGCCCAGTTGACCGCCATGTTGGAAAAATTATTTTCTTATCATAATGTGTGCTGCTAGGGATCAGTGGGAAATAGCTCTTCCTATTTATAAAAATATACAAGTCATAGTAATTATCAGCATTGTATACATAAAAACTTGAATAAAAAAATAATGTCTTCCTCGAGTCATTTCAAAACTAATTACTAATTACGAATTTTTTACAACATCCGTTTTTCCAGCTGTCAAAGCCCTGTTTGCATCGACGTGTGGCACATTTATAGGAGGGTACCTAACCAAGCGTATCAAGATGACGATCATAACGGCCCTACAGTTTTCCATCATCGTCAATGTTATCTCCTTGTTCGCATGCGTCTTGGCGTTTTTCTTTCAATGTCCGCAACCTGAGGTCCATAACTGGCCGAGGTAATTTTTTTTAATTGTAGACAACTCGCCGAGGTAATTCAAATGTCTAATTATGTTTTTTTAAAAACATCTGTGGGTTGTTGTTTTTTTTGGTGGGGGAGGGTTTTTTTAAATTCTATTTGTGAAGAAAATGGTATACAACTGGCAAAGATAAATTATGTCTAGTTTTGAGATTATTATGTCATAAATAGGCCAAGTTAATTTTTATAAACTTTAATCAATATAATCTAATTAATGGTCACTATTTATAATAAACTAATATTTTACTAACCCAGAAGTTAACGTTTTTCAAGCATCAAGTCTACTAAAGTAAAATTTTTAGGACACTTTATTTGACTTCTGCCAGCTGAAGCGGAAGTAAAAAATCTGCAGACTAAAAGTTTTTTTTTCCGCATATACTTTTCAAAAATTTCATGCACCAATTCTAATTTAATTAAAGACTTTCTGTTTCGAAATTTGTTTTCATTGTAAACTAATCTGCCTTTGGAAAGCGCCCACTATTTGAACAGAGTATAGAGTTGTTTCAGTCAGATCCCATTGAATGACTCTGTAGACTACTTACAATAGGCGTCAAGTTCATTACAATTACAACTCGACCCCGATAAAAAATAATGTGAAAAATAAAACTTCGATTTTTTCCTTGAATTTCGCTTCCCCATATCTACTTTCCACTATATATATATATATATATATATATATATATATATATATATATATATATATATATATATATATATATACTTAGCACCAACACGACGTGCAACACAGGATGTGATTGTGCTGACAACAGCTACTTCGCCATCTGTGGTCAAGACGGCAAGACCTACTACTCACCATGTACAGCCGGCTGCTCAGTGGTTATAGACGAGGTGAGCAAGTACTATTGTAACAGACGATTGTCTGTGGTTTCCTGCTGTAACTACGAATCACGCCCCGGTGTCCATCAAGCCTTAAATGGCATTTAATTCGCAGAGCACAAACACAGAGTGTACATGGCGTGATAAGAAAACGTGGCTTTTACAAATCATCGAATATGACAAGTGTAATATTACCTTAAGCAGTCACAAAAAAATTCATATACTCTTGTTTTCTACAGGTGTATCAGAACTGCACCTGTATTCCAGGTGGTCAAGCGACCAGCGGCTACTGTGACTACGGCTGCGACCATATTTACGGTTACTCCATCTTTTTCACCATACGGTCACTGGTTGCTACTCTCGCGATTGTGCCGAAATTTCTAGTCCTCATACGGTGAGTAGTTAGATCAACAGCAAGACGTTGGTGTACTACGTATAAACTTTAGGGGTCGGCGTGATCGAGTCAGTAAAGCTCATGGTTACTAAACCGAAAAGTCTCGAGTTCGAACCCCCGGGCAGATGAGGCTCGTTAGCTGGGGGCAGCCATTCTTCTAGGAGAGACAACTCCAAAATCAAACAACTGCTGCCTTGTAGTTTGTTCTTGGTTGGATAAAGGCTATGGAAGCAAATCCAAAAAGAAAAGCAGGCTGAAATCGGAGTCAATGGCCTCAATGGCGCAAAACCAGTTGACACTTAATCCTTAATTGTGATGGAAGCATGGTCGAGTCGGCAAAGCTTATGGTTGATAAATTAGAAAAAAAGTGTCGAGTTCAACCCTCTGGTAGAACGAAGAAGAAGAAGTATAACCTTGGCTTAGGAAGTTTTAATGAAATTCACGTCATGGCATGCGAAACTCTCAAAACTTAACAGTTTTTTTTCTGTAAATATGTGTTACATTGACGTACACTTTTTAAATACTTTTTTTAAGAATACTGAAAAAAATGTAAGCTTTTAAGTTAAATAGAAAAAGTATTTTTTTAATAGTCATATCATTGGTGGCTAAAATTTGTAAGATATTTAATAAGCAGACAATTATTTTACTAGATGGAAAAATATGTTTTACTGAATTTAAAGCGTATTAATATGAATAACATTCAACTTCTACAAATTTGTTTAAATCCAGGAGCGTTGAACCTCGTGACAAAGGGATAGCTATTGGATTTGAAGCATTCATGACGGCGTTATTCGGTAAGAGTTTTTCTCCCCTGTCTTTGTCCTAACCCCCCTTGAATGTGTAGCAGTATTATAATCTTCTAGGAAAAAATTCAACTACGCACTGGCAGGGTGCGATTTTGCGCACCGGTTAATGACGTGAGCTTTAGGGCGCATACTTTCGTTTTAAACAGTGCGATAGACTGTGGATAAAATGGTGCATTACAGTTGTTCAATTAGTTGAATCAAGCGCTTTCGCCGGTGTCCGGCAGGGTGCGATTTGGCGCCCAGAGTTGTCCAGCGAGCGCTGTTCCCAAGCAGGTTTACTTACATAAAATTCATGCATTATTTGGGAGTTAAAACAATGGCTAATCTCTTCTAATACCCAGGCTGGCTTTTGGGTCCCGTCATCACTGGTAACGTCATCGACGGTATCTGCGTCATCTGGGACGTCAAATGTTCCACCAGGGGGCGCTGTCTGCTGTACGACAACGAGGTCTTTAACAACAAGCTGCACGGCTACATCACAGTCGCCACCATCATCTCCATCCTCTTCTTGTTCATAGGGTTTCTCTTCGCCAGGAGGAACCCGCGTTTCCATGACAACTTAGGTCAGGATAACCTCACTGCCGGTGATTTTAGTGTCAAGGGCAGACGGGATGAAAAAAACAGAAAAAGAGAAGCTATCAAAGAGATACGACTCTAACTTATACACATTCCAGGACCAGAAAGAAACTGATTTCTTTTTTAGTGTACTTATTCTTCTAAAAGCTTTAGGCAAATAAACAAAAGAAATATATTTATACACTTTGTAAATACACTTTTGTGTATAATTAAAAAAGGAAAAATGCTAAATCAATATTTTAAAGTGTTCAGAATTGCATTAATTTGATAAATTACTTCCTAAACTTTACTATCACCCCTTTAATTATTTTTAAATTAAGAATATATACTTGGGCAATTAATAAGAACATGTATTTATTTACAATGAATATTAAAGCAAACAACAATATAAAAGCAATAATATGATGACGGGTTGTGTGTCATTTTGTCCAAGTTGTTGTTCATGGTCTTGTACGTGTTGGATGTTGACTAGTTTGGTTCATGGTGTGTGGTGACATGCTTGGGTTGTACGGGATTATGTTCAGCATGTGGTTCTTGGAGTTCAACGTGAAGCAGGGTGGTGAGGGTGTTGATCAACTTCGTCTGTTGTGCTGTGTATGTGTGTTGTGCGATGTGGTACCCGTCAGTTTGGAGTTTGTAAATAATGCGTCTTAAAACGAAAGACCTTAACTTTATACTGTGTTTCTATATCCGGTGACAAATACTGTTTAATACAGGGGTCGGCAACCTTAGGCTCGCGAGCCGCATGCGGCTCTTTTGATATCAAGATGCGGCTCTCCAGCTCCTTGAACAAATACTAATAATCTTTATAAAAAAAAAAAATATTTGAAATGAAAAAAAAATGTTAGTGGCTCTTTAAAACCAGGGAAATTTTGAAAATTGTAACTTTTGGCTCTTCTGCTTCAAAAGGTTGCCGACCCCTGGTATAATATGTTGTGATATGAACTATTAAGTTGGTTTGATCTATCATCTGATCGATTTGGTTTTATACAATTTAATCTTTATTCAACTTTGTCTTGTGTCGTGTGCACGTACTCTCAAATAATGTTAGAACACATTCTACAATTATTTCAGTAATAATTTGTCTCTTGTGTTATAATAGTTTTCAAGGTATATAATCCGTACATAGAAATACAAGTTGGATAGTTTTAATTGTTATCTCCCTTTACTAGTTGTAGTGTTAACAAAAGTTGTCTAGAATAATGGAGCATTAATTCAAAACATAAAGCTTCAAGCGCTAGATCTTTATTTGGTCATCTATACTGATGTTAGCAACGTTTTTTTTTATCGGATCTATTTTTTTTTTCAGTAATTTTTTTTATGTATAGCTTTTATTTTGGTGAATAAAGTATTATACTAATAAAAATAGAAATAACATGTGTATTTTAGGTCTACAGTGGGTCTGGGTAGAAAAAAAGAGCTGTCATAGATGAATAAATGGTCGGCGTCAGAGTTTCTTCCAATCTACCGCTCCCCCCTCCCCCCGAACGAAATATAGACAATATATACATTTGACAGTGTCCGCCCACCCCCCCCCCACTACCCCCCCCCCCCCCCCGAAAATTGTTGTCCCCCACCCCCAACCCCCGACGATTTCAAGTGCACCCCCTGAGAAAAAAGTCTGGAAGAAACACTGGTCGGCGTTGGGTGGGTGGGTGGGGGGTGGGGTGGGGGAAGGAGGTCCCCTGTGGAGAGAGTGTGGAGGTTGTGGATGGGGGAGGTCGGGGATTGTGGATTTTGATATTTAAGAAAGTGTGTCCTAAAGGGTGGGGGTTAAAAGAGCTCGATCTTGATTTTTTACCATCTTTCTTCGATATATATACTCGTTTAAAAAACGTTACCTAGACAACGCATTAGACACGAATTATAAATCAATATTAGGTTCTATAATAGTAAGATAATACGCACACAGCCACGGACAAGCACGCAGATAATCATGCAAACATGTATTCAGACACACTTACGGACATAAACACAGACTTACACGGACAGACAAACACGCAGACAAAAAAGACACACACAAACTTACTATATACACACACATACATATATAAATAAATAAATAAATATCTATCTATCTATCTATATATATATATATATATATATATATATATATATATATATATATATATATATATATATAAAGAGATAGAGAGAGAGAGAGAGAGAGAGAGAGAGTCTGCTGTTACTTATACGTTATTATGATTCAATAAAGAAACATACATTTCAGGCATGTTTTGTATTGCCTAAGTAACAACATTTATTTAGGTCAAGGTTTATAGGTCACGAGAGACGAGTTAAATTACTGGGTCAAGGTAAATGTGCGGGGAAACATTTCGTGATTTAACTTTGTTCTACACGCACTAGCAAGCTTAAATTCGTTAATCTTACACTGGATCCGACGAACCGATTTTTTCAAGTTACTGCTTAACTTCTTAAGATTAACCCCATTCTTATAATTCGGTCTTTTTTTTATCTTTTATAGTTTAAACTACAAATTACACTTCTTTCGATACAAATTGCTATTATTCGCAAAATGGAAGTATAAAAATGCACATGTTGGTTTTGAATGTAATAGCCTAGAATGTTGCAGTAAGGCTATCAATCAGATATGATAGAGTAATTATTTAATATTCATGTATTAAAGTTTTTCGCATATATAACACCAGATAATATGACATTAAATTAAATACAATTTATTCAAATAATGGCAAAAACCGTTCTTTTCATGGTTTTACATTATGTAGCATTATGTCCCCATATATTACCCATGCTGCTTCAAAATGTCTATCGTAGTACATTCTTCATAATCGGAGCAAGCAAAAAAATTGTAACTATGCAGGTAACTCTAGCCCACGCAATCGCCTCGAAGAAAACCCGCCAAGATGGGTTATCGATCTTTGTTCAGTGCTTATCTGGGCCAAGTGCTACAAACCCAAACCCCCACCCCACCCCAACTGCCACCCGCTTAATGCATACTTAGAAATACGATACTTAGAAATACGGCGCTTCGTCCGGAAATTAATTCGGTTTAAATAATAAAACTAGCAGACAGAGAATAAAATATGTGTATTCTTTCTCGTTGCTGAGATAATGCATTCGTCGATGACGCGCGTGATGATGAAAAAAAGCGTCCCTGTTATCAGAATGTATTGTTTTATTTGTTGAGTATATTATGAGAATCCACACATTTTTCATTGGTTTTCTATGAATAATCGAAGTCAAGGATGTAATACAAATGGTGTTGTGACGTAAGCAACTAAACTGGTGGGTGAAGGTGACTTGTGACAGTAGGTCCTGACAGCATCCTGTATGTGACAGAAGGTCATGCCAGCATTCTGTATGTGACAGTAGGTCATGCCAGCATCCTGTATCCATATTTGTGACAGAGGTCATGCCAGCATCCTGTATGTGACAGAAGGTCATGCCAGCATCCTGTATCCATATTTGTGACAGAGGTCATGCCAGCATCCTGTATGTGACAGAAGGTCATGCCAGCATCCTGTATCCATACTTGTGACAGAAAATCATGCCAGGATCATGTATCCATACGTGTGATAAAATGTCATGCCAGCATCCTGTATCCATACTTGTGACATAAGGTTTTACCAGCATCCTCGAGCAATTCTTGTAACAGAGTTTTAACATCATGTTTTAATCATACTTTTACATATTATTAAGGAGGTTAGGTTATCATGATCAATCCATACATTAGAAAAGAGGCTATGCGATTATGATGCAGACAAGGTTGGCTTTAATAAATAATTAAATTTGATTGCATAATTTAGTACATCATACACCACTGGATAATGTCTAACACAAGGAGAATTCATAGCTTGATCGTGTCTTGATTAGCTGATTGTTCTGATTTGCTGGTTGATCTGTTGATATATTGATCTGTTGATTTGCTGGTTGTTCTTTGTTCTTTGTTGATCTGTTGATGATACGACACGCGACTGCTAAACAAACATGTTGCTGCAGCTTGTCGTGAGACCCTGGAAACTCCACCGATACCCCTATCACCACCCACCCACACAACCATCCCAGCCCCTACCACACCTCCCCTCAAATTCCCAACCTCTACCACCAACCACCCACCACACCGCACCTGAACAGCCCCACCACACCTCATCGTACCCTACCTTTCCAACCCTATCACCCCTCACATTTAAACTGTTAGCTTGGTGCACTGGTGCTAAAATATAGCAGCGAGATAAAAACAATCGCGTCTCGTGGGATAGGTGAGATCAAAGTTAAACGCTGCATCTTGTTGAGATCTACCTTAGGAAAAGAAAGGATATATATATAGAGAGAGGGGTAGAGGAAGAGACAGAGGGGGAGTAAGAGAAAGAGAGGAAATAAAAATAATATGAGGGAGAGATAGGAAGAAATATAGTGATTTTGAGAGACATAAAGAGAAGAGAGAGGGAGGGAGAGAGCAAATATATTTATAGAGAGAACGAAACAGGAAACAACAGAGAGAGAAAGATAAAACAGAGAGAAAGTGATAGGATAGAGAGACGGAGAGATCAAAATAAAGAGATAAATGAATCGATGCTTGACCATGGTGTGAAATATATGACCATAACAACATCGTCATGAAGCTAAGCCTAATAACATATGTGGTGAAACCAAAATAAAAACGGTACAACAGTGCTAGAAAGATCAGTTGGTTCATTTTTGCTTTTTTAAGAATTTTAGAATAAAGCAAGAAGTGATGTCAAGAGACGTGGGATGGGGGGGGGGGGGGGGGGGGGGGGCAGAGGTAGAGCGGTAATCGAATCAAATCCAAACTTGCAATAAAAACAATACTGCGAAAAACATTACTCTGTAGCTATCACAAAACGCAGATAATTATACGGCAATTGCAGATTCGATACTTGATAGTGTTGGTAACTGACCGTTGCTATAATTCAGTGAAACTGTGATATTCGAATACGTAATGCTGCCCTTTCGATTGGTCTAGACGGCATGGTGATAACTGCTAAATGTTAAATTGAGCTCGTGCGTACCATACACGTGTAGAATTTAGTGCTATAGTTGGTGAGGAAGGGTGACACCCTACAATACGTCAACCTACTTTTTTTTCTCTTTGTATGTTTCTATATCATTTGGCAATCCAAAACTAAACTTCTAATCAATAATATAGATTACAATTTTATAAAAGTTTTCATACGCGTGGAGAGAAATATATTTATCAAGTATTTATTGATACAGT